GGGATACCATTCAAACCAGCCCACGCCAGACCTGCTTATTAGCCCATCACGCAGTCTCATCCACTCTCCCCGTGAAATACGGGCTCTCGCCTGCATGTCCCCTCACTGCCTCGGCCTCCTGACCACCCCTGGTGCTACTTCCCCGCTGCGGTCCCCATGAGGTAGCCTGCCACGTTCCCCCGCTCCCGGGAACTGTGAGCAACAGACTGTCTTTCCAATGTCAGCTGTCTCCTGACCGGCTGGCCTCACTGTGCCTTAATAATAATAAAGCCTGCCTTTTAACACGCCACTTCTTACTATCTGATGGGCAAAAATCACAAAGCCTGACAACATACCCTCTGGGGGAGGCTGTGGGGAAGCACGTGCTCTCGTCCGTGGCTGCTGGGAGCTCGAAAGGGCTGCACAGTAACGGGGAGAAATGTGGCACAAGAGACTATCACTGTGTTGGCTTTTCGACCCATCAGTCCAGCTTCTGGGAATTCACCCAGAATATACACCTCCCACAATTGAACACATACACAGGCACGAGATTGCTCACTGCAGCGTCGTTTGTAGTTGCAACCTATTAGAAGCATGCTGAATACCTGAATGTAGGCAGTTTCTCCAAGCCCTACAGAATGCTCACACTGTTGTGGGGTATGAAGACGCATTACCTATTCTGTAAGTCAGGAATAATGAGAAAATATACATCTCGCTGTTTAACTTTGCAAAAAGAAACATTGAAAGGATAAGTCAGAAACTTAGGAGATGAATTTCCTACAGAGGACAGAGGAGAGCAAAGAAGGGCTGGGAGGGTTGAAAGACATGACTCTAAATATAAATATAAATTTATATTTATAATTAATATTTATAATATATTTCTATTTATATATTTATTACAAATTTCTATATATAAATATATATCATATACATATAAATATAAATTTAATATAAATATAAACATACATTTATATTTATATATAACATGTCAATGTTTTGCATACGTGTGTGTGGTGTGGGTACACAAGGATTAGGAAGAATCAAAAATGCACATGTGTACAAACGTGGTGAACCTGTTTTTCTTTCAAACGAGCGGTTCTGGAACTACAGTAGTTCCCTCTGGCTCCACTGTTTTGCTTTCCTCGGTTTCAGTTACATTTGGGCAACCAGTGTTGCAAGGTATGAAATGGAAAATTCCAGAAATAAACAATTCGTAAGTTTCAAACTGCGTGCCGTTCTGAGGAGTGTGATGGAATCTCCCACCAGGCCATTTGGCCCTGCCCGACAGGAGCCGCCCTCTGTGTCCAGCACACCCACACCGCGCATGCTCCCCGCCCCCGCCCCTGGTCACTCACTCAGCTGACGTGGCTGTCAGACCCACCTGCCGAGGAGTCTCAGTGCTTGTGCACAGGCAGCCCTTATTTTACTCACTCATGCCTCAGTCGCATAACTCTTATTACAGCATTTGTTATCATTCTTCCATTTTATTGAGATGTAGAGATGATTAATCCCATTTCCAGATCAGAAAACTGAGGCTCCGGCCGTGGCTGGTGTGGCTCAGTGGATTGAGTGCCAGCCTGCGAAACAGTGGGCACTGGTTCGATTCCCAGTCAGGGCACATGCCTGGGTTGCTGGCCACGTCTCCAGTAGGGGGTGTGCAAGAGGCAACCACACCCTGATGTTTCTCTCCCTCTCTTTCTCCCTCCCTTCCTCTAAAATAGACAAATAAAATCTTAAAAGAAAAGAAAACCAAGACTCAGGTTAAGTAACTTGTCTGAGTCGTCCCTGCTTCTAAGTGGCAGGCAAAAAAATTCAGATCCAAATCTGCTTGGTCAGAGGGCATGCTTTCTGACCTCTGTGAGACCCCGTCCATCCACAGGGTAGCCTCATCTGACAGCTTAATCAGAGAGTAAAATGCTCTTCAACGAGGTGGGCCAGGCATGCGGGAGGCTGTGTCAGAGGAGCAGCAGCAGGGCAGAGCAGTTGTGCCAGGTCTCTGGGGGGCTGAGGCCCAGCTGCTGCAGGGGCTGCGGGGCTGAGCCCCCTCCATGGCCCAGACTGAAGGGCGACGACCAGACTCTGAGGATCCTGCGTCCTGGGGGCGTGGAGCTGGGCAGGAGCGTCTCATTTCCGGGGAGGCATTCAGCAGCGTGGGAAAGGCGTGCCTTGGGCCCGAAGCAGGACCAGCGTCATGGGCCCGAGATCAGAGCAACATGCAGGGCAGCGGGTTTCAACCATTTCATCTTACGACAGACACAAGCAATTAAAATTCTATGGCACATCACAAATACATACATTTGGTCAGCTGATCTGACCCCAAAAATAGGTATAATTTTGATTCATTCACACTGGACGGCTGTTGTCATTTTCTTATTTGACAATCCAAGGGAAAAGGGGTCAGTACCCCTGACCAAACAGGCGAGTATTGCATGTTTTAAAAACTCATGCGGCGCCCAGGTTGAATATCACTGGTGTAGGCGCCACATTGAAAAAGTCCCCACCGTTGGCACTTGGGACTGGGTGCTCTGTGGTCAAGGTCTTAACATTTTTAACAATTTTATCCTTAAGTTTGCCCTGTGAGTAGTCATGTGTGTGGACCCTGCCCGGCTCATTGTCCCTTCCCCACCCCACGACTGCTGTGACCTCCACCAGCATCCCTCACTCCAGTGTCACCTTCGGTCCCTGGTGGAGAGCCTGCACAAGAGCAGCGAGTTGAGCAGTCAAGGCAGGAAAGGCAGGACACGGGTCTGAGGCATCTGGGCACAGGAAGGTGGGGGTTTCTCACCACCCCCCGCCCCCACCCCCACCCCCACCCCCACCAGGGGCCGGCCCGTTCACATGGGGGAGGCTGCAGTGCCTTTGGGGTCAGCCATCCGCCTGGGTTGAGCGGGGTGGCTTGTAAAAAGCCACTTTCCATGTTCCTTGTGTGCCGGGCTGCACTGACTGTGTAGCTGACCATGGTCACACCCAGGTCCTGCCATTTGCTAACGGAGCAGACTTCACCAGTCACTCTACCTTTGGGCCTCCAGTTCATGGTCAGAAAATCGGAATGTGTGCATCCCACAGCTGTTTTTTTGAAGACAGCGAGGTTTCTGTTTGTTAAACACACACACACACACAAACCAAAGAAAATCCCAAAATGCAAGTGTGATCATCTCGGCCACCTTGCTGTAACCTGCCTAACAGCCTGGTGCTGTTCTAGAATAAAGACACAAGCCTTTCACCTAGACCAAGGCTCTCCAACAAATACACAGTGTAAGGCACATATGTAAGTCAAACGTTTCTAGCAGTCACATTAAAACAGTAAAAGCAGCCCTGGCTGGTGTGGCTCAGTGGACTGAGCACTGGCCTGCAAACCAAAAGGCTGCTGGTTGATTCCCAGTTCAGGGCATGTGCCTAGGTTGCGGGCCAGGTCCCTGGGTTCTCTCTCCCTCCCCCGCTTTCTAAAAATAAATAAATAATTTTTTCAATACAGTTTATTGATTATGTTATTACAGTTGTCCCATTTCCCCCCCTTCACTCCCCTCCACCCTGCACACCCTTTCCCACCCACATTACCCCACTTTAGTTCATGTCCATGTGTCATACTTAAAATACTTTAGTTTCTACATTTCCCATACTATTACTTTCTTACCCTCCCGCTGTCTATTTTCTACCTACCATCTATGCTACTTATTCTCTGTACATTTCCCCCCTCTCTCCTCCTCCCCCTCCCCTGTTGCTAACCCTCCATGTGATCTCCATTTCTGTGGCATTCCTGTTCTACTTGTTTGCTTAGTTTTTCTTTTTGTTTTAGGTGTGGTTGTTAATAATTGTGAGTTTGTTGTCATTTTATCTTCTTTTTCTTAGATAAGTCCCTTTAACATTTCATATAATAAGGGTTTGGTGATGATGAACTTTAACTTGGCCTTATCTGGGATGCACTTTATCTGACCTTCCATTCTAAATGAAAGCTTTGCTGGATAGAGCAATCTTGGATGTAGGTCCTTGCCTTTCATAACTTAGAATATTTCTTTCCGGCCCCTTCTTGCCTGCAAGGTCTCTTTTGAGAAATCAGCTGACAGTCTTATGGGAACTCCTTTATAGGTAACTGTCCCCTTATCTTTTGCTGCTTCTAGGATTCTCTCCTTCATTTTAATCTTGGGTAATGTAATTATGATGTGCCTTGGTGTGTTCCTCCTTGGGTCCCACTTCTTTGGGACTCTCTGAGCTTCCTGGACTTCCTGGAAGTCTATTTCCTTTGCCAGATTGGGGAAATTCTCCTTCATTATTTGTTCAAATATCTTTTCCACTTGTTGTTCTTCCTCTTCCCCTTCTGGCACCCCTATAATTCAGATGTTGGAATGTTTAAAGATGTCCTGGAGGTTCCTAAGCCTCTCCTCATGTTTTTGAATTCTTGTTTCTTCATTCTTTTCTGGTTGGATGTTTTTCTTCCTTCTGGTCCGCTCCATTGATCTGAGTCCTGGTTTCCTTCCCATCACTATTGGTTCCCTGTACATCTTCCTTTATTTCACTTAGCATAGCCTTCATTTTTTCATCTAATTTGCGACCAAATTCAACCAATTCTGTGAGCATCTTGATCACTGTGCTTTGAACTGTGTTTCTGATAGGTTGGCTATCTCTTCATCACTTAGTTGTATTATTTCTGGAGCTTTGATCTGTTCTTCCATTTGGACCTTTTTTTTTTTTTTTTTGGTCTTGACGCACCTGTTATGCAGTGAGGGGCGGAGCCTTAGGTGTTCACCAGGGCGGGGCAACCCACGTCTCTGGTTTGTGACGTTATATGTGGGGGCGGGGTCTGAGAGGGAACAATGGTGCTTGCTCTGCTCTCTGCTGGATTCAGTCACTTCCGCCGCTTCCCCTAAGCAAACTGGGTGCTTCTGGTGCTGACTCCCATGTGGGTGGGCTTGTGTACGTCCTGGGACCCTGTGGGTCTCTCCCACGAACTCTCCTGTGAGGCTGGGAGTCTCTCCCAGCACCTCAACCCCCGCAGGTGTTTTCAGTTAGTGCGCTGAGGCTTTATTTCCTGGCGCTGGGACCCTGGGTTGCGTGGTCTGTCTTGCTCCCCAGTTTCTCCTGATTTATCTGCGCTCGAATGTGGAACCACCCAGTCTGCCAGCTGCCTTGTGTGCCGCGCCCCTCCCCAGTCTGCCGCCTCGCCGGGTCTGCCAGCTGCCACCTTGCCCAGAGTCCTCTCCACCCGGCTGCCCGTCTCCACCCTTCTTACAGGTCTGGGTGAGTGTTTCTTCTTTAACTCCTTGGTTGTCAGACTTCCATACAGTTGTTTTCTGTCAGTACTGGTTTTTTATGTCTAAATTGTTGTCCTTATTTTGGTTGTGCGAGGAGGTGCTGTGTGTCTACCTACGCCTCCATCTTGGCCGGAAGTCCTAAATAAATAAAATCTAAAAAAAAAAAAAAAAAAGTAAAAGCAGCCCTGACCAGTGTGCTCCATCGGCTGGGCGTCATCTTGAAAACCAAAAGGTCGCCGCTTTGATTCCTGGTCAGGTCACAGGCCTGGGTTGTAGGCTCAGTCCCTGGTTGGGAGCAGGCGTGTGGAAGGCAACTGACAGTGGTTTTTCTCATCCAAGTTTCTCACCCTCTCTTTTCCCTCCCTCCCTCCCCCCTCTCTAAAAATAAACATATTTTTTAAAAAGTAAAAACAGGTTAACTTCATATCTGCTTGACCCAAACACCAAAACCCAGTGTGTATTTTACACCTAGGGTGCATCTCATCTTGGGACAGCACAGGCCAGCTCTCCCACCGTCCAGCTGCAGCCTGCGCCGTGACACTGTCCCTACAGCCACGCTGGAGCCTTCCTTTCATCAAAAGTGCCACTGCCTCTCCTGACGTGGGGTCCCGTCATTTCCGACTTGGGGTCCTGCCTGGATCCTGGAAAGCTCTTCTCTCTTCCTTCTGGATCGAGTTAAGCTGATTCATCCTTGTGTTGCCAGTTCAAATCCCCAGCCTGCAGATTCCTTTCTGGACACCCTCCCATGCTTTCACCACATTGTGTGTCTTGCCCACACCACACAATTGTAGTTCCACATGTACTTTGGGCCACTTGATGGGTACGTCTCTCCTGTTAGCTTGTACACTCCAGGACAGAGGCCACCTGGTTTTTGTCGTTTGAACCATTTCCCGGGTTTAGCACGTGGCCTTGTGCAGAGTAAGCTTTCAACCTACTGGGGGATGGAGACTGTGAGTACTCTGTCGTGTTCGTCCCTTTCCCTCCCCTCCAGAAACTTCTCCTTATAAAGGAACTCTCCTGTGTAACTGCTAAAGAAGCGAGGACAGAAAGCACTCAGTGCTGAAAATATTTAAGTAGAAATCTAAGCACACAGATTACAAATATTTCTCCCCGATGTTACGTGCCACTTAAAAATAATGTCTCAGCTCTTGTTGATGATTTGGGCTGTGATTAAGGAAAATTACTCCTCAAGCTCGAAAGTAATTACTGCTTTTCCCCTGAGGAGGAGCTGCAGGGCAGGCGGTGGAGATCACTGTCCCGGTTTCACTGGCACATCTGGCAGGGAGCCGAATGCTCAGCTTCTTCCTGTGCTAGCACCTTTTCAGGTGAACCTACAGGAAGGTCCAGTCCACAGCTGCCAACTGATCCGGGAGATACCAAACCTGACGACACTGGTGTAGGTGAGGTCTCCAGCCCCTCCCCAGGCTGCAAAACCAAACTCAGCAACGGCTTTCTCCACCTTCAGTCAGTATCACTCCTTAGGACAGTGAGTTTGAAGATTCCATGCCACTGACCCCAAACACTGGAGTAGTATCCATTTCCCAGGGCCTGCCTCTCACCTTGGAGCCCTGGGGGGCGTAGGAGGAGCCACGTGGGAGTGAAGTGCAGCTCAGCACAGTGGCTTCTCAAGGACCCAGAGCTACACGTTTCGTTGGAGCTTCCAGAAACCCAAGTGCAAACAACTCCCACTTCAACAACATGGCACGCTGTCTTCTGGCCACACCCCTTACTCCTGTACTCTGGGGAATTCTAGGCAGGCACGATGCCTTCCTGTCTCCCGCAGGCCAAGAAACAGGTCGTCCCTCATTTCCAAATTCTGGATAGTTCAGATTTAAGGTTGGGGAAGGGCACCAAGGCATCACATGAACACTTGTCTCACCCAACCGTCCAACCAGTGGAAGTTTTATTTTTATTACTAATTTTTAGAGAGAGGCGAAAGGAGAGAGGGTAACATGGGTCGCCGCTTCTCACACATGCCCCAACCCCAGACTGAACCTACAACCCAGGCATGTGCACTGACCAGGAATTGAGCCAGACTCCTCTCCATTTGCGGGACAATGCTGAACCCACTGAGCCACGCCAGTCAGAGCCAGAGAGGGAAAGTTCTAAATAAATACATGGAATGTAATGAGTGAACCTGAGACCTGAATTTGCAATTTGCAGTATGTGTAAGGCCCTCAAAAAAATTTTTTTTTTATTTTAGAGGGGAAGGGGGAAGGAAAAACATTTATTGCCCAGTTATTGATACATTCATTGGTTGACTCTGGTTAGGTGCCTGAACCAGGGATCAAACCCACAACTTGGCAAATCAGGCTGATGCTCTTAACTGCACTGTCCAGCCAGTGATCCACGGGCCTCCTTCAAAGTCAGTACGTTTTTCAACCGTCGCTCTGGTGAGATGATTTGGGACGTAAATCCAAAGGCAAGTTCTCCACTCCACCACCTGCTCAGGCGGAGGACACAATGGGCGAAGCCTCCACAGGCCTCTGAGAGTTGGAGCACCTCTGCACTGAGTGTGCCCTCACACAAAGGTATGTTTCTTTTTTAAATATATTTTATTGATTGTCCCTTTTTTTTTAAAGATTTCATTTATTTTTAAAGAGGGGAAGGGAGGGAGAAAGAGAAACATCAGTGTGTGGTTGCCTCTGATATGGCCCCCACTGGGGACCTGGCCCGCAACCCAGGTATGTGCCCCGACTGGGAATGGAACCTGTGACGCTTTGGTTCGCAGCCCGTGCTCAATCCACTGAGCTACGCCAGCCAGGGCCAAAGGTACGTTTTCAAAAGGACAGTGGGACCCGACACCAGCCAATTCCACACAATGCTCAGTGGTACCGAGGACTGTGATGCGGAAGGACAAGGGTTAACTCCCAAGTGCCACTTTCAGGAGGTATTCTCAATGTGGAAAGTTAGGCAGGGGCTCAGGGTTGGTAACATTATTGGCCTGAAATCATCGTTGTGCAAAAATGAGGTTTTAGATTATCTTTCCGTGAACATGGCAGAATTTGGAAGACTGCTTTTGGGAGCCAAGCTTATTTCTAGCAGAACATTACGCAGGTTTTGCTTAGCGGTTAATTACAGTAAGATCAGCAAGGGCAGCAATACAATCAATGCAAGGATCAGCTAATTCAAAACCAATTCCAAGTTGTTACACACAGCCTGAGTCAAAATACTTTTCTATAATAAACATGAAGTCTTAAGGCTGCACATTAATGAAAATGTGAGGTGCTTCAATAGTTGTAACTCGAGTTTTCACTTCACCCAGACTATGAAAACTAATCTGAGTAAGGGCAATTCCACTGGGAGTTGTTTTTTTTTTTTAAAGATTTTTTTTATTTTTGGAGGGGAAGGGAGGGAGAAAGGGAGAGAAGCATCAATGTGTGGCTGCCTCTCATGCAACCCGTACAGGGTACCCGGCCTGCAACCCAGAAATGTGCCCTGAGTGGGAATCAAACTGGTGACCATTTGCTTTGCAAGCCCACACTCAATCCATGGAGTCACCTCAGCCAGGGCCATTTTAAGATTTTTAAAGCACTGGCATGAATCAAATACCAGAATACTCTCTTGCAGGGGTGTCTGACCTTTTGGTGTCTCTGGGCCACACCGGCAGAATTGTCTTGGGCCACACATTAAATACATCGCAACATGTATGTAATCACAAAAAAATCTTAACATTTTAAGCGAACACAATTTTGTGTTGGGCCACAATTATAGCCATCCTGGACACAGGTTGGACACCCCTGCAGTTTCGTAACACATACTTAGGTTAAAATAAAATACGAAACCATCTAGAATTCTTGGTCTTTCCCACCGTTAACTTGCAGTGGAGTGACTGGGACTGCTCACATCACCTCTGTCCCTCAGAGCTGAGGTCCCTCAGGGACAGGCGCCCGAGTCACAGCAGTCAGGGATGTTTGCACAAGCTGATAGCTACAACCTGGGCTCACAGAGGGGACCCATTTGGGGTCAGAGGGGCGCTGCCAAATGATGCACGTCTCACACTTAATGGTACCCCTACTAGAAGAACAGGCCAAAAAGGAGCAGGCGCCCAGGTGACCACGTAGGGAACACAGGGAAGGCAGGGCCGACCAGCGGCCGGGGCACAGCTCTTCACTGCCCAGCGGCTCCCCTCCCAGGACCAGCACAAACCTGAGGGAAGCTTCCTCGGAAGCTGCTTCAACAGCTGAACAAGAGCATCGGGCTCCTTCGCTGGCACCCAAGTGAAAATTCTATCAAGGTGAAAGGCCGTTTCTAGCTTTAAAAGAACTACAGTTAAGACCCTAAATTTCGCACTTAGAAAACAAGAATTTAAAGTCTTACACATTGAAAGAGGGTTCACTCCATGAAATACATTGTGTATAACATTTTATTAGGCACTACCTTCACCAAAATCTGTCCCTTTAACTTGAAATTTTATTAAGAAAGAGCATACAAACAAAAGCAGACACACAGAGTACAGCAGCAGCCGCGGAGCACCGACCACCACCAGTTCCTCTGCAGGCTGCTCCTCAGCTCGGCCCCCTCCAGCACCAAGGATGACCATAAACTTGTTCATCATCGCCGTGTGTTTCTTCCACAGACCATGTAAACACAGCCTGGTTTTGACCTTCAAGGAAATGGAGCCCTAGTGGATGTGTTCTTCTGTAATGTGCTTTTCTGACCAGAGGTTTCATCTGCATTCCCATGTGCGGCTGTCGCTGAGCCTGACTTCCGTGGAGTCCACTGCAGGAGCACATCCCAGTGTTGACCCAGTGGCCTACTGATGAGCATTTGGGGTCTTTCCAGTTTTTTTTTTTTTTTTTGCTTTTTCCTGTTCTTCCCATGACAAACACTGCCGTTACAGCACGTTACGTCCACCTCCTGGCACACACACGTGTCCCGCCCCTGGAGCTCCTCCCAAGTACTGGGGACGAAGAGCCACGAAAGAAGGGACGGCACAGCCACTTCCGTCAGACAGTGTCCCACCGTCCCCAACATCCTCATCCCTGTTGACAACAGATTCACTCGGGGTGCATGAGGAGGAAGAAACAGATCAACTATGAAACTCTCAAACTTCATTTCAAAAATAAAAATTAAAAATCTGACACAACAATGAAAAGCACGTTTACTTCTCGGTGCTGGTTTACTTGAAATGTACTTTATGTCTGCTATGTTTCAAAATACGGGTGAAACAGCAGTACTCAGCACATGTGGTACACCATCACATACTTTAAGAGTCTACACTATACACACATGCTCACAGCCCCCAAGGCCCACCTCCCCACAGAACACCCACTTGAAAGAGCAATAGGTAACAGTCGCAGCCCCTGGAGAGGGAGCAGAAAGGGACAGGAGAAGGAAGACATGGATCACTGAACACTTTCAGTGATGTATTATTCTTTTTTAGAATTCTTTTAAAAATTTTATTTTTCTACTGTTTTTTTTTTAACCATGTACAAGCATAGTAATACAAGATTTCTAAAAAGTAGTCAACTGGGGTTCTTTCATAAACTAAAAATCAGTCTGAACTGAAACTTGAAAACCTGATTTCATTCCACAGAAAATGTACACGATAAATTCTCAAGTATATTTTCCGTTTCATGCATTTTAGAAAAAAAATGTTTGAAAACATTCACACAGTTCATCTATAGTGCATTTTTAAACGCATAGAATGGACACAAGCCCCAAAACTTCTATCCTAGATTAATTTTAACATCTCTGGAAACTTAATCAGAAGATGGCTGACTTCAACGAGCACGTGGCCCAAGTGCCCTCGGACCTCGGCTGTGGGTCGGCTGCCCTGACACTACTCACACAGAGGGATCCAGAGAGACCTCCTACCGATGAGTGGCGGTGTAAGAAGAGGACACAAATCCCTAAACTGGGTGATGTGACTAGCTGGTTATAAGCGGAAGAAGGTAAGAAATGAGTTTTAATTCAAACTGACAGATGACTGCATTGTGATTTAAGAAAAAAGTCTTAACCAAGGGGGCAGAATACAATGTGGAAGAGACCCCACGTTGAGGCAGGGAGAATGCCAGAGCAGGGGACTCAGTGACTGGGTCCTCTCGAGAGGCAGAGAGAGAGGAAGCAAGTTACCAAACCAGACTCCAGCTCGTGACTGGACACTTGAAAGTTCACCCCATTTCCTTTAATCAGTGAACTGTTAAAAGTCAGTTATCTTTCAGAGATACATGCTGAAATACTTAGATTAAATGGTATGTCTGAGACCTGAAAATAATAGGGGTAGGGGATAAACACTACCGATATAAGACTGACCACTGCATCTTACTGGCGATGAGTTTTACTAGAAGTTAATGATCCTGGTTCTACTATGTGTATGTCTTAAATTTTCCAAAATAAAAAGAAACCAACTGTTTTGAGTCCAATCTTATCAAGTAGTCTTCTGATTAATAAAAACTGGCTCCCCTTAAAGGCTTTTCAAAAAGGAAATACAAATTACCCAACTAACAACGTTCAGGTCTGCAAGGCAGAAACGTGTACTTTTTATACAGAACCTCCCTATATGGAATTCTCGTGAATTTGATAACGAAGAATCAAACTCTGGGTGTTGGGGACGACCCAGCTTCTAGATCTCCACAGCTAAGACCAGACATTAACTATGGACACTTTAAGAAGCCAGGCCTCCCCCTCGAACCCCACATAATGTCAATATTGATCTAAGTGTTTGTAGAGATGAAGACTTTCATGAACTGATTAACTGTGTACATCATTCAAATAAGTTAGCTAGTAACTCCAGATGAGGCAGAACAGAATCTGGTGTTTTAATACCTTAATTTGGTACCTTAATACTTCAGTAAACTTCTGTTTTTCTTAAAAATTAGTAATAGAATATGGTAAGTTATCACTTTAAATTCTTTACCCCTACAGCCGAGCTCCTGTCAAACCGCACGAAGCAGTGCTTGGGAGGTGGCTCAGTGTGTGGGACTGGTTCCCCACCTTCTCTGCCTCGTCGCACGGGCCACCCCGACAGACTCGGAGACAGCCCCCTCGCTGCATCTTCAGCTTCAACTACAAGCACTGCCCTCCGAGGAGGACCTCACAGAGCCTCTGAACCGGCAGCTTTGTTGTTTTCCAACGTTCGGCGGAGAGCATTTTAGTAAACCCCGGAGCAGCTCACTGTGCCTACTGAATGCACGCGGCGGCACAACAGCGAGGCGGCGCTGAGGCCGAGGCCTTGATTCCCTGTGCCGGCTCCAACATGGAGCCGGACGGCCTGGGGTAAGTCATTTAACCCCCTTACTCAATTTCTTGACCTATAAACTGATGGCAGTATTTGAAAGTTATAAATCACAAAGTACTGCTATGATATATGTAGCTGGAGATAACACTTTTACACAATCTTTGACAAAGGAGGCTCCCAGCAGAAACTTGCTACCACATCTGCCACATGTGACAAAAGGGGAAAACCATCTGCTCAACCATTAGTTTACTTCTTAAAAACCCTTGTACATATTACACATCCCACAGAAATACATACATCTGTAACCTGACAAGATCAGGGAAAAGAAATCTTGGTACAGGATTTAAAGACCAAAAACGAGTTAAAAGTTCTCGAATGCTCTCTGCATCATTGTGTCCCCGCTAGAGGATCACAGTGTTCACCAGAAGGATGTTTTGAGTTTTCTACTAAAGATATCTTTCAGGGATGTAAAAATATATTCTAGTTCACTGTACATCTTTGCTATTTAAAAGCAAAATTCAAATTTATTCATAACTACCCCAAATTGAAGCACCATTATTAAAAACATTTAAACTGCAAATTCTGTGAAAACAGAACCAGGTATAACTGTACACCAACACCTCTAGCAACGGTGTACCTCTTATATTTAAAACAAGGGACTAGTTCAGAGTCAATACCTTTATTAGAAAAAGATTAATTAATACTAAAACTTTTCAATGACAGAGACAATCAAATTTGTAACAGAAAGTCAGAGATACTTTATTTTCACTTCTAAATCCAAAGGCTAAGTATAGCAGTTGTAAAAATGGAACCCCACTTAGTCTGATTCACACAAATACTAACGTTTAATCCCGTTTTCAAAGTCCAAGAATGAAAACTTGCAATTAAACACTGAGCAAGCCACATGTTTAGGTAATATTTCTTAAAAAGTCTCAAAGAAAAAAATATGATACATGACCTAAGTTTTCAGTGGCATATATATGATATTAACACGTTCTGAAATCTGGTAGGTCACATCAGTCCTGAATTAATTTTTAATAAAAAAACAAACAACTAACTGAGCTTTTTCTATGCCACTATAGTTTTCTTTCACCTCATTTTAATGTCGGTCTTCGCTTTATGCAGTTTTCAGTTTTCTTCCAAAAATCTTCGAACAGTAGTCCTATAATGCAAAATTTGGGGAAAAATGATAATTAGACAACATGTAAAAGGCAAACTTTTATGACTAAGTGTTGGCCCAGTCACTAACTGCTAATAATATATGTACATGGAGTGCTTTTTGCATCCTTTTTCATTGTCGAGGCATCAACGTGGTCTTAACACGTGTGCCTGTGAGTGCGTGCCTACATGGGAATGTGCACACAGACATCACCTTACGTGGCTGCCCTCGAAAAGGAACGCCATCGACAAACCAACTAATTGGTGCTTCCTTTCATCAGGAATATTCTATCCCACGCCACTAGCCCAAAGAATGAACGGTTTACAGGTTTTAAGAACTCTTATAAAACCTGACTTTTAATAGTTCTTAAAAAACCCAAATTCATTCTATATGGTTCATCAGTCCTTTGTTTATTTCACACATTGAAGAAGTCTATTCTTGCTATTCATGGCTGCTTTAAATGTATCAGCCAGTGATTATTCCTGTATTCCTAGGGCTGACTGAAGAATTCTCCTACACAGTAGGAAATATTAAGCACATACCTCTTAAAGACTTGAGAATTGCATTGAATGTAACAAGGCGAATAATATGAAGTGCTTATTGTATTTTAAATTCTTTAAAGAAATCTAATTCTGGGCACCACTGCATCCCTACACACAGTTGAAAAAAAATTCCATTCTGTTAACATTTGATTTATAAATTTTCACGCAATACACAAAAAACCCCTCTGTGCTTCTTGTAAAGAACAAAAAAAGATACACAACAGTTAAGCGTAAAGATCACAGGCAATAGCATTCAAACATGGATGTGGGTAGAGAAAGGAGTACCTGGCATGAGTACCTGCTTAGTTTGACTGAATCCTTGATTTTTAATTTGGCTTTTCATGGGCCGCTCACAACACCAACGCTGTGTGAGGTATGGTAGTCAGCTGCAATAATTCATAAACCCTACACTTCCATCAATCCAATGCTACTGGCTCTCGAGTTACAGAACAAACTGCATTAGAATGCAAGGCAATAAAGCAAAAAACTAGAAACATCCTTGACAAAGAAATAACTAGCAGTTTAATTAAAACAAAGTAGTCCAACATGTGCCTCAGAAATATTTAAGTTTTTAAAGCATATGTCTCTGCCAATGTACCAACACAAGATGGACTTAATACCAAAAAGAAAAAAAAAAAACAGTTCAACCTTTTTATTAAAAAAAAAAAAAAAGAAAAAGAAATGACAGCAAAATCCCTAAAAAAAAAAAAGGATAATTAACTTTTCAATGGCGACTATATTACAAATGTGGGCAATAATTTCCAAAGAGGCACACTAAGGGGCACGAGTCTGCTACAAAATAGCTGAGACAAAACAATGTACCTCAAAATGTTTTGCAGGACTACACTGTCTTTTCCTTCAGAAGATGTATGTCTTCTTACTCGGCTTAGTTCCATCTTCATCTGTGCATACTTACGCTGCACTGTCAAACAGTAACAAAAAGCCCTAATCAAAGTGAGAAACAATACACTTACCTCTGTCTGATCTGAGGTCTTATCAGATCAGTTTTAATTGGACTGAGTGTCACCTTCAGATTTAATGTCTTCACTGGTCCCATTGACCTCATTCTTAGTATCACTTTCCTTTGATTCAGTGTTTGTGTCTTCACTCTGTTTTTCTCGACTACTGGACTTCACACTACTTTTTTTATCATCAGATCCCTTCTTTTCTGCCATAAAAGAAGACATTGATCATGGATTTTAAAGTAAAATACAAACATGCATAATACTTTGAAAAGTGAAATAATGAAGAGAGAAAAAGACAATAATTTCCCACAGACTGCAAGTAACAGTTTGGTTAATCTATTAAAGAGGTACAAATCTCTAATTATGGAGGAGCGGGGAATCGGAGAAAGAAAAAGGTAAAAGAGTGGGCAAATTCTCTCAAACCAGTAAGAAACTGAAGTACAGGCAACTCCAAATCACTGCAGAATCTAAAATTTTAAGTAAATTTTATTTGGGGTAAAAAAAAAATCCAAAAGCAATGGGAAAGATATGAAAGACAGTACACAGAAGCTGTGTTCACATGAAGTAAATTTATTAAGTTAAAAAGATAAAAATAGTTACTGCAAAAGGTGAAAAAAAGTTGACCCTTTAATAGGCACGTTTCTCCAACTATCTTTTTAAATGCAAAAGATTACTTATGTATCTATATATTTGAATGCCCAAGAGGGACCAGCCCAATGAAAGAAAGTGGATCTTAAATCCCAATCGGAGTACTGAACTTTTATGCTTCACTAAGTAATACATAGGCCATTTCAGAGTTGTTTTTCCAAAAGGAGAAATTAAAGTTCAACTCAGCTACAAATACAGAATGAAAAAAGTGAAGCTTGACGTTTTTCTTTTACTGTTTTCCCTGGAATGCTGAAGGCTCAGACTAGAGATAAAAAGTGGTACACAGAACAAGTATACGCTAGCCTTTCTAGTTCCAAGTATTGCTAACAAAAGATTTCCACAGAAAATGTTAAACTACACTTTCTGGAAAAATTACCTTTTTCTCCTTACAACTAAATTAAAAATAGCTGGTCTAGCAGAGCAGTTCATAAGACAGACATTTTAAGAGAAGCAGAATCCTCTCCAGAATCTGGGTAAAGGTGTTAAGACATAACACTAATAACTGGGAGAGGACTGGTAATGAAAACAAAACATTGTCCGGGAGCACTCATTCAAAGAACTGAAGATCTCATGTGACGGAGCATCTTCAGCTCATAACACTTGCAGAATGCACAAAGCAACGCCCAAGTGGCTGACTGCAGGACTTGCTTCACATCTGTCTGTCCACTCATGAGAACTGGGCCAGTACAGTGTGCTCTAACTGACCTGGTGGGAAAGTCCTCCCTTTGTGCCTTATGGGCTTCTCCGGTGCACAGGTGGCTTCAATGAGGAAGAGTCGTCTTGTTGCCCCGTAGAGGACTAGTAGTCAGTCCAATAATCTTATCTTCTGCCCTATGTAAATATGGTAGATCTTAATAGTCCTAAGGACATCCACATGTGTGGTGGATTTTAGGGCTACCGATTAAAAAAGGAAACTCTCTTGACTAAGAGAGCACCCTAAACTGGTTGGTAGTAAGAAAAATAGGTCTGCGTGAGAAACCACTTTTCACTTGCAGAGTTAGACAAAAGTGCTTCCGTCACAGTAGTGAACTCCCTCATATCATCGCCATTATCAAATGTTTGCTACTGCTCGTACACGGCCTCAAAGTTCAGGCCTTTGGTCATTTATACACCAGGGAGAGCCTGAGTGGCTACATGGCATTTTCAAAAACCAATAAAACATAACATCACTTCTAAAAGGCAGCCCAAAGTTTAAGATAAATCTGTAACAGTATACCCAGCCTTTCAAGATGGACATGATGCCGAGTTTTCTCTGAATCAAGTCTTCTCTCCTTCCTTATCTCAACAGGAAAATCCCTGTTTGTCCATGAACTAAACACACTGCATCTTATTTTACCTAAGTGTCATTAACATTCCATGATGTAGTTATTACAATTAGAATTACAGCTAAGCAATTCGAGACGTCTTTTTCCCCCCTTCCTCTCTCCAGAAATTACACAAACACCGCTGGTTTGTTTGTTTTTTTTCCTCCAGTCAGCCAGTGGCATTCACTGCTCAGCTCTGTTGGCAGGTAGCTATGAAAGCAGCCAACTTTTTGTCCCTGAGAACCAATTTAACTATTTTAAACAGCTTTAGTTCTCAAAGAATAAGTAATTTGACCTCTGACATCAATATCTGCCTCTTAAGTGTTGACCCCTCACCCCAAAAACACATTATTCAAAAAGCCTTGCAAAAGTGTTGGGTGAAATGGGGAATATCTGTAATAGTGTCAACAATAAAAAATAACAATAAATGTTGGGTGAAACTTTCTTACAACTAATGAAAATCAGTTAATCCTTTATAGCCTTTTGAATAAATTCAGAATTTCTAAACTTAAATGGCAAATAAAACAGCTTGTGAGAGTAAGTTTTTAAAAACTATCCATTTCCTACTTTTTAACATTTGCTCCATGTTGCAGAAAAACATTTTTTAAAAGTGCACTTATTTAAGGAAAAATAAAAGCAGAAGACAAAAAATCGTGCTGCTAGTTCTCTTACTCAACCTATCAAAAACCTAAGCCTGTGCCCCCAACAACGCCCAAATCACCACAGGGTAATTCCACAAAAGAAAATAATAAATGAGTGTCACATGAAAGTCCAGTACAATAAACTCAAACAGCAGCACACATATTAGGCTGGTGATCACACATGGACACAGACAGGTAAACAGGATGAAGAAAGAGAGCCAAGAAAATTAGGAACAGGCCCTTTCTCTCATTCCTAAAATTCATGCAAAGCAGAACAGCCCAGTTAACACCAAAAATGAAAGATGCTCAAAGAATCTGAAGGAAACGAAGGAAGAAGACACTGATGATTAAAAGAATGATCTTTCAGTAAAGGCTAAGTTGAAGGGTGGGAATATCCTTGTGAAAACATGCCGAAGACAAAATGAGAAAGTCCAGTAATAGTGCACAGTTAACCAGCTACTGTGCACAGAAAACCAAAGAAAAAAGGCAGAGGGGAAACAGCATGATGTTTCAGTAGAAAACATGGTGCAGACACACGTAAGATATTCAATTTTTGTGAACTTAGAAGTTAATTACTGAGTAAAATGAATGTTATACATGAGAACCAATGCAACAATGTACATTTATGCTACAATACGTTATTGTGGAACACTACAGCAGATTTTTAAAAAATCTGCTACCAATAACCAAGTTAACATATTCTACAGCCTGAAAGCCCTGAAAAGTAATGTAATACTTGGAAGAATACAGATGATAAAACTTCCGGTTATTAATTGAATGTGTTCTACAAAAATACCAGGTCAAATGTCATTCTCACAAATCAGAGCAGGAGAAAATAATGCCCGTCTCCCGCTGAACTGCACTCACTATTAAGTGAAAAGGAGTATAACTTGAAATGAAACTCTGCTTATGTACAAAGAAGAGTGAGAAGAGTATGAAATAGTCTCTTAATAAATGAAATTCTCATATAAACTAACCTTTCTCCTTGGATTTTCTGTCTTGTTCTCTGTCCCGACTTTTGCTCCTGTGCTTATATGACTTTCGATCCCGGCTTTTTGATCTTCTTCGATCCCGACTACGAGATCTATGCTTTCTTTCTGATCTATCATGGCTTCTGCTTCTTCGGCGATCTCTACTTCTTAATAATTTTAAAAAAAGGGGAAGCAATTTCAGCTGATATTACAATAAGAAAAAAATCGAGAATTATATACCACTGAATAAACAAGATTAAACTAAAACCCTTAAAAGGCAAATGAACACAATCTACTACTAAAACACGTTTATGTTAGAAATTTTAAGAACTAAAAATCTTTGTAACTTCAATAAAAAGAGTTATTATGTTCTTGATGACCCCCTTTCTGAACTCTAATTAAATAAAAAGTTAATTTCATGTTGTGTTTTTTAAGAATTAGTTACATGATGTTTTCGTTCTTAATTATGATTGATGTTGTTCAAAGCAAAAGTAGGTAACCTTAACTACAGTAACTTATGATCTGAACGTCTTCTTAGGACCAATGAGAAAAGAAGCACTTAAAAGACCATTCGGTACACTCAGTCCCTAGCAAGACTGCATCAAACCTCGCCAGACTGGTGGAAAACAGCAAAGAATTTGCCTTGAAAAGGGACTAGTTCACTGATTCAACTTTCACAACCCACCCCAGTGCTTAATGACTGTTGAGACCATCTCAAGTAGCGAGGAATAACACCAGCAATTACACCAGTTTACTGCACACTCACTGTGTACCAAGCACGGTCTCACATGTCCTACGTACCTGCTTCGCCTTCTTTCTCTACTTCGTGATCTTTTGTGGTCCCGAGACCTGCTGCATCTTCGGTCAGAAGTCCGGCTTGAGTGTCGACTTCGTGAACGACTTCTCTTTCTTCTCTCCCTGTCGCGAGCCCTTTCCTTTTCTCTTTCTTCCTCCTCTCTTCGTCTTTTCCTTTCTCTTTCTTCCCTTTCTCTCTCCCGCTCTTTTTCTCTTTCTTCCCGTTCCTGCTTCTCCTTCTTTAAACGCTCATCACGATCAGGTTCTTCAGTTCTTTTTCTTAATTTTTCCTAAGGAAATCAAGTTCAATTTTTATTGAGCTATGTTTATGACCTTTAAATACAACATCAAACAATGGCTACCTACTGTGAAGCATTTGTAGACCAATTTACGAAATTTTATGCCCAAAAATGGGTGTCAAACTCATTTTCACTGGGGGCCACATCAGCCTCATGGTTGCCTTCAAAGGGTCAAACGTAATTTTAGGACTGTATAAATGTAACTGCTCCTTAACAGTTAAGCGAGAGCTCGGCACTGCCGCCAGGCAGAAACAAGGTGCCAGGCCGGATGAAACAAGGTGGAGGGCTGGCTGGCCCTCGGGCTTGTGTTTCCCACCTGTGCCTAAAAGGAAATACCAACACCACATATGTACATGAGATATCACTACTTGACTAAATGCTCAGGAATGCTCCCAAATTCCTGGCACTAAAGAGTGAAGGTAATAAAGTGCTTTGGTAGTCTAACTCGCAAAATTTTATAGGGATTATCACTGCTTCAAAGAATGCAAACCAGCCAAATATCATAAGAGGTTTATAGCTATGTAATTAATTCTTAGACATAATGAAATACAGTATTAGCTATAGCTAAAATACATGTTTAAAAGAAACTTACTTTTAATTCTTCTACAGTAGCTTTAATTTTGGCATAGCCCATGTGCTGTTTTCCCATTAAGTGGTCATCTACCCGGGACTGGGCATCTCCTACTATCAAAAAAGCTCCACACACTTCACAAACTTCCATTTGTTTTTCTTGGGCAGCAAAACTTTCAATGGTCTAAAATGATAAATCAGTTATAAGAACGTCTGAGGAAAAGAAAAAAAAACAAATCCCGGGAGTATTTAACATGTAGAATAGATTTCCAATTTTGTGAACTGCTCCCCTCCACTCCCCCCAGCCACAATCCCAAGCAGCACCTGGCCGACTCTGGAGAGGCAAGGACAACAGTGACCAACTTTTCGTCTCCTCCAGGAAGTGCCAAGTCCCCGTCACACAACTGTAACCACTGAGTTACCTGCACCACCTTGAAAAAGTTAAACTATTTTTCAGAAAGCTACCTATTTTAGTCTAAATTCACTTCTTGCTTAGGTTGAACAGGCTAAGGTATCACCTCCATACTAAACTTTTTTTCAAAATCATTAATGGAACTATTGAGCATAGTCTGAACATATCCTATTCAATAGTTGGAAAAACAATGACCAATTATATTCTACCATCAATATCCGTAGATATTCTCTAATTAAAAGATTTTTTAGAAAAGTATTTTAAGAGTATACCAATACTGAAGATTAATATGTACTGAGTAGCTTATTGTGACAAAAAGATAAAAATCAGTTCCAGTCTGCCCACATCCTCACTAACACTTGGTACGGTCGGTCTTTTAATTTTAGCTATTCTGACTGGTGCATACGAGGTCCAAATGAATACTCATGATGCACCAGTTGGCAAACCAGCAGCTAGATGCCTGTTTTTGTAAATAAAGTTTTATTGGATACAAAGCCACAACCATTTGTTTATGTATTGTCTAAAGCGCTTTCATAATATAAAGGCAGAGCTAGGTAGCTGCCCTAGAATAGCATGACTTATACATCTAAAATATTTATTTTGGCCCCAACTGGTATGGTTCAGTGGACTGAGTGCCAACCTGTGAACCCAAAGGTCACTGGTTCAATTCCTTCCTGATGAGGGTACATGCCTGGGCTGCAGGCCCCGTCCCACATGTGGGGTGTGCAAGAGGCAGTCAGTGGGTATCTCTCTCACACAGCAATGTTTCTCTCCCTCTCCTCCCCTCTCTCTAAAAATAAAAAAAGTAAAAGTTTGCTGACTCTTTACTCAAGGCACTAGAAAATTGTTTACAGAAGTTCTCAAATAGGAATAGGTCATAGTAATTCATAGCAAACAGCCTGGGTAAATCAAAATGAGGATGCTACTCACCGATGTTGTGGACCTAAGCAATTCTCTCTCTTCTTTTAACTGTTCGACTAATTTCATCATTCCCTGGGCTTCTTCTACTTTTCCTTCAGATCCTAATTCTTCAATCTAGGAGAGGTCAAAACAACAACAACAAACTAACTAACAAAAAAACCCCCACAACAGTCAAGACTCCTTTTCTAACCAGACTAGCCAGGCATCTCCCCCTCTCCACCATGCTTCATTAGTGTGGTTATTGAGGGTCTTTTTGTTTGGTTTTGTTCGCTGAAGCCTCTTTGTGTTTAATTAACCCTTTTGATTTTTTACAGCATTAAGAGAGTATACTTGACAGGCAGTAAGTTGCTCATTTTAAGGTGCACAACATTGGTAAGTTTTGACACCCATGAAACTAATACCTTCATCTAAATAATAAAAACATCCATCACCCCAAAAAGTTTCCCCATGCCTCTGTACTACTTCTCCCCAAGTAACCATTGATCTACTACTTATTTTCACTATAGATTATTTTGCATTTTCTAATATTTTATATAAATGGAACTACGCACTTTTGGGGGAAGGGGCTGACCTGGCTTCTTTCACTCAGCCTAATTATCTTAAAGTTCACCCATTGTGTTACATGTTGTTAATTCTTTATACCACTGGGTAATATCCCATTGCAAGGATACATCACCCTTTGTTTACCCATTCACCTGTTGATAAACATTTGTTTCCAGTATTTAGGGTTTCTGTCTACTATAAATAAAGCTGCTATACACATTTATACAACTCTTTGTGTAAACATGTTTTCATTCTTCTTGGGTAAATATCTAGGAGTGGAATGGCTGGCTCATGGTATATCTTTTAGCTTTCTGAGACACAGAAAAACTCTTCTCCAAAGTGGTCACGCCATTTTACATTCCCCCAGCAGTGTATGACAGTTCCAGTTTGCCCACATCTTCACCAAGACTTGGTGTGGCCGGTCTTTTAATTTGAGCTATTCTGGATAGGTGTACAAGTCTGTGGTTTTCATTTGTATTTCCTGAAGGACACTGAGCACCTTTACATATATTTGCCATCTTTATTTCTTTTTTGGTTAAGTGTTTATTCCAAGTATTTTCTGACAGTAATGCATACAATTCTTACCTGTTGCAGGAGTACATCAATTTTATCTGTTAGAACCTGAATTTTTTCTTCATTTTTTCCTGTTGGGCCAGCTGCCTATTGAAAACAATAAAATATATTATCAAAAAGAAAAAAAAAAATTCAAACTCTCACAAACTGTACATAATATTTGTATTTAATAATTAAAATGTCAAATCACAAGGATAATAACTCAGTTATCTTCAATTTCTGTTAGTTGACTGCACATTGTCAGTTACTGATATTAAAGACAAAAATCTTATGATTGGCAAAATCAATATTACATTTACAAGTACAGATAAAAAAATGCCTTTTAAAGTCTTATGTCATTCTGAAAGAACATGTAATGAATGAAGCTAAACACAAGTTTCAATACCAGACAGGTCTCTAGAGATCAAGGACACTTTACAAAGACTGTAAATTAATTTCATACTCACCCCAGAGGACTGCTGGTTTTGAGATAATGCCAAACGAGCATGGCCTCGTCTAATTCTACGTTCCACTTCTGCAAGTAAGCTCTGCAAGTATCTCAGAAAATCTCTCTCGTAGCCAACTTTCATGAAACGAGAACTCTTCTCATACCTGATAAAAGTGAAAATAAACAAGCATTATATTTTTCCAAATCTTCACCCATTATAACTCATATTCTATCTTAACTAGTTGTCTCATGGATAGTTACATTAAGGCTAAAGGGTAAAGGAGATGTTTAAGAAGTGAATTTCTAGCTGTCCCTGCACCTGGTACAGGAAAGGTAGCACTGAGCATTACGTTTGGTTAAGAGCATAGATTTTATGATCAGGAAGTGCAGGTGCTCCCACACCAGCTCTACCACTATACTAGGTCTGTGACCCTGGACAAGTCTCATTTATAAAATCGGTGCTGTGAAAAAAGCAACCATGACGTAGCATTGCTGAAGCTACTATATGACTTTCTACCACCACAGCTAATGAACAGGACCTCTATCAGGCATTCATTTTACACCAATTCCAAATTATTTCTTCAATCCTTGTCCCCTTTAAACCAAACAATGATCAAGAGGAAAAGGGTGGGGGTAGGGAGAAAAAAAAAACACCCCTCCCAAAAACCCCCCACAACTTACTGTTTTCGTAGATTTTCATCATGAATTTTTTCACATGGACCTGAAGGAAAAAAATGCAAAATATGAATGTATATGAAGTACTGGTGACCTTAACAACTTTTCAATTTTTGCCAAAAAGGAAACTTTCTTAAAGAAAATAAAAGAAAAAGAAACAAGAAACAAGATCCATTGTATCATCTCATCTGAGTAGGTTGTATGTAGACACCTGCACTGTGCCTACCGAAATCATGGAGCAACGGGCCCGAGTAAGCACACGAAATTAGTCTTCTAGATCAATATAATGGAGAGCAAATGTATGTTAAGGAAAGAGGGTGTGGGAGGAAAGAGAAAATTGTTCCTTACTGCCACCCAAGAAAAAAAAACTCTGACAAAAAATACTGGTCCGAACCACCACTGACATGGTACTAGTTTTGAATATCTGCACATGAAGTCAAACAGTACAAGACTAGCATCCTAGTCTCATCCCTTCCCACCTCTAAAAGGCTACCAATTTTAACCCTTTTAGCTATTCTTCTGGATATTTACAAGTTCTCCATATTTATAAATTCTATACTTATTTTGCTTTCTCTTGGTTTATATTGGGTATCACAATTTTAGGTTAAATATAATATACAATGTTTATATTTTGACTATGCAAGTAATATCAACTGCCAAGCTAAACAAAAGGTACATTAATTATGATGACACTTTGAAAACACTTTATACTTTGTTGAAATTTTTCATTTATTTAGTTTTCTATTTACTTCCAAATTCTTTGCAAACCCTTTAATTCAGTCACAGAAACTATCTGAATATTAAATTCTCTCAAGATTCAACACACAGCCCTGGCTGGTGTGGCTCAGTGGATTGAGAGCATCAGCCTGCAAACGAAGGGCTGCCAGTTCGATTCCCCATCAGGACACGTGCCTGGGTTGCAGGCCAGGTCCCTGGTAGGGTATGTGTGAGAGGCAACCACACATTGATGTTTCTCTTCCTCCCTTCCCTTCTCTACAAATAATTGAGAAAAAAAAGATTCAACACACATCAGAAAATCAGCTTCATTTTCTTCCATGAACTTTCTGACACCTTCAATCTGGGCTGCTTATTTTCTAAGCTAAGAGTTGTCATGCTGAGAAATTCCTTTTCTGGTCTGCATTGAATATAGTTTACTGGATCTCTTGTTTTTCTCCTTCTTGGTTTATGCCCATGTGTTGGTGAAGTTTCCAGAGGAAAGGTTCATGGGAGATAAATTTGTTGAGACCTTGCATGTCTGAAAGTCTGTCTTTCACACCCACTTTCCTGTTTGGCTATATAGCCAACCTAGGTAAAATATTTTCCACTCAGAATCCTCAGGGAGTTTCTCCAAAGTCTTCCAGCTTCCAGTGTTTACTGACAAATCTGAGGCCAGTCTGATTCAGTCCTGTGTGCTCCGCCCCCACCCCAGGTGTTCTGAAATTTCACAATGGTGTATCGTGGTGTGGATCTTGTTCACTCACTGTGCTGAGCACTTGAAGAACACATCAATCTAGAGACTAACAGTACTGCATATTAAAATTTTCTCCCCCTTCTGTTTTCTCTATCTAGACTCTTATTCAGCTATCAAGAGTGCTAGGCTGATATTTTAATCTTTTCTGTCTGATTACCCAACAGTCCAGCAAATTTCCTTGATTTTATTCTCAAACCTTTCCACTGATTTCAGATTTCTCCAGTTCTAATTTCAAGAGCTCTTTTTGGTTTTCCAAAAGTTCCATTTTTATGTAACATCCTATTCTTCCTAATATCTTCTCTTATTTCTCTGATATTAAATTTAGTTAAAACTTTTCTTCTGCTTATCCCATTATCTCTAACTCTACTAATTTTTACTGTTGGTTTTGGTTAATCTTTCATGTTGAAGGTTTTCTTCAAATGTCTGATTGGTGTCCTTGGCTGGCAAAACACTCCACAATCTGACTGGAAGCTGATGTGCAGAGTTTGTCAACTACTATGAGCTTTACTATTGGAAAATGAGGCAGCAAGACTTTCTTTTAGGAGACTCCCCAAGGGTCAGTACCTGTAGATCACTTCACTGGAACTGTTCACTTTCTCTAAAGAATCCTCTTCTCTTCTGCCTGGGGAAAAACATCTGGCTGTATCCTTCTAGGAACAGGGCAGAGGAGGGAATGGGAAAACCCCACTATTAAGAATATAGACTCAATTAATCTCTTACAGTCTCATTTTTACTCTTTACTGCCCTTTGCTATATCTTGAATCCCAGTATCTAGACTCCTCCAGCCCTAATGCCCTACTGAGTTCCTAATGCTCTAGGACAAGCATTGTGCTTAATGAATTGACTTCTCTTTTATGATTCTAAAATAATACTAGTTATGTACCACCTTTGGGAGCACAGTCACTCAGTTATTTTTTTACATTCTGTGGTTCAGTTGACCTAGAGTCTCTTTAGTCTAATTTCTCCAGAAAGGAACCCTCTAGTTTCCTGGGGTACAAGGGTGAGAGAGACAGAATCACCACACGCACAGGTTTAAGAGTCTGGTCGCCTAAACTGGAGGTCCTCGACAGAGAGGAATTATGCACACCCGCCTTCCCTGGGCATGTGGCAATGCCTGGAGGCATTTCTGGCTATCACAACTGGGGTGGGAGGAGGACTACTGGCATCTAGTGGATAGAGGGATGCTGCTAAACATCCTACAGAACACAGGACAGACCCCTAAAACAAGAAAACCACAGACCCCAGCTCACAATGTCAAATGTCAAGGTTAGGAAACCCTTGACTAATCTGTCATTTTGCCCCACGATTCAACTGCCTTCTATGGTACCTTGATGCCTCCAAATCTTGAGCCTGTCCAGGGTTCTGCTGATCAAAAACACTTGCTTCTGTTTAACATCCCATTCTGTAGGCTTTTAGGGTACAGGTTGCTCTGCTCTGTTGAGTCTGCTGCTACTCTTCCATCCACTTGTCATCTTCCAAAATTTGTTGATATCTCTAATGTTATCTCCTCTTCCATTTACACCTTTTTTTGTTGTTTTTAAATTTTCATTTTAGTGGAGGGGATTTAGGAGGGAATGTAAATGGACATGTACTGTATATTTAACTAAACTGACATTTACTAACACATTCAAAATTCTAAGCCAGGAAAGAAACTAATTTGTCAACAAATCTTTTAAGAGAAAGCTTTTCAGAAATATAAAGTACCAGTTTTTTAAAGCCACAAATTTGATAAAATTACACAGAAAATTCACTTACCAAGATCTGAACGAGTGTTTGTGAACAATTCCGCAGGACAAAAACCACACAGATAATATTTACAAACCTAGTAAAGAAAAACAGAGGTACTTAAACTTTTAAAATTGTTCAGTTTTAAAACTATATTGGGAAAGGTGCCAAATAACTATGTTCTCATTTCTGGATCTTCATCTTTCAACCAAGTACGAGTCAGCACAATTTCACGTGTTAGACCGCATTAGGTCAACCAGTGCCTCTCAGACTCCTGCATTTCAGTAAAAGATAGATAAGACTGACAAAGAGTTACCAGCTTTTAAAATCACTGACCATACCCTCAATAGTGACAGCAAATATGGGAAGAAAAATATGGAATCTTGATTTTTTACTTTAAAAAAATTAACACTGTTCTTAGCATTCTAACATTGTGTTAAAGGCCAGAACCAATTTATAGATTAGGATTTGGGAACCACTGTCTAAATTACAATACTCATTTAAAGCAATCTGGTTCAGTATTTTCACTTGAGAGATCCTGTAATCTGCCCTAAAATGTATTGGTTATTTTCATATATACCAGCACTTTACTGACTTAAAAAAAATCCTCACCCAAGGACATTTTTTCACTGCATTTAGGGAGAGAGGAAGGGTAAGAAGATGCAAGAGGAAAGCACTGATTGGTTGGTTGCCTCCCATAGGAGCCTGAACTAGCGGATCGAACCTGCAACCTAGGTATGTGCCCTCACCAGGAACCAAACCCGCAACCTTTCCATTTTTGGGAAAGATGCTCCAGCCGAGCCACAACAGCCAGGACTAGTGAGTGATTCTTTAAAATTTATTTATTTTTTTTAGAGAGAGGGGAAGGGATGAAGAAAGAAAGGGAAAGAAACATCAACCAGTTGCCTCTCACACACCCCCAACTGGGGACTTGGCCCGCAACCCAGGCATGTGCCCTGACTGGAACCAGTGCTCAACCCACTGAGCCACACCAGCCAGGGCACTACTGAATGACTCTTGATGGGCTTCTATGATATAGGAACTTAACATGAAACCAACTTTTAATTCTCTCCCAGTGGTGCTTTTGTAACTCCTTCAGATGTATTCTAATACTATCCTATATTTAATTCTGTACTCCAAAAACCAAAACCTGGTAAGGAAAATCAAAACTCCCTTCGTCTAATAACTTCATTGTTCCTGGATGAATTATCAGTGTACAACCATGACATATAAAAAGAAAAGGTATGTTGAATTTAAGATTGAGAGTTCTTTCTAGATACTTAGAAACAGATGTTAAATATGAAATATTGTATTCTGTCTCAAAGGCCAGTTGTTTTATATTCGTTTGAAGCAATGTGGTTCCATAAGCCGTGTCCAGAAAAACTAAGGTCATAAAGAACAATTAGCCCTGGCTGGTGTGGATCAGTGGATTGAGTACCAGCCTAAGAACCTAAAGGTCACCAGCAGTTCAATTCCCAGTCAGGGCACATGCCTGAGTTGCAGACCATGTCCCCGGGGGGCCCGCATGAGTGGCAACCACACATTGATGTTTCCCTCTCTTTCTCCCTACCCCCCCCCGTCTAAAAATAAATAAAATCTTTAGAAAAGATAAACTATGTATGTTAAATTTGTAGAAACAGGCAAGTTATTCTGATTTTTAAAATACTACCCAACACTTAAAAAAAAATGTTTTTAGGCACTATGTAGACCAGCCTGTGGGCTAAGCAGGTGCTACCTATAATTTAATCTAATCACCCAGTCTGAGACAAGAAAACTGAGACCAAATCACATGACCTGTCCTGAAAGAATCTAGCTACTTACAGAATCTAAATTAGAACCCATTTTCTTAACACAGTTCTGTGTGCTATTTCCACTCCAACTCTCCTTACGATACTGCTATAATGTAATGGTACATCAAAATATTTATAAACTTCTATCCAATAAACTGTGGCTACTTAAGACTGCTTCCTTCCACCCTCCCCAGGGATAGAGGATATTTAACTAAAAATATTAACAAAATCTTTTATTCAGCAAGACTTTACAATCTGACACCCAAAGGTGCGTTGGGGAGCAGAATTCTGTGACTTATCCCCTTGATAAATTTAAGGCAACACCAGTGACAGAGGTTGATCCCAAGAGCATACTTTAGTGAATTCACTACCAGTTAACAGAATGCAGAAATACAGTCAATCTTGGAACTCTGACTAGAAAAATTTAATTGTAAATTTTCCTCATATAAGCAAAGTTAAATAAAAAATTAAAACATATCTGACATAGCGTTGGGAAAAATGACATTCCACACAATAATAGAGGGCTGTGGGACAATTTGGGAGCATCCACCAAAGCATGAAATGTGCATTTAACTTAGTAATTATCTTTCTAGGAACCTATCCTCCAAGTGACTCAGCAGTATGTACCAGAATACTCACTGCAGCTTGGCTGGTATTGGCAAAAGGGTTAGACATAATCTACATATCCACCAGGAAACAAAGAGTTAATTAAGGTAGATTTCTATACCAACCAAAAGATTCCACAGAATAATTCAAAGTTCTTAAATATATTAGTGTACCTATGACAACTTTCACTCATAGGTATAATATATGTGTCTGTAAATTATTAGGGAAGATTAGAAAACATACCAATTTTTAATTTTTTTTCAAGGATTTGGCTGTGGGGATGGGAGGCCAGGATGACTTTCACTATTTCTATGTTCAGTTTTAATCTTTTATAGCAAGCAAGCATGTTTACTTTCATAAATAATTTTAATGGTTCTAAACTCAGAAGGAAAACAAAATAGTAAAAGCAATCCCAAATATATTAATAAGAGAATGTTAGCTAAAACCTGCACCTTCACAAAACATCCTATATTTTAGTATTTACCTCTTCAAGGCACTATCAATTCTGGACATCAATTTAGACCACTTCAATCACAAAAGTACGCTATGAATATTTCTGTCTTCCTATTCCTACTTGCTTCCAACAGTAAGCAGTATATTTCTCCCTGAGCTAACCAAGTATTTTCAGTGCTGTCTGCATTATTTTACTAAACTGCTTTCCCCAAACCAGTTGAATGCCTAGTTTCTCACCCCAATGGTCAGGTTGGCTATATATTATTTACAAATAGTAAAGCCCTCAAATCATTAAAACACATATGGATGTCTTTACAAACACCTACAAACACAGGTTCCTAGCTAAAATCCTGTGGATAACTTAAAGAGCCTCTTTCAGTATTCTAAGTTACTAATAACCTTGTTAAGTAATTGGTTTCACCAGGTACCAAATTCCATTTTATAAACAATATAAAGATAACTTATTATTCAATTTCTGTTTTTGATAATCTACCCCCATTTTAAATGCATCATGGTGGGCCCTGGCTAGGTGGCTCAGTATGTGGAGCATGGGCCTGTAAACCAGGCTGCAGGCTCCACCCCCAGTCCCCCAGTCCCCCAGTGGGGGAACATACTAGAGGTTGCAGTTCAATCCCAGGTTGGGGTGCACAGGAGAGGCAACCACCCCGTGTTTCTCTCTCATATCCATATTTCTCCCCCCCACCCTGTCCCCCTAAGATCAGCGAGGGTGCCCATAAAATTAAGTAAAACAAACAAACCTACCATGTTGGCAACAGTCAACCTAGTATTTTGATGATAGTGACTTAAACTGTCACATACATTTTTTCATTTAAAACCCAGGAATACCTGGAAATTTTACTAATGGAAAAGGAGGATTACCTTTCACTCTGTAATCTTTATAGTCACTTCCACCATTAATAGTTTAACTCAGCGACTTTCAACCAGTGTGTCACAAGAATTTTTAAAAAATATAATACCAGACTATTTAGTCAGGGGCTGATAGCTCTTCCCTTAGACTGTCAAATAAAAATGACAATAACCAACAGGCTGTCTGGTCAGAGCAGCAAAAAATATATTTTTGGGTGTGCCACATGCCACAGAATTAGCAATTAGTTCATGTGTGCCATGAGATGAAAAAAGTTGAAAGTGCTGATTTAACTGACTACAACAGGCTAGAAACAAATGTTTCTTCTTAGCTAAAAGAGTTGATTAAAAAGAAGATAAAATACAAAAGAGAAAGACCGTACTGTAAGAATTCATAACGAAAGTACTGTCCTCAGTACCCACCCCTCGGTCTCCTGTCTCAGCTACGCCAGGACCACTCGTTCCACTGCCACTCATTTCCGCGCCTTCTATCACACACACCCCTGCAATCACAGCTCTTTTTCTTGCCTCCACAAACTTTTGGTAAAATTTTAATCAATTTCCCATAGTAGCCAGAAAGTAAAAATCTCTCTGCTGCTTGGAAACCTTCAATTGTTCAATTGCTTCCCAATGTAACTGAGCCACAACTTTTGGTAAAACTTAAAAAAACACATTCAAAACCATATTCCTGCCCATGTAGCCACATGCCCCCTCTTCAATGAAAACACACAAGGGCCCCAGCTATAACACCACATTTATCAGGCCTATGATTTTCTCTAGCCTCTAGTAAATCCATCTTCTTTACCATTCCCTCAGTCTAATTCCTACTAATCCTTTAGGTTCCAGTTTTAAGGGTCACTTTAAGAGGCCTTTCCCAAGTACCCCAGTCTGGGTCAGGTGCACCTCTCATACACCCTTTTCCCACTGTGGCACTTACCACCACATCATGCTATAAAAGCACATTTACTCCTTCATATCTGCCACCACACTGGTGGCGCTCTCAGACCAAGTGCCATCATCTACACTAAGCTATATTACTATAGCTTCAGAGTGAAACATGCTTGTTGAATAAACGAATACAGGAATTTCCCCAACTTACATGTAACAAATAAAAAAAGTAAACATTTCACAAAATAAAAGCACTGTATTACTAACTTAAGCTACTTTTTTCCCTTGTAAAGAAATCAAGTCTAATGATAATTAACTACACACACTCTTCTGCTAAAGTAATCAAATATTAAGGGAAAACCTCAGTATTTTCAGTGTGATAATAGTACTGTGGGGTTTTTTTTGTCTTTGTATTTTAGAAATACATAATGATGTCACTTAAGGTCTAAGTGATAGAATTCTTCAAAATAATGGAAGGAGCAGGAAATATAGAGAAAAATAACATTGGCCATGTGTTGATAAGGTTGTATTGGGTATGAGTACCTGGAAAGTTCATTATACCATTCACCCTACTTTTTGTTTGTTTTGGGAAGAGAAAGCAACAGCAGTTAAATATACATATTAACACTGACTGCTAGAACTTCTGAGAAGCCCAAAACTCACTATGTATTAATAGGACAGGGCAGCAAATACCTACATTTCCAACAGAAAGAACATTTTGGGGACTGAATTAAAATTAATAAAATACTTAAAAGTTCAAAAATGAAAATGTGGACAGAAACCTTAACTGTTTCTTTTCTACACTTGATCTTAGCCAAAAGGATGAGAAGCAATAGGTTTTTTCTTTTCTAAATAACTTCCAGTGTCAATGACAATATTTGGTAATATTCTGAGGATTTTAGAAAAGAACGTTTAATTCAATTCCCTTCATAAACCATTAAATTTCCAGTGAACAGAAAGCATACTTGAATTTGATAAATGATGAAAGAAATCTCGTTTTAGGTATTATTAGAATTAGAGTTAAGCCAATAGTTATATAATTTCACGTATGGGTTGAGATCTACAATGTAAAATCCTCAATTTGAAGTACAAAATTCCTGTTACCTACTTAGGTGGGTAACAAGCTTCTAGCATCTGGCAAACACTGCAATTTTCTCATGTGGACACTAACTGAAAGGTGCTCACACTAGGCAGTTAAAATCATATGCTTTTCTCATTGTTGTGGTTGGTTAGAACTTAATAAAGCAAAACAAACTGCTTAATACAAAATACTAATAATCTCAAAGAGTAAAATATTAACAAAGGAGGCAGGAAGGTGTGCCAATGAACCCTTGGAATATTTCACTTCAGCTGAAAACCACTATCTCTCAGATCCAGAGCAATCTGCAAAAAGGTTGGAAACGCCTGTTAATACTAACCTCAGAAAGGTACTTTCCAAGATTCAGCTTTGACAGTGGTTCATATATCCATCCTTACAAACAAGTGAAAGGCCTATGATTTTCTCTAGCCTCTAGTAAATGCCTCTTCTCTACCATTCCCTCAGTCTAATTCCTACTAATCCTTTAGGTCCCAGTATTTAAGGGTCACTTTAAGAGGCCTTTCCCAAGTACCCCAGTCTGGGGTACTTTGTAATCACAAATACATCCTTCACTTAAAAAATGAGCTTTCCAAGTGCTACTCAAAACTAAGAACCCAGGACTAAGAGGTGTGTCAGGAAGCAGTAGAAAAAGAGTCCATTTTAAAATGTGCAGATTTCTGGGGCCTTCCCCCAGCCTTACTGAATTAGAATGGCGACAGGGGAGGGGTGCACAATCTGCATTTTAAAACAAACTCCACAACTCAGATACAGGTGTCCTGGAACTACATTGAACACTAAAGTTTCCATTTCAACTGTTAAACAAAAGAACCCCACCCCGCTGAAATTGCTTTTCCTAACTAGTGCAAGTCTGGCATAGAAAAAATTTCAGATGCAATTGGAATACAAAAATATTTTGAAGTATCAGGTCACAATATATACAGGGGCTGTCCATTACCCAAGATTTCAGCACCAACTGCCAACAGCATAAAACATGGAAATGACCCGGAAGTGATTCCATGAACTCCCCAGCTTATTATATTCTACAGTCATTTATCAGTAGCTTGTTACCCATCTAAATAGGTAACAGGAATTTTGTAGGATTTATTTAGAAGGAACCATGTGCTTTTTTTCCTAGTCAATGCCAACCCTTCCCCTGCAGCCCTGAATCTGAAATACCAGTAATTGACTTTTTAAATCCCTGAATCTAGAATGAAGTGCAATCTGTCATTAAAGGTATAAAATATTTTGGTGACAAGCACTGGAAGTTTAAATCTGGGAGCAGCACTAAAACTGAAAGGAAAGCAGATTTATTACAGCTGAGATGAATAAAACCTAACTGCTATTCTGAGAGCCTCACTGCTAACGTTCGTTATAAACCCGTAACACACAATGCAATGTGGCCATAAATACCACCAAGAAAACAAAGTCTCTCCACAACACACGTTCAAAAAACCAAGGAGGCACAGGCATAGGCTGCTCCAGTTGATGAGGCAATCAAAAGCAATTTTCTCTTTGATTCAAAATTGGCAAATGTCCTATTTGCACATCAATCAAATCATAATGTTCTTTTTTGACAAACCTTAGGTGAAAAGATTACTGAGTTAAATGGTAAAAAAAAGTTCACTGTAACAAAGAAATGACTACAAAAAAGAGGGTCAAGACAAGCAACACAATTACGACTTCTATTTAGACAAATAGGGGGGAATCTGAAATATTAAAAACCTGCAAATTTTTCAAAGCTTCACCTCCCTTGAGGTCAATGCCAAATATGTGAATCTGACCCCACTCAATGAATTCTACCCTAACTCTTCATACTACTTTGGAATCAGGTAGCATCCCAATACTTTAAAAACAACACTTATCTTTTAAGGCGCTGAAAGGACTCGTGCAGCACTCTCTTGTTTTCATGTATTGCAAAAAAGATTTTACTCTGACCAAAGCCTATGTTTAAAGAGGAAGCAACTTTTTATAAAATGTATATTTGCTTAACTATTCCTCCATGTTTTGATTAACAACTGCCTTTAAATTACCATGTTGTTTGATTATAACCGCAAGCCAAGTAAGGTTAAGACCTAAAATAAACGTTACGCTGCAGGTTCAAAACACCTGAAATACGTTACGGTATTTTCGGAGAAGCAATTGCATAGAGTTGTTGAAAGTGAACAGGATCACAAAGATTTAGTTTCGCCACTTGCCCACAGATCTTGCTTGGGTGAGCCTCTGAAGTCTCATCTGTAAAACTGGGATTGTCATATTTACCCTTACTCGCAGGGTTAAAGAGAACCAAGTAAGTTTCTGTGAAAAAAGTCCTCTGACAACTATCTACATGAAGGGCTTACTAGAACGTACTCCTATCAAACAATATTTGTAAATCACGACGTATAAAATCTACCAAGTTATAAACTCTTTATAAAGATTTATTTCCCCATATAAGCGTCCATTCAGAAACTGGCCCATTATTGAAATAATATACTGCCGTGACTTTTACCACTAATCCCAACCAGAATTTTCGGTCTGAATACGACGCTCAACCCAAATAACGGAAAAATGTGTCCTTTTCCCTACTTCATTATAAGGTGAAAACTCTGGAGCCTTTGACATAATAAAACACTCCTTTTTTTCTCGCGTTTCCCTGACTGCCTCATTAAGGTTCTTTTCAAATCTAAGGGCCCTCTAGGCTTCCTCGATACTAAAACAACAAAAACAAATCATCCCTTATTCCAGGATACAGTGGACTCCTCCCTCCCCGGCCATGCTCCCGAGTCCCGCCGGCCACGGGGATCAAACACTCCACAGCGTCCCGATCCTGGCCCTGGCACCAAGTAGCGCAGCGGGCACGGCGGGCCCAAGCCCGCGCCGCTCCCCTCCCCCACGGCGCCCGGGCACAGGCCCAAGGCCCGCGGGACTTACGCTCTCGTGGTCCCACCGCACGTTGCTGCGCTTCTCATCCGGGGCGAGGTTTCGGTCCCGGCCCATTAACTCATCCAACAATTGCGCGGCCGAAATCATGGTGCTTCTCTCGGGCGGCTACTCCCACCAGCCCTGGCACCTGCCGAAGAAAACACCGGCGACACCGTCGCCAACCTCTTCGGCCGGCTCGCGGGCCGAAAAAGCCTCCTCTAAAAAGGAGCCGATAAGACAAAATGGCCGCTGCGCGGGCGCTTTCCCAGCATGCCGTGCACGCGCGTGCGCCCACGGGGCACGCCCAAGTCTGGAAGACGAGGTCAAGCCCATTTCCGCCGGCCCAGGGGCGGAGCCTGCCGGCTGGGCCGCGCTCCGCCCCTGCCTAGTGGCACCGCCCTACTCCGCGCCTAGCAGAACCAGAGGTTAAGCAGCGTGCTAACTCAGCCCACCTGAGCACGGAAGAGTCTTCGCGAGCTCTTTTACAGGGAGACAGAGGAGACTAGGTCCTGAAGCTTTGACACCGCTCCAAAATGGAGGAGGGAGTGGTGTATTTCTTTGTCCCACGCAGTTCACTTCGTGCCATCTTCCAGTGGAAGAAACTCATTCCATATTCAGAGTCCATTTTTAAAAAATCGATTTTAGAGAGAGGGAGAGAAACCCATTTGTTGTTCCACTTATATATGTATTCATTGGTTGATTCCTGTACGTGCCCTGACTGGGACCCAACCCGCAACCTTGGCGTATTGAGGCATGCTTTAACCAATTGGACTACAGGGCTGGGGCCAGACCCCGTTTTACTAGACTGCTCTAGAGCATCTTCTACCTGGCTTGGTCCTCCCACCCAGATTCCTGTGATTCACTGGGTGGGAAATCAAGGCTACCATAAGGCAGTTTCTACAGTCATGCAAAGTATGAGGATTCAGTCCTGTACCTTATACCTCCCAGTCTCAAATTAAAAATATATGTATTGGCCCTGGCTGGTGTAGCTCAGTGGATTGAGTGCAGGCTGCGAACCAAAGTGTTGCAGGTTCAATTCCCAGTCAGGGTACATGCCTGGGTTGCAGGCCATGACCCCCAGCAACCACACATTGATGTTTCTCTCTCTCCCCCCCCTTCCCTCTCTAAAAATAAATGTATAAAATCTTAAAAAATATATATGTATTGATTCATTTATTCAACAATTACCTGAGTACTTAACATGTGCCAGGGAAGCTCCTGAAGCTTGATGCTAAGCTGTGAACTTTTCAGACACAGTCCTTGCTCTCACAGACCTTGAGGATTAGTGAGGGAGGCAGTCACTAAGGAAATAATATCAAATATGTCAATATAAATCGTGGTAAGGGTATGGATGCTACACCCAGATCCCCTGGGTTAGTAATCCCAGCTCTGCCATTCTTTCTTTCTCCAACAGCAAAATGGGGTTTATAATAATAATGTCCCCTACACACATGAAGTTATTGTGAAAATTAAATGAATTGATACAATGTAAGGTGTGAAGAACAGGCCCAACACATTTTGAGCCCATTTGATCATTAGCTATTACGATGAAGGGAAAAAGCAGGGCTCTGTCAAAGAGTAAATGAGAGGCTTCTCTGTGGAAATGACTTAAGACCTAAAAGATGACAAGGCTCCAGCCAAGAAAGTGGAGAGAAAAGAATTCCAGGCTTCATCCCCAGTACTTCAGAATATGACTCTCTTTTGAGACAGGGCCTTTTGAGAGGCGGTTAAGTTAAAATGAGGCCTTTAGAGTGGGCCCCAATCCAATCTAACTGGTGTCTTTAGGGGAAATTTGGACCCACAGAGAGAAACCAGGGATGAGTAACAAAGAGAAAGGACTGTGTGAGGATGCGGCAAGGAGGTAACTTATATGCAAACCAAGGAGAGAGGGCTCAGGAGAAACCCAACCTGCTGACATCTTGATCTTGGACTCTCAGCGTACAGAACTAGGCAAATGTTTATTTAGGTCAGGTATCATTTCTCATTCATCCCTGTATACCCAGATTCCCATATAGTATAAAACATGTAGGAGGTAGCTCCAGTTCATTCCTAACCCTATTGATTTTCTGGCTGCCATCCCTACTGCTCCATTGCAAATTTCCTTTCCAAGCTCACCAGCAATTTCCCTGTGGATAAACCCATTCTATAATTTTTAGTCCTTTCTTTGTTGTCTTTGCTGCAGCATTTGACCCTGTGGATCCCCTTCTTTTCTCCAAAACTTCCCACTTCTTTGCTTTTCCTCCTATTCCAACTGCTCCTCTTCAGTCTCATTTGAGGATTTCTCCTTTTCTGTCCATCATTAAAATGTTGGGTATTCTTTGGGGTTCTATTTTTGGCTGTCTTCTCTCAGCACTCAACACGCTGTCTTGCAGCCACCTCTTCCATTCCCATGACTTCAGCTAGCACCTTTTGCTGATGACAGCCAAATCCAAATCACCAGCCCAGAACTCCTTCTTAAAGGTCACACTCATATATACAGCTGTTTACTCAGCATCTCCACTTAAATGAAAATCAGAAAAGAAAGCACAGGCTCTGGAGTCTAACTGCTTGAGTTCAAAGCCTTGCTTTCTGCCCTGACTGGGTAGCTTAGTTGGTTAGAGCATCGTCTTGATATGCCAAGGTTGTAGGCTTGATCTACAGTCAGGGCACATATAAGAAGCAACCAATGAATGGATAAATAAGTTGAATGACAAATTGATGCTTCTCTCTCTCTCTCAAATCAATCAATAAAAATTAAATTAAAAATTTTTTAAAAAGCCTTGCTCCCTCACTAAGCTGCATGGCATTGGGCAAGTTACTTACCTCTTTGTGCTTCAGATAATAATGATAGTGATAATTATGGGATCGTTGTGGGTACTAAATAAGATAATTCATAGATAATTCATGTATAGCATTTAGCATAGTGCCTAGCAATGTGTTGATAATAGTAGTAATTAAAGGTCTTCAGAAAGCTCAATTCAACAGATTCAAAAGTGAACTCATCACTATCATTGAGACCTTCTCTTCATTCTTTGTTCCAATCTCAGTAAATGGCAGCACTATCTATCTGGCCAGAAACATGGGTACTATCCTTATTTTCTGACCATAATCACCTTTCCATCCTATCAGGGACTCTTCCTTGACTTAATCTGTTGGAACATACCTACAATCCATTAAGTGTTTCCAATGTACAAGCTTCACACATATTCATTCATTCGACCCATAGAACAGTCCTGCAAAATAGGTGTTATTGTTACCATCCCTATTTTGCAGATACAGAATTTGAGGCATAGAAAGATTAAGTATCTCATCCAAGATTATATGAAAGGGAAAGCTGGGATACAAACAAAGGCAATCTGGTTTAAATCTCCTTGCTCGAAACCACTATGCCATATGCCATACTGTTTCTATTGTAATATTCATCGCATTCTGTTGTTTGCGTCCTCCCCGCTGCCAGATTGTGTGTTCTTTGAAGTCGGGGACCCTGATTTGTTTCCAGCAGCATCTCCAGTGACTAAATCAGTGCCCAGCAAAAGGTGCCTGATTAATGCACCCAGTGAATCAGATAATTCCCTAGAGATAAGACAAAGTATGAATAAATGGAAGCAATAGAATAGCCATTGGCTTGCATTCAGTTATGGCCAAGAGTAGAAATTTTGTTTGTAAAGAAAGTTTTTGCTTTTGTTTTTATTTTTATATGTGAGAATAACAAGCAAAAAAAAATGGAGTCAGAGCTAAGTAGAGGATGAGTTTAAGAAGATATTAATATTCACTGGTTCAACAGTTATTGGATGGCACATTCTATAATCCTTTTAAGGAAGGGAAATTTGACAAACAAATTCTTATAACAAGAACTCATGGGCTTTCGAGTGCACCCAGGACCAATTTTTTAACACTGCTTTTTTTTTTTTTTAAAGAGGCTACTACCTACTTCCACATCATTCAAATTGTGTTAAGGGACCCAATTTCAGTCTCATGCACATGAATTACCATGCTGGGTCTGAGAACTAATATTTAAATTGATGGAAAATAAAAATATAAGCTCAGAGTTCCCATTTGCCTTGGGGGTCAATTTAAGTTTGCAGTTAGTTTATATTCAGCACCACCTGGTGTGCATGTGTACTATGTGGATTACTCCATCATAATAAACAGAGACGTGTTGGCTTTTCTAAACAGTAGCAAGAAAAACGCTTGCTGTGCAGGACCTGGGCAGCCCCAAGAGAGGGAAATGAAAACTTCAGGCCTAGATTTGTCCCTTCCTATTTCATCTCCTCTCTTTGTTCAGGCCTTCCTCCTTTTCACTGCAGGGTTATTTCCTTAATCCTCCTGACCCCATCTGCAAGTTCCATTCCATGCCACACTGGAAAATCTCTCAGAGGCACCTGAGCTCAGCAAAACAATATTTTCTTTTTTTTTTTTCAGTGCCAACCAGACTCTGAACCTCACTAGACTGAATAGGCAAAGAGGCGAAATGCTGTTTATATCCACACCATAGCTCCCCCTGGAGATCCTGCCATCAGGACTGGGACAGCTCCAAGAAACCTCTTTGGGGTTCTTTCTTTTTTCTTTACATGACCTTCATGAAGAGTCATTAATTTTGATTTATAAGCATCAATAAAACAGTTTAAAGACTCTAGGCACGATAATAATATTTCCCCTGAAAGCCAAGTTATAAGAAATCCCTGTTAGAAGAAATGAGATGTAAAGCAACAGCCATGGAAATAAGTATTCGAACTGAATGGTCCCAAGCCCTGTCAAAAGAAAAAGGACAAGTGTAATCTATCTCTGCAATAATGGGCATATAATAATAGGATGGTTTTCAGCTCATTTCCCCATCCTGCTGGGCAAAGGCTGGCTCCGATAAGGAAAAAAAGGCAAACGAACTGGAAGGAAAAAAAAAAAAAAACACCCCACAATTATTTTTGATGCCTGGTAAACAGCCTGCGCCAGAGGCTTTTCTGGCTCTCCGATATGCTTTCTTTTCTTTCCATGTGTCTGTCCTCCCTTGAAGCTGTGGGATGGGGAGATCTAAAAATAGTCCATGAATCACGGCAGATCGTATTGTGCAGCAGTTACATAAACAGCCGGCCCGGGTGCCCGGACCGAGGGTAGGAACGGAAAATATCTGGGTCAGGGTTGTCACTCTGAATAGGGTCCCCCGGAGCCGGCCTGCGGGAGGCGCGGCCAGGGAGGAGGCTTGGGCCTGCGGGCCGGCAGCAACAGGGGAGCGGCGGGCGGCCGGCGGGAGGGAGCCGAAGCCCCGGGCCAGGCGCGGGCGGCGGCGTGAGCAGGGCGGGCGAGCCGGGCGCTCTACCCCCATGGCCCGGAGCGGGCCGCGGCGTCGGCGGCGCTGACAGGCCCGGGGCGGCGCGGACGGGGGCTGGGCCGAGGGGAAGATGAGCGCTCTCCTACAGCAGAAGGAGCAGCAAGAGAGGCTGCGGGAGGCTGCGGCCTTGGGGGACATTCGGGAGGTGCAGAAACTGGTGGAGAGCGGGGTGGATGTGAACTCCCAAAATGAGGTCAACGGCTGGTAAGTGGGGAGCGGGGAAGACCAGGGTCAGAGCAGCCGGCCCGAGCGTGGGGCGGTCGCCCGTGACCTCGGCGACGCCAGCTAAGGCGTGGCCTGGCCCCTGGGGCCTCCAAGGTTGTGCGCTCTTGAGGCTAGTCCAGGCCCCCCCCCCCCCGTCTAGTATAGTCAGGCACGCGACCTGCCTAAATCCTGGCCCACGTGGGCTTCCCCTGGCAGCGCCCACCTGACCCCTGGCGTCCCCACCGCCTCTGCATCCCCTGGCTAACTTGGCCTGAATGGTGCTGGCTGTGGTTCTCACGCTATTTTGGAGCGCACCACAGTTCAAGTGTTGAGTTATTTTGCTATAGGTGCTTCTGAAGAACAACATATCTGTAGAGCAAAAATCATAAGCAACTGAGCAAAGGTGAATCTTATAAACTAGCACGATTTCTTTCTCAAGATCTGAAAAAAAAATCACTTGCATCACTATTCTGCTTCTGTTGTCTCTCTGCAGCAGTGGTTGCTGCTGCCTACAGCAGCCTGTTGAGGGAAGACGCATTCGTTGATGCTATAGAGAGTTTTGCTTTGTTTTCCTGTTACAGTTTCAATAGAGGATTTGAGCCAAGGCTTTAGATGCCTACCTGCAATTGAGTCCTCCCCAATTAAATTAAGGAGTCTCATTTTAAGATGTGTTGGTGGTGGTCAAAATTTTAGTGTTAAGTTACTGAATGTAGTATTATTCTGCCCTCTTCCACTTACATTTATTTTACTAGCTTAGACTTAAAGTGAGTTTGCAAGTGTTTTATTTTTTTTTAAGTGGAATTATACCTTTGGAACTGAAAGGGACATTGCAGATGGTTTCAACTCCAGAGACTACCTTGCCCTAGGTCACACAGCTATTGATGTGATAGCCAGGACCAGAACCACGATTTTCTGACTCCTCACAATTCTCTCCTCTCCTTACTCTAAAAGAAAAAAGCCTGGGTAGCACTTGAGAAAGCCAGGAAACAGGAGATACTGCTGTTTTGCTTAAAAATGTTTGCAAACAAATTTGCAGTTCAGCGTGTTTCTTTTTTCAGCATTGTTGAGTGGTTCACGAGCTGTGAACCACTGTTGTGGCACTGGGAAGCAGTATTGGGTAGATGAAAGAGCCTGGTCTTTTCTCGCAGATTCTTCTCCATTCCTGCCTAAGTGGAACTTCCTGGAGTCACTTTATTTTCCAGTTATTTCAGAAAAGTGTTGTGAGCATTTAATGAAATGAAGCATAATATAAATAGCTAACATTTACTGAGCTTGTTCAGTAGCACAAATGAGGTTCCAAGCACTTTACATGTATTATTCACAACTACTCAGAGACATAGCTTTTATTATTCTCTCTGTTTTAGAGATGGGGAAACCGAGACCCAGAAAGATCAAGTGATTTCCCCAGAAAGATTAAGTAAGTTATTGTAAATTATAGAATTTACAATAACTAGAGGAGCTGGGGCATGAACCCAACATTGGACCCCAGACCCTTTTCCGAACTGCAATACTGCCACATAATAGGTGCTGTTAAAAAAAAAAAAAAGGAACTGCCAGCCCAAGGCCCCAAGTACAGCAGACCAAGACTTTATTGCACTTTCAGCCTCTCCCAGAAATGTGGCCTTAAACCAATCAGAGCAGGAATTTCCTGATCAACACCTAGTGAGGTTATCTACCTAACAGGACTCCTGCTGCACCCAAGGAAAAGTGCACTGCCTGAAAAAAAAAATCCTTTCTTGCCTTATGCTAATAACTTCCTTGTCCCAGCCCGTTTCTGCCTACAAAAACCTTCCATTCTGTGCAACTTCTCAGAGCTCCCTTCTGTTTGCTAGATAGGATGGTATGTGATTCATAAATTAATGAAGCCAATTAGACCTTCAGGTTTACTGTGTTGAATTTGTTTTTTTTTAACAGTGCTCAGTTAACCTGAAGAGGCTTCTCACAGGTTAAGTGGGACAGATATCCAGTAGGCACCATGCATTCAACGTGTCAAAGGTTGAATTCCTGGTCTCCTTCCACCCCCTAACTGCCCCAAGCCTGCTCCTGGGTGTCCTCCTCATTGCAGCATCAGAGGTGCCCCAGCCAGTACCCATGTTCAGGCCATCCTTGCACCCCCACCCCCAGCCATTCGGCTAATTCTGCCAGGTCCTCCTTCAGCTACTGTCAGAATCTGCCCCCTGCTCACTGGCTCCACTGCTGCACCTCTGGGGCGGAGCCGCCATCAGTCTGTCACCTGGGTCAGAGCAGTAGCCTCCTGACTAGTCTCCTTGCTTCTCCCCTTGTGCCGGATGGTCTTTGTTCAACACAGCAGCCAGAGGGATCCCTTCGCTCTGCTCAGAACCCTTTAGTGGCTCCATCTCACACTGAATAAAAGTCCACAGGACGCTGAAGTTTCCACTCCTGTCCCCTGATCCTTTCTCTTGACCTCTGTGCCTCTCTGGATTTACCCCCTTGCTTTCTCCATTCTGCTCCCCTGGCCTCCTTGCTTTTCCTGAAACATCAGGCATAACTCATTCAAGGTCTATGTGGTTTCTCTTCCTTCAATCTAAAATGCTTTTGCCCTCTCACCTCCTTCAGGTCTTAGCTTAGATGTCACCTGGCCGAGCCTCTCCTTGGACCTCAATTTAAAATTGCACCACTGTATCTCAAAGCTGGGGTGGGGGGGGGGGAGAGACAGCACAAGGAAATAAAATAAAATAAGTTACACCATGTTCTTCCCTGCTTCTGGCATTCCCTAATTCCTTTCCTTGCTTTATTGTGCCTGGAACACTTGACAACACTTCATAACCACCAAGCACACTGTTTGTTTTGCCTCTTTGTTTGCTGACTGCCTCAGTTTCTCCGCTCGTGAGATGGAGGGAGCACTGATAAGGGTACTTAGCTCATGGGTTGTTTAGAGGATTAAATAAGTTAATATATGTATTGCTTTGAGACCAATGTCCAGCATGGAAAGCATTATATCTGTTTATTTTGTAAGCAGTGTGCTGGCTGATAGGGTAGGAAGATTACCCTTGAAAAACTTACTCTCTAGCATAGGAAAGCAGGATAGTTATCGCTTTCGGTTCTTAGCTGCTCAGTAACCACAATTTCAGCACTGATGAGTGATGCCCAGGGCCTCCGGTGCGAAATACCTCCTGGCTTGTTACAATTATTTATTTTTCAAGCCTGTGCTACAGACATCCACACACAAACACACTCTTGGTTGCAGCTTGCCTAGAATCAAGTATGTCTTGGATCTTTCTACTCCTAGTGACATCTACCTTGTTCTTGGCTCATCCATTCAGCGAGTATTAATTAGGCACTTGTTTGTCCAGGCAGATACTTCCTTATCTTCATGGAGCTTATGCTGTAGAAGTCTCAATGAAGACTCTTCCCTTATTTTTCCCCAAATGGGCAGTCATTTTGTCATAGAGTGCACCGTAAAGACACCTGAATAATCTAATTCTAATGAATAATTCGGTGGAATGTCACTCTGAAACATCAGTGGGACTGCTCCCAGCCAGCCAGCCAGCCAGACAAGCTAGCTTTCTGTAGGTCATAAATGGTAGGATACCCAGGGTGAAATCAGCTTTTTCCTGAAACCAAATGACCTTTCTAGATACTACATTTCCCAGGTGAGTGGCCTCCTCCTCACTATGGAACACATGTTCTAGTCTTTGCCATACCTGCATTTGTCTAGAAGCTCTGAAGATATTTATCTCAGTTCAGTTGGGATAAAGATTTTCCGTCCGTAATATCATTCAGCTCTGACAACTGGAGATGAATTTAGTAGCTCTGATTCCTTTCAGTTATTAAAACGGAGTTTTTGCTGGTGCACTAATATTTCTAGCCAGTGTTAAATTAATTGCCCTTCGGTGCATGCATAGCCCCTATGCGTACACTCTTAAATAACTAGTTTTACTTGAATGAGTCTGGTATGGTAGAAGAGTTCTTGAAATTTCGGTCGTTGGTGTACATTTTTAAAATGCCTTAGAAATTAAGGCCTGTGCAGCGCCCTGCGTCTAAGCAGATGAAGGTATGTTTGTAGCCTTCTGGAGAGAATGAGAAGCCAACTTTTTAAAAAATGGAAATGTGGAAACCCTTTTTTTTATGAGTGTGAGGGAACGAAAAAGAGGAGAAGGGAGTAAGCTACTGAGATTTAGACAGTAATATCTTCTGTAGTAACAATAATTTTAGTGTCAGAGCAAACTTGTGGATAAGAGATGGGTATTTGCCTGATAATGTTGAATCTTCAAGGAACTGGTGCATACGAAGCAAGCATCAACAGTGTGTAAAAAAGGAGTGTGGCACTTTGAAGAAATATTGTGAAGAGGTTGGGACAATCTAATGAGCAATGCTGCTAGAGTAACACTCAGCAGTACCATTAGAGTTATCCAGCCAGCCAGCCTGTCAGCCTCCTGGAGGCCATTGAAATCCCAGCTCTCAGGACAAATTAGTTTCTCCCAAGGGCCAGAAATGAAATTCAAAAATAAATTTTAAGCATGCTAAATATTTTGATCATCTGCTTTCTGAAAAGAAAAAAAGCTGAGGTTACCAGCTTGGTGCCCCGATTCTAGCTGAACTTTCGCATATATTTATTTACTAACGTGTAGAATTTTAAATTCCAAGTCACCTCTCCTCTTTATAAATCCCTCCTTCCCGCCCCTTTTCTTTGGGACAGGACCTGTTTACACTGGGCATGTAAACGCAATCACGGCCAGGTGGTCTCTTACCTGTTAAAATCTGGAGCGGACAAGGAGATTCTCACCACGAAAGGAGAAATGCCGGCCCAGCTGACGTCCAGGAGAGACATCAGAAAGATCATGGGAGGTGAGTCAGGGTCTGGGGGAAGCTTTGGGTGTTGTCTCGCTGATTTGAGGCTCGAGGTGTTGGCTGCATTCTCGGAGCCATTCAAACAAGCAGTCTGTTTCTAAAAGCAGAGACTGAATTATTGTGCCAAGATAGTAATTCTGTGTTGTTGCTGGAAAGGTAGGCATTGTAAGGTTTCATTTTTATAATCTGTAAAATTTAAGATGATAAAAATGGTAGTCATAAACCTGATAAAATATTCTTTTTCTTCTGGCTTGAAAAGGCACTCAACACTGACCAAAGGACTTATATACCAAAGGACACTAGCTTTCCCAAGACACCCTTTTCTTGGTAATTTTTAAAGGGCTATGTGAAGGTTCTGTGTTTTCTTCTTTTTAAGTGGAAGATGATGATGATGGTGACAACCTCCCCCAGACGAAGAAGGAGTCAGAGCTGCCCTTCGTTCCCAACTACTTGGCCAACCCAGCCTTCCCTTTCATCTACACCCCTGCGGCAGAAGATTCGGCCCCGCTGCAGAATGGGGGCCCCTCCCTGCCTCCTGCCTCACCCCCTGCAGATGGCTCTCCTCCGTTGCTCCCCCCTGAGGAGCCGCCCCTGCTAGGGGCTTTTCCCCGGGACCACCCCTCTTTGGCGCTGGTTCAGAATGGGGATGTGTCTGCCCCCTCTGCCATATTCAGAACACCAGAAAGCACAAAACCAGGTCCTGTCTGTCAGCCACCAGTGAGTCAGAGTCGGTCTCTGTTCTCTTCTGTCCCGTCCAAGCCACCTGTGTCTATGGAGCCTCAAAATGGGACATACACAGGACCAGCGCCAGCGTTCCAGCCATTTTTCTTCACCGGAGCATTTCCATTTAATATGCAAGGTAACCCCTCGCCAGCAAACAGCCTCTGCACACGTGCAGACAATACCCAGCGGTCTAGTGCGTTACTTCCTGGTTTGGGGGAGGTGCGGGATTTACTGATTCATTTTGAGTAATTACAGATTTACAGAAAAGTTGCAAGGCCAGTAATAAGGAGCTCTCTTTACTCAGATTCACAGATTATTTATGAAAACCTTTGCCCTTTTACCCTGAATAGTGTGTGTGTTTCCTAAGAGCAAGGAGCGTCTCTAACATAATTACCTGCGGTACAATGATCAGATTTAGGCAAGGTGACCTTGACATATAATGCTCTCTAATCCATAGTCCTTATTTAAATTCTGTCAGTTGTCCCAACGATGTCCTTCATGTCTGTTTTCACTGGCCCCTCCGCTGCCCCTTGCCCCAAATCACCGACAACTTTTAGTTACCATGTTGTTTTAGTCCCCTTTGATCTGGGAAATTTCCCCAGCCTTTATCATTTCGGACCTCAATATTTTTAAAGAGTTTAGGGCAACTATTTTGTGGAATATGATTTCCTGCCATTCTTTATGACTTGGTATTTTACTGTAAAGAAGGGCTCTCCCCACTCCATTTATATCAGTGTAAATGCATAGATTCCTATTTATTGGGTTATAATTCACTACTGTTATTTTGATAGTCAAATTATGCCGCGCTTGCCCAGAGGGAGCTTCTTCAAGCCAGTTCTTGTGTCCCTTGGGTGTGTCCCATCACTCTTGGCCTTACTACCTTACTTTTTGTGTTTAAACTGATTTTGAGAGAGAGAAACAAAACATCAGTTTGTTGTTCCACTTCCTTGTGCATTCATTGGTTGATTCTTGTATGTGTCCTGACTGGGATCGAACTTGCAACCTTGGCGCATCAGGTCGACGCTCTAACCGACCGAGCTACTTGGCCAGGGCAAGCACTACCTTACTTTCTTGTCCAGCAAGATGTTTACTCCCCAAACCAAAACTCCTTCCTCATGAAGGCATCCTGTATTCAAATTATAAGTAGACTTTAATTTTTATTAATGGCTTTTTGCCCTTTACTAAGTGTTTAATGCAAAGAATTTCATATTTCATAAATATCTGGAGATCCACAATTGCTAAGTCTTTTTAGAGTAATCCATATACCATATTTTTTATCTCTCTCCTCCTCCTCCTGCTTATATGTAGTTCAACTCCCGAACCCATACTTAAGCCTTAACCTTCTTAATTTTAGCAGCAGAAATAAATTATCCTCTATATAGTTGGGATTGCTGTCCCTTCCCCAACCCACCGCCACCCCCTTTTTACAGTCTTAGGTGTGCAGAAGACAATGCAGGAAGCTGTGCTAGCAAAGCCAGAATTGGGCGTGAGGAAATCTTACTGATGGCGCTTAGTTTTGCTCACTGGGTGGCACAGACGTGACTAAGTATAACCATCTTCTGGAAAAGATCTTCCGTTACATAAACTGATTATGCCAGGACCATTCATTAATATGTCTCCCTCTTTTTTTCTAGAGCTGGTCCTCAAGGTACGGATTCAAAACCCATCTCTTCGGGAAAACGATTTCATTGAAATTGAGCTGGACCGACAGGAGCTCACCTACCAAGAATTGCTCAGAGTGAGTTGCTGTGAGCTGGGCGTTAACCCAGATCAGGTGGAGAAGATCAGAAAGTTGCCCAATACTCTGGTAAGAAAGGTAAGGAAAGGTCAGTTAAGCATGTGTGGTTGGTTGCTTTTTGCATTTGGAAAATACCCCGTTTCCTTCTTGGTCATATGAGTCATAGTTGAAGAAATGAAGAGATAATAGAAAAGGAGGAAAGGGTGGTTTTCCAAATGTAATCATTGAGCTTTCTTTCCCTCTACTGGGTCTGTAGACATCGCATTTTTGAAAATTGAAGGACACCAGAGGGGATTCTCTGAACAGGCTTCTCAGAGCAGCCGAGTGAAACTGACCCTGCATTGCCTCTCCCTTCAAGGTCTGCAGATCGCAGAGCAGCTGCTGGGACGGGCCTCGCGCCCCTGGGGACTTCCCGTACTATCACAGACAGCCTGCCACAGGGATTTTTTTTTTTTTTTGCTTTAGGTTTTAAAATGAGCCAAGACACTGATATCAACTCAACACAGCACACCAAATATATGGAGACGAGTAGCTTCTCTTAATCTGATTAGCCCATTTCTGTTTCAGGACAAAGACGTTGCTCGACTCCAAGATTTCCAAGAGCTGGAACTGGTTCTCACGATAAGTGAAAATACTTTTCTCTTCAGAAGTGCTGCGTCCACACTGCCTGAAAGGCCTTGCTACAACAGGAGAGCTTCCAAACTGACTTACTGATGCAGCAGGGACTCTCACCACCGAGTGTTGTGACAGTGCGCGTCCCCTCTGGGCCAAGGACAAGCCATCAATCTACACGCCTTGGGCGCCCTGTAGGCCCCCAGTGCCACCGAGTAATACACACTAACATTGTTCTGCCAAGGTAGGAAGCCCCTGACCCTCAAGCAGTGGTGCCATTCTCCCACGCCTCTTGGTGCACAATAAACCTATTGCTCGAAGCTGTGACAGCAAAGTGGTCTGGAGAGGCAGAAGCTGACGGTTCTGTACCTAGTGTTTTACACGTAGCATGTGAAGGGAGTTGTCTGAGCCGGAGCTGAGAGAGGGCGAGCCTGTTTCTAGTCACCCTGTTGGCAGTGCACCTGAAGGGCCGGGGTGCGCTTTTTTCATGTTGCATGCTCACAACTCTCCCGAACTGGGAACTGGTTCCGGAGGAAAACTGCGAAACACAGGTACTGGACAAGTGGGTTTCAGTGTGACTTGTGGCTGTGAGGTTTCATATAACATATTTATAAATGTTACTCAGGTTCAAAGTATTTAAGAATACAGTTACCTAATTGTAAATAGGCTGTTAACCAAAAGAGCTTCCCCTCCCTCACTTTTTCCTTTGTAAACACTCATGACTGCTTCTCCGTTGTCTCCAGCCAGCCATCGCCTAGACGGTCATCTCTGCATAACACCCCTTTGTGGCCACTAGAGGGCTCTCCGATGCCTTCCAAAAGAGCACCACTTTTTTTCTTTTTTTTTTTTTTTTTTCACTGAAGTGATTCCTGCCATCCCCGGGTTTACTTGTATGAGAAGAGCACAAACATTGCCTGTCCGTGTTCTGCACTTTCGTTTTCCACTAGAAATGAAAAGCGGTTTTTGAGACTGAACCTGTTGCTGTTTTAGAGGTTATTGTGGGAAACTGAGCTAAAGGAGTTAACATACTTATTTTTGTATCAAAGATAAAGGTTATTTTGAAATTATTAGGATTTTTACAACTCTGAAATCTGTTGCTTTTGTAAACAAATTGTTTGATCTTAGGACTCCCCCACGATCCCCACCAATCTACTACTATCCCCGACAAAGTCAATTGTGAGTCTGCCGGGCTTGTCCTGGAAAAAACAAATACACACCTGATTAAACTCTTGAACATGGTGTAAGAATTTTTTAAAAGAATGCTTTCAAGGATTCCTCTCCTTCCCTTCAGTGTCATTAATGTGAAAAGGAAAGCCACTGTCTTGTTGAAATAAACATTTTAACTTTAGAAATAAGGACGAGCACACACACAGACAGGAGAGCAGGGCTTTGAAGCCAGCTGTTGCAGGGCACCCCTGCTGTCTTAAGAAGATTTTTCCCATAGTGCCTATAGTTTCCAAAGAAACTCAACCTCCGGTGTTAATTTTATTGGAACACGACTTGAGAGAGAATGTGCAGAAGATGTCAGGGGAAGAGAATGTGGCGCTAAGATGCCGGCCTCCTGCTGCTGCCCAGATGCTGAGCTGAGGTCGAGGTGTTTTCAAGGCCAGCTCCACGGAGTCGCTCTGTTCAGTGATTTAATGTGTGTCCCAGCAATTCCTGGTGGCGACTTACCCTTGTACAGTGTCTACATGGCGGAGTGAAGGTGACTCCCTGCTCCCTTTCTCTGAAGTCCTTTAAAGAAACCTCCCGTGTTCCAACCAATCAGAAGCTAGCTTATGCAAACATACTAACCTTTTTATCCCCTTACCTTTGAAAAAAAAATGTTAGTTTAAATGATAAAATTAAGATTCATTCTATCTTGAAGGAAATCAATTTAGTATTAATTCATGTCTAAATCACTGGGGTTAACACCCTTGCAGCCGTCCCGATCAGTTAGCGATCAGAAGCAGTGGGGGCCCCCGGCTGGGAGGCGGCCTACAGAGGACTCACCCAGGGCATTTCCGGGGCTTCAGAAACCCTGGGAGCCAGGAGCCTGTCATCTCAGGTGAGAGGCGGACCCCACACTGGTCTCTCTTCTCCTGCATCAAGTCCTCTCTAGTCCAGTGGCTCCTATACGTGGCAGTAGGATGCGACTGCGCAGTTGCTTGCGGGTGAGTTTAAAGTCTAAATCTATGCATTCAGAGAAATATTTTTATATGCTTTGTGTAATTTATAACAAAGATTTTTTTTAGCTTTGTTAACTGTGAATTCACCCCTCCCCCTCCACTGCATATTTAAAGCATGAGTTCACACTGTGCGTAAACATTCACTGAAGATAATTTTCTTTGCGCATCGCTGACTGTTCAAATATAACAAGTATTAATTAAAATTAAATATTAACTGACCCAGCCCACAGTCTTTCATTGTGGCCGGCCTCCCAAAGAGCACTGCATTCCTATCACAGGGGGCACAAGCCGCTGGACAGTCACAGGGGCAAGACGCTCTGGAGGAAGGATGGAAGGGACTGTCCCCTACCCGAGCCGTCTCCACCCTGCTGCAGCCGTGGGGCTCAGGCCCCGTCAGTGGCACCGGCGACAGATACCTGTGCGGTGCCTTTCCTCCCGGTTCACAGCCGTCAGCTTCCTCTCCCCGGAGTCGCTGAGCCACCTAGACGGAGGTCATCCTCTATCAACCACAGTTTTTGATTATCCTATTTCCTCTACACAACTGAGCCTCTCCTTCGGGCTGTCAGCACCTGTCAGGGCCTCAGTGAGCTCAGAGGCAAACTCCCAAGATCGGAGAGGAAATAACAGCTTTCCACTCTCGGATCCTCAGCCGAAAATGCTGCTGAGTGAATCTGCGTTTCTGTTGGGTGAGGGCAGCTAGAGCCTCGCAGAGCAGGTGTCATGCCAAATTGATCTAATAAATCAGGGAGCATATAGCAGAGACCTTTTCTTAGCACCAAGCAGAGGAAGAATAATTTGGGCATCTGTGCTTTCATACTTGTTTTATCACAGGGATGGAAGTCTTCTTCCATACACTCATAAAACACCCTGAGCCAAAAGAGCCTGCCAAAAAAAAATGTGATTAACCTTTAACAAATGGTCCCGCAGCACCGGCTGACCTGCTGCACTCGGCAAACCGGATCAAAGGAGCCATCTCCACCCCCACGGCAAACCCTTTGGGGTGGGGGAAGGAAAAACCATCCCTCACGGCTTGCCGCATCACGCCCAGAATAAAGACTGGAGAAATGAGAGAGGAGACCAGAACACTTCGGAAGGTAACCAAGAGAAGAGATCCGATCCAAATACAAGGTCTTGTGCAGGTAGACGGGCCGGCAGGGGATACACAGCTGTCTTGCTCAAGAGAGCGAACTGAATTCACCCCCATCCCCTTTGCCAGCCTGGGGCTGTCAGGGCAGGGTGGCCTCCGGGGCTGCTCCGCGCCCCTCCCGCACTCAGCTTCACCAGACTGAGGACGATGAATGACTCGGAGGCCTCACCGGTTATGGGGACCTGTCTGGAACAGACGGCTACGGGAGCAAGGAAATAGCACCGTACGCTTTTCAGCCCCTGGGGAAGCAGGCTTAGAGGTCTGAGGGATGACATAAGCGTGGAGGTGTTCACGGCAGTGTTCCCAAGAGGCCTCGGGTCAGATTGCAGGGGCTTTATTTCTCACCTTTTTATAGTATCTGCACAGCAGAGCAGGAACTGCTGGCAACAACCCACTGCATTTTGGCTGTAAAGACAGTATTTCCAGCCCAAAGCTTTTGGGTCTGAAGTCTTCAGAAATTCCAGCCATGTAGATGTGTATGAAAGTCCATTTCCGCCTCGCTCCCCTCCTCCCTGCCGGTCCCAAAGGCCCTGGTCCTGGCACCTGTGGCCAGGCAGAGAGAGCCTGCATCGAGTTATATGTCACGAGCCACCTTCATTTCACCAGTGCTCCATTTTTAATGGATTCAGGCCAGCACTCCAGAGTACCGGACTCGGTTCCTGGGGACGGTCTGACCTGGCAATCTTCTGTTCCAGGAGGGAAAAGCTTAATTTAAAAACAAAAAACAAAAAAAAAACCCCTTCAGATTAGAAAATACAGGGATGAATCATACAGGGATACAGAGGTCATTCCATGACATGTCTGCAAGCACCGTAGTGGGAAAAGAACACGAGATTCGGAATCGGGAGACCCAGGACTAGTCTGGGCTCTGCCTCAAACCGTCTGTGACCTTGGGCATGTCAGGCACCTTCTGGGCCTCCCTTCCTTTTCTAAAGCATGTAGCACAGTTATCCTGAGGAGTGCTTCCAAAGGCAAAAATCTAGCAAATGCTCCTGGCAATTGCTATCAAGTCCACTCTGCAGACATATTTGGTGTCCTTTCCCTTTCTGAAGAAGAACAGGAAATCCCAGGAATATGTTTCAGGCAAGTCCAGCATCCCTCGCCATCCCGTAGAAGATGCCTCTGGCTGCAACAAGGCTGGCCGGAGAATCGAATTCAGCCACTGTCCCTTTGTCCAGGACCAGGACCCTAGCCAAAGAAAAGGAGTGGTCAGGTCTCTGTTGGCCCAGCCCTGGCCTCATAGCCCAACCCTGCCCTTCTGGGTACTTCTCAGGCCCCGCAGTGCCATGCCAACCCTCCCACTTCAGCCAACCCACCCAACACGGCCGCTACGCCACATGTGCACACTTGCAAGCCTGGTTATTTTAGCCGCTCCATTTGCTCTCCTGGCAGATGAGGCGGTTTCTGGGATCAAACACAAGGTTCCTATTCATCTCTGCAAGTCAGGGATCCGAAAACCTTCCCTAATGAGCCTTTCCCCTGGCCGGGGTCACAGGACTGTGCGTGGGGAGCCACGGTCTGTGCGCTGGGCCCTGTGTGCTTCCATCTGCTTTGTGCCGACTCACAAAGGCACCCAGCAGGAGACTGGGCTGCAGTAAACGCGACACTGGAATCTGGGGCTTTGGCTGCAAACCTGGCTGCTGCTGATGGGTCGATCTTCCCCCACCCACACACGTACCGTAGGCCTGGCATTTGACGATCCCACCCCACCACTGACTAATCACAGGGTGCGCCTGGTACGAGGCCAACAGGCTGGCCGCCAGGGAGAGGCAGGAGTGCAAAGGGCTCTCCCAAGCCTGGGGAGATGCCCCTGGCCAGGAGGGTGTTCACCACACCATTTCCCCGTCTATGGGGTGCCCGAAGCATGTCCCGGGAAGGAGCGTGTCTGTGGACATCACTGCCTGAACACCTCCTACACTGGAGCCCAGGAGACTGCGCCCTCCTCTCAGGGGCTCCTCACTGCATGCAGGGTATGGGGTGCTCTACCCTGGTCCTCGAAGTACAGCATAATTGGGCCCGCCCCTCTCTCCCCTTCCCCTTGGTTCTGCTGCCCTCTTCACCCCGGCACTCCAGCCTGACGTGCCTTCCTACCTCAGGGCTTTGCATGGGCCGTGTCCTTTGCCTGACATTTCCAGCTCCCTCCCTACCCCATCTCCCCCTGCCACTTCCCAACTCCTACTCACCCCTGAGGGCCTGGCTGGGCTTCCCCTCATGGGGAGAGGAGGTGTCCTGGCTGCCCTGGGTAAACTGGCTTTCACGCCCCGCCCGCTTCCCACAGACCTGCTTCCTTCCTGTGGGCTTTCATTACACGTTGGGTTGCGTGATTATTTGATTAATGTCTGTCAGCCCCACTAGAATAAATACCGCCCCACCCCATTGGTAGGTTTGAGCCTTCTCCCCTCAGAGCTGCTGGTGAAAGCCATTTCTAGTTGGGCCTGAAAACCGACCCTCTCAGCCCAGCCCCGTCCCTTATCTGGACCCAGGGCCAAGCACTTCCTGCCCATCCGCCCTTCTCTTCCCCCAGTGGGGTCCTGGGTGGGAGTGGGGAGTGGGGCGGGTGGAACCGACAGATCGCAGCACAGGGCATCCTCAGCTTGCTGCCCAAGCTGCGGGGAGCTGTGGGGACACCTCAGAGAGAGGAGCGAGGGCTGCCCACTGCCACACCCACGACCCTGGCCCTGCGTCCGCATGCCCTGCGGGCGTTTATCTGGTGAACGAAGGCCCGTCCACGTGCTCTCGCCGCCCTCCTTCAGCGTGGATCTGTGGCCGTGTCCTGCCTCCTCGTTCTCACTCTGAGCTCCGTGTCCTCAAGGGGGCTGGCCTGCTGGGCCCACGCCAGCTCGCCTCCTCGAGGCTTCTGAGTCACCCGGCCCCTCCCCTCGTTCCCCAGCACCACACTCTGACATTGGGCACAATGAGGGAATAGGTCACACAGTCTTTCCTTGTGGCTGAGTGCGCTGTCTCCCCAAAGCAGCCTCAAGATCCCGAGGGCAAGGCCCCTTCCCTGATCCTCTGAGAAAACGGGGACTAGGGAGGATTATGGTAAGGAGCTGGGGAGGAAGCTGGCGTTTCCCGGGATCTCATTTCATCGACTCCGTTTACTGTAACCCTGAGAGTCAGAGGTTCAGAAAGGTGTATCGCACTGCCCAAGGACACACATCTGTCCCATGCCCAGATGACCTTCACCTGCCTGCTTCTCCCCAGCGGCCCAGGGGACCCCCCCCAGGTCCCTTCCTGCCTGGGTCCCGGTGCCCCACCTGGTGTAGTCCATGATGGTGTTGAGCCGATGTGCGATGGTCAGCACCGTGCAGGCCTCGAACTCTGTGCGGATGGTAGCCTGGATGAGGTCATCCGTCTCCAGGTCAATGGCGGCTGTGGCCTCGTCCAAAATCAGGATTCGGCTCTTGCGGAGGAGGGCTCGGGCCAGGCACACGAGCTGCCGCTGACCCACACTGAGAACGGAGAAGGCAGACATTTCCAACTGGCACCCCCAACCCGCCCCCGGCCCTCCCAACTGTCTCTGTCTCCACTCCTTCCCTGTGGCCCAGGACTGGCTCTCCATCTCAGCTCTTTCACGGCCCCTCAGCCCTGTCCTGCTGGAATGCGGCTTGAGTGGGGGTCTGGACACCGCAGGATGAATGAGGGGCCTCAAGGGCAGAGCCAGTGCTCAGCAACAGTAAAACCTCCGTCTGCCTCTGGCACGCCGGCTTCCCCTTCTCTCCCTTCCTCTGCTTTCGTCCCCCCTCCTCACTCCTCAACTAGCACCGGGACATTGCTGCTTCACTCTGTCATTTACACCTTAGCGAGAACACGCTTGAACGGCCCTTCCCGGGTATTTGCACACATTATGCCGTCTTGCTGAGGCTCACACCACACAATTCAAAGTCTTCTCCGGCCCCCCTGGGAAATCCAGGCCAGGGCAGGGAAAGACTCGGGGGGACTCCCTGAGTCCAGTCTGGTCAGGTCGCTAGGGAGGTGGAGGAGAGGCGGGATGCATACCCTCAACCTCTCACCTTGGGAGCCAGAGCCGGTGAACAAAGCCAGGCTGTGTTCCCAGCCACAGAGGCGGCAGCACCCCCACACCCAAGGACAAATACCTCGGCCCTTCCCAAAGGGGTGAGTCACCACAGCCGGAGTGAAGGCCAGGCTCCCTCCCCGGCCCATTCCCGCAACTAATGAAGGTTTTGGCAGCAGAATGAGCCGCCAGATAGAATTCAGGGCTGATTTATGGTGGGACTGGTGCAGGATACAGGTTATACTTAAAGAGGCAACAAGCTCAGGGAGGGAGGAGGGGAGCCCATTTCTGTCTCAGAGCCTGGTGTGCATGGGATGGAGGGGTGCTCTGGGGGTGCTGCTGATGGAGAGCAGGCCGAGGAGAATGGGCCCCCAAACAACTCTGGGGGTGCAGGATCTGGATGCTTAGGCCTGTCTGCCAGCTACCCTCCACACAGCTGTGGAAGTAACATCCTGTTAAAATGCACATTCAGTCTCACAAGGCAGGGGCATCCCATGGGTGGTTATAGTGCAGCAGAGAAAGATCTGGGCAAAACACCCCACGTGCCTGAGTTCCTGGCCCTCCCCTTGCTCGCTGAGCAGCTTTGGGCAAATAACTGCATGCTTTGGAGCCTCGTTCCTGGCCCACAGGACTGCAGTCAAGATTAAACGAGATAGTGGAGGCCAAAGCGTTTCGAGCACTACTAAAGTCCTGAGCGAACGTAAAGGTTTTTGTTTTCGTCTTTGAGGTCTGGAGACAGTCCATGGGTATGAACCAAGTAGAAGAATATGAGTAAAGAAGAACAGCTGGATTTCTCAGGAGTATATATTGGCTAAGTCCCTCCTATCAATCACGACGACCCTAAGACTGCTCTGGCCCCATGTGACAGAGCATGTGACCGGTCCCTGGTCACTGTGGCTGTGGAGCGCTCGGGCGTGCCCTCTGAACTTGGGCGTGTTGTCCATCGAAAAATACATACGGGATTTCAAAAGTAGTAAGAAAAACTGTAAACTACCCTGATAACGTTTACATCAATTACATGTTGAAAAGATCATCTTTTCAATATATTGGGCTAAATAAAAAACACTATTAAAATTTATTTCACCTTGTTTCTTTTTCCTTTTTTTTTTAACGTGACTACTAGAAAATATTTTAATTACACATAACATAGCTCCCATTAAATTTGTACTGGGCAGCACGGTGCAAAGATGTATAGGACTGTTATTATTCCCATTTTAAAGTGAGAGAAAAAGGGGGCACAGAGAGGTTAAGCAACTTGCCCAAAATCACATAGCCAGCACTGCTGTGGGACTCTGAAGCCTTAAGACTCAGTAAGCAGAGACTCCTGGCTCTCCTTGATGGACAGCCCAGAGGCTGGGCACATAAAATCTATGGCGGTAAGAAAGCAAAGAAGAGCCTAGAGAGCGCCCCTTGCCCATTCCTCAACTACAGATGAGACTGCATCCATCCTGGAAAGTATTTATGCTCTGCTGAAAGCACTGGCGGTTTCCTTTCACCTGCTCCACAGGTGCAGCCCACACCCCCACAAGCCCCAGGCCAGCGTGGCATTGAAAGCCGACAGGATAAGACTCTGAGTAGGGCTTTGGAATCTCCCAGACCTGGTTCAAATCCCAGGCATGCCTTCTCCCAGGGACGTGACTTTGGGCCTGCCTCAGTTTCCTCATTTTCCAAGCAGGACGATGGACCATCTCCAGAGCTTGTGGGAGGAGTCAGTGAGATGGTGCTCTGCACTCGGCACACAGAGTACGTTTGAGACAGATGAAACCCCCCCCCCGCAAGTGCACCCGGCTCAGGTCGGGGTGGGGAGGACGAGAGAGACAGCCGGCCTGGACTCCGGGTCCTTTGGTGCCAGCTCCCCTGGCTCCGCGGGGTATTGTTTCTGGCCCGCCCACTCCCAGCCGTTACCTGAGATTCTCCCCTCCCTCGGAGCACTCGAAGTCCAGGCCTGCTGGCTGGGAGCTCACAAACGTGTGCAGATGGGACAGCTTCAAGGCATGCCACAGGTCTTCCTCGGAGTAACTGCCAAAGGGGTCTAGGTTCTTACGCAGGGTCCCCGAGAACAGGATGGGTTCCTGGGAATACAACAAGGCCTTAGAGGGAGGCAGCCTGGCCCCCATGAGGAGCCACGGGCCCCAGAGGCAGGGAAAAATAACAGGAGTTGAGGTGGACGCATTCCTACTCTGTCCCCAGCCTTCCAGGAGGGAGGCGATGGCCAAGGAGACAGAATATGTCTGTGGGGAAATGATAAACCTCAGCTTTGCCATTCACAATGTCCTCCGCTTAAAGCAGAGGCCTGAACGCTAATCTGACTCCGAAGTGTCCAGTCAGCAGAAAAAAGAAACCCCAGAGGAGCCAGAAAAAGTGAAATGTAATTCGGAGCTGAGGAACAAGGAGGCCGGGACGGAACGACTTTGGAGTGGGGTGTTGCTGGGGTCCTACGGTCCTGGCTCTGTCTGCTGGCCCAGGGGCTTGCAGGGCAGGGTCTGACAGGGCCAGGGCGCGCCTGACCCTTCCAGATCCATAACAGGTGGCTGCTCTGCGGCTCTGCTCCTATGGTCTGGCTCTCCAGCCAGTCTGGGACCACAAGCTGCAGAACAGGGGTAGGGTCTGTCCCCCAGGGTCACTGGCCAAGACCCCCAGGGTCACTGGCCAGAGTGTCCAGTCCGTGTCAGGGTCATACCTGGGGAATGATGGTCAGCTTGGAACGCAGGTCATGGAGTCCTATGTCTGCTATGTTGAGGCCATCGATGCGGATTTCACCCTCTGAGGCCTCCAGGATGCGGAAGAGGCAGAGGGTCATGGATGATTTGCCAGCCCCAGTGCGGCCCACGATTCCCACCTGGAGGGGGTGGGGAGGGACAGTCAGGGGCAGGCATAGGGGTCGGTGGGGACATCTGCTGGACTCCCCCAGAGAGGCCAAGCAGACGACTGGGATGGAGCATCTGCTCTCCCAAAGGCCCACACTCCCCACGAGGGGCACGAGCCCAGCCCACGCGCACCTTCTCGCCACCGCTCACGTGCAGACTCAGGCTCTTCAGCACCAGGTCCAGGCCCGGCCGGTAGCGCACAGAGTAATTCCTGAACTCCACCTCGCCCTGGGTGGGCCAGCCTGCAGGAGGACGGCTGCCCTCTATCACCCAGGGGGCCTGGCGTGGGGGGAAGATGGGTTCTGCATTAGGGTGGCACCTCTTCACCAGCCTGGCCCCCTCCCACTTTCGGCCTCCCTGTTTCCTAAGGTTCCCTCCATCCTCACCCACCACGGTCGCTGCGGGGGAGAGTCACCGGTGCCTCTGCGGCCCACTTGGTGGTTCAGTGAATCTTTTACCCTCTGCCTCCACTCCCCACATGCTGCTCCAAACCCTCCACTCCCACCCTCTCCTATTCTCTCCTTGCTTTCCCCCCTTCAGAGCTGCCCCTCCTTCCCTGACCTAGCCCCCCCATCGCCATTCATTATTATTGACTGTGTGCTCCGTGACAGGTGCTGGAGTCACAGTGGTGAACAAGACAGAGTCCTTGCTCCCCTGAGGATTAAATTCTGGCACAGGGGCATACGATTGACAAATAGGAAAATCTGCATAATGTAAGAAGGTGATGAATGAGTGCTGAGAAGTGCTTGGTATTGCTGTTCTGTACAGAGTAGTCAGGGAAGCCTTCCTGGAGGAGGTGATGTATAAATAAAGACCTGAAGGAAGTGAAGGAACAAGCCAAGTAAGTATCTTGGGGGTAGGGCACATCAGGCAAAGGGAGCGGCAAGTGCAAATGCCTGCAGGTGTGTTCTGGAGCACAGTGACAAAGGTGAGAGGGAAGGGACAAGTATTGGGTGGCCCCGTAATGAGAGGCTTTGAAGGCCATTTTAAAGACTAAGATCTTTTACTCTAAGATGCAGAGCCATTAGATGGCCATGCACAGAGGAATGACATGATTTGATACTTTTAAAGGACCCCTTTGGCTGCTACCAGGTGAAGGAAGAGGGGGGAGTGGAAACAGAAGGACTAGGGGGAAGGGTGGTAAAATAAACTGGAAGGACCTGAACAGACACTTCTCCCAAAAAGACACACAAATGGTCAACAGACCTATGAAAAGAGGCTCAACGTCACCAGTATTAGGGAAAGGCAACTCAAAACTACAAGGAGATACCACCTCCCACCTGTCAGAGTGGCTGCTATCAACAACACAAGTAATAACCAGGGCTGGGGGGAGAAAGGAACCCTCATTCACTGCTGGTGGGAACGTACACTGGTACAGCCACTATGGAAACCCGTAGGGAGGTTCCTCAAAAAATAGAGCCCTGGCTGGTGTGGCTCAGTGGACTGAGTGCGGGTCTGAGAACCAAAGGGTCGCGGGTTTGATTCCCAGTCAGGACACACGCCTGGGTTGTGGGCCAGGTCCCCAGAAGGGGCCTCATGAGAGGCAACCACACATTGATGTTTCTCTCCCTCTTTCTCCCCCCTTTCCCCTCTGTCTAAAAGTTAATACATAAATAAATCTTTTTTAAAAATTAAGAATAGAGTTACCATATGACCCAGCACTCTCTCTTCTGGGTATCTACCCAAAAAATTTGAAAATATTTATTTGCAAAGATACAGGTACCCCCATGTTCACGACAGCATCATTCACAGTGTCTGAGATATGGAAACACCTGAAATGTCCTTTGCTAGGTGACTGGTTTAAGAAGATGTGGCACATACCGTATTTCACCATGTATAAGGTGCACTTTTGGTCCAAATTTTTGAGGGAAAAATAAGGATGTGCATTATACACGGGCATGATGGTTACATAACATGGGCATAATAATCCTGTGTATAATGTACATGAAAGTGTGGGCGTGCATTATACACAGCAAAATACAGTATGGACAATGGAATACCACTCAGCCCCAGAAAGCTGAGATGAGGCCAGATGAGCTGATGGACAGAGGGACGAAGGCAGATGACAGGACTGGGAGTCCCGGTGAGGACAAAGTTCCGTGACAGTGGAGGGCTTGGAACACACGAGCTGGGAGGGACGGGATGGGTGGTCTCAATGGGGATGTTTGATGGAGATCTCGGGGATGGTGCGGCTTCTGGGCACGAAGAGGTCTGGGGTGCGACCATGGGAGGGTGTGAATGGAGAAATCTCCCCGCAGAGGACAACTCCCTCTCCCCAGCAAAGGGCAGGCTGTCCTACCGCTGCTCCTCTGACCAGGCTGACGTCTTTGGCTGGATGCTCGCCTCCCTGATCACGCCAGCTGAATGATCCCCTTTGGTACATCACCCGAGCTCTGGCCTTCCACCCCAGCACCCTGCGGTGTGCCTCACCTCCGCCACTCCATCAGAATCTGCAGGAGGGCAGGCCCTGTCTTGCTGAACTGGGAAACCTCTACACCTCACCATAGACCTCTGCTTGATGCTCAGTTAGGGCTGAATGGATGAATGAATGAATGAATAAAGAGCCACCCGCGTAGACGGCTTTGGGGTATCGGGACAGTGGGCTACTGAGCCCCCTTCCCCAGCTATGGCAGACTCCCCCAACCCCAGGTCCATCCCAGCACCCACCTCAGTCTCCGTCCTGGAGTACTCCTTGACTCTCTCCACAGCCACAATGTTAGACTCCAGCTCTGAGAGCATTCGTACCATCAGGTTCAGAGAAAATGTCACCTGGCCAAAGGGATTGGGTTGTAAGTGGGGTGATCGCTCCTCTCCCCCAGTGGCTCCTTGGTTATGTTCCTATCCCACCAATGACCCATGTGGGCCTGGGCCAGCCAACAACGGTGCCACCTGGGGCTCTGGTCACAACTGCACCTCAGGCAGGGACAATGCAGACTCAACCAAGGGCCCCTAGGCCAGAGTCTCCCAAACATTAATGTATATAAGACTTCCCAGAGAACCTCGCTTCTGACTCAGCAGGTCTATGGCGGAGCCTGAGATCCTGCATTTCTGACAAGCTCCCAGACGACGCTGACGCAGCGGGTGCCTGGACCACACTTTGTGCAGCAAGGAGCCTCGACGGACACGCAGGACCCTGAGCCCCACCCTGGGCCTCCTGCCCCAGAATCCACACTGTAACCAGACCTCCAGGTGGTCCTCGTGCACCTTGCAGGCTGAGAAGACTGACCTGCCTGAGCTGTCCTTTGTTTGCCAAAGCTCTCAAGACCTGAGCCTCCCGAGGTGCTGAAAACGCGATTTGCTTCACAAAATTCCAGTTGTGGCTAATGACCTGCCTACCCTCTAGCTCAGGTACTTGCTCTGCAGGCACCTGAAATGCGGTGTACTCCAGCCCCACACTTCCCTGCCCCAGGACTGTCAGGATGGACCTTCTGGACCTTGTGCACAGAAAGGACAAGTCCTGCTTGAGTGTTAGGGCCAAGCTCCAAGATAACTTCTCCAGCTCCCCAAAGTGCAGAATCTCCTCCGGGTCTAACTGCATTTTGCTCCTCCCTCCACAAGACCTGCTCACCCGGCACCACAATCCCCTGTTGGTGGGAGTGTCTCTCCATGCTTGACTGTGAGCTCTCGATGCTGGAGAGCGGAACCTGTGGCTGGTCCCCACAGTGAGCAGAGCAAGGTGCTCGGAAGGTGCTCGTGACACCTGTGTGGCCTCTGCCCCAGTGGTGGCCCTGCCCGGGGGTCCAGACGCCTGCATACCTGTAGGGCGTAGGACACAGAAAGGCCCGCCATCCCTGGACTCAGGCTGCTTCTCCCAATCACAGCAAAGAGTGCAGCGAAGAGCACGACACAGTTCCCCACGAACTCCACTCGGACTCCCAGCCACCTGCAGGGATCAGACAAGGACGAACTGGGGCAGGTGCAGGAAGGGGGCTTCGGGGGAAGGAGGGGCTCGGACCCAGAACACCAAGGTCTCTCCTGCAGAGACCCTAATGGGAGCTCCTGGAGGAGCCTGGGGTCGGGGGGAGCCTTCTGACCTGTTGGAGAAGTAGTTGGGATAGGCGTTCTTCAGGTTGTTGTCCACCTTAGCATCACTGATGGCCTCGAAGTCCTGGATGCGGCCATAGGCCCGGATGACGCTGGAGCCGGTCACCGTCTCCGAAAAGTGGGAGTAAATGGGCGAGCGGCTGACAGATTCCAGCCGCTTCAGTTGCCGTGATGTGGCCACATAGAAGCGCTGACGGAGGGTGGAGGAGAAGCCTGGGGTCAGGACTGTGGAATGCCAGCTCAGTCCTGCATACCCTCTGAACCCCTCCGGGCTCCTCCCACCCTTCCCCACTCCCCCACAAGACCTTGCTGCCTCCCCCCGCCTGGAAGCATCTAAGACGCAGGGGCCTGATGTGGCTGCTTGAATTCGTTCCACCCTCTCCCTCTGCTCAGCACTGCCCAGGAGGTGCCCGAAAGGCCGCTTCATCCACAAATCCTTTCCGGATTCCCTCTGAGCTCCTGACCCCCCTCACTCGCTGAGGGGCCTGGATTACAGCACAGACCTTGCTTGGCCTTCTAAGTCCGTGAATATGCCTAGCTCCACTTAGGGGCTTTAGCGGTGTGCTCACACAGTCGAATGTTTTTGCAGAACTTGCAAAAATAAGATAATTTTGCATCCTCTTTCTTAAAGAGCCTCTTCCTCTTCCCATGCCCCAATCCAGTCGTTCAAGCTTCAGCCCCACGAAAACACGGCTCTGCCTCCAGCTCCCCTCCTCTGCCCTGAGGGCCCGAGATGGCCAGAGCGGTGCACGATGTGCGTCTGAGAGTCCCCTGTCCCAGCACGGAGCACAGCCCACGTCACAGTCTCTGCACAGCGGGGCTCCTGGCCACCTTGTGCGTACCCTCATCTACTGATTGATTCATGGCAGGACAGGGGCCTGGCAACACAACCGCCTTTTATCGTTGGCTATACCAAAAGTTGTCAACCCATCTTTAAAACATACATACACATATGTGTTTAGAAATGTATAAAGCGAAGGAAAAGATAATGTGTCTCAGACTGTGAACAATATTGTATTAAAAAAATAGCCCGTAGGAAGGAGTTCTGGGGCCAGCCACGATTCACGAGGACTTCATTTCATCCTACTGACAGCCCTACGATTCTCCCTACTCTACAGGTGAGGAAAATGAGTTTCCAAGAGGGATAGTAACGGACCACTGTCCCTAACCAAACCCAGCTGCGAAGTCCCTGGGTCTGCCCTCCCTGCATCCCTCCCCTGGTCCCGCCCACAGGAGCTCCGGCCCTCCGGAGAGCCACGCCCACCCGCCCCCTGAGCACCTGCACGAAGATGTAGAAGGCAGCCAGAGGCAGGATGACCACCGTGAAGAGCGGCGTGCTGATCACAATGATCACGAGGGTGGAGATGCAGGTGCTGAAGGAGCTCAGCAGCATGAGGATGGCGGGGCCCAGAACCATGTCGATGACTTGGACGTCCTTGGAGAAGCGGTTGAGGATACGGCCCGAGGGCGTCGTGTCAAAGAAGGACTGTGGCGAGCGCATGTTGTTGCGCAGCAGCGCCTGGTGGAGCAAGCGCGCGGCCCGAATGGAGCCCACTGCCATCAAGATGGACGACAGCACCACCAGGATCCCTGTCGGAGGAGGCAGGGGGGGCTCGCTCACCTGGCCCAGGTGGCAGGCACGCAGGGGCAGGCTCAGAGGCAGGGGGGCCACTACTGTGGGCTAGGGAGGCTTCGAGGTGGGGCAATAGCCATGATGGTGGGGAGAAGGGCATGGTTTGGGGGACTCAGCAGCTCAGAGGTGAGAAAGGGGACTGCTGGAGCCCCTTCCAGGTATTTTTTGCAGCCTCACCTTGCAGAATTCCCAAGGCGGCATAGACACCCAGCCTATGGGAGGTGTTGTTCTGTCCGCCATCCACCATAGCCTCGTTGGTCCAGGCACTGAGCCATATGCTGGCTCCGATGGCAGCTGCACTTTGACCCGCGTACAGCAGACAGATGGCCAGTGTGATGGAAAGCCCCAGAGCCTTGGCATAATCCCAGAACACGTTCACCTTCACCTGCATGGCCATGGTGGTCAGGGACAGAGGACTCCCGTGAGCCCCAGGACTGCTGGGGACCTGCCCACCCTATCCAGCCCACCCAGTCCACCTTACTCACCTTGCCCACCTCCACCTTCTCCTCCTCAATCAGCGTCCCATTTGCCTTCCCTTTGGCTGCCTGCACTGCCTTTGCTGCTGGGCCAAGGTGCTTCAGGGGCACAGAATGACCTTGGCCCTCCCCGTCCGAAGACATGGCACTCAGCTGCCTGTGGAGGCAGCTGGTCAGGCCCGGAGCGGAGGCCTCCGGCGCACTCACAAGACAGGGCCCCAGGGGGAGGGCGCAGGCTGCAGCGGAGGCCCGGGGTACGAGTGTCAGGGGGAATACCCCACCTGGCAGGGCGTGGGGAGCCCTGACACAGCCCCGCAGGAAGCTGAGAGCTCTCGGGAACCTACCTCTTCAACAGTTTCTGGGCCTCACTCGTGACTGGTTCATTGTCCATCAGGTCTGTGTGGTTGCTGAGCGTGTCTTCAATCAGCGGCACCTCCTCGCCCTCCGGGTTGTCCAAAGCTGCTGCGGGGCGGGAGGAAGGAGGCAGAGGTCAGCTGGCTCCCTGCGAGCCCCCGTGCCTACTCCGGTGAAGAAGCCCGAGTGGACAAGCATGAGATACGTCAGATGACAAGGGCTGAAGGGGCAGCGAGGACAATAACGACAAAGATCAGTGACCAACTCTGTGTAGGCACAAGAAAAGGGCAGCCAGAAAGGCTGAGGTTAGAAAAGAAGGAAAACTTCCCGTCAGGGGCGATGGCGCAGGGGACTCCAGTATGAGGGTCAGGAGCCTGGGCTCTGACGCCAGACTGGCTGAGCTTCAATCCTACTTCCTCACGGCACGACGTGAGGCGGGCATGTAAAATGGGGATAATAATAGTACCCCTTCATCATGTCACTGTGAGAACTACAGAAACGGACATGTGTCAAGTACTCGGCAAGGCACGGGGCACTGAGGAGACGCTCCAGACGTGCAGGCCGCACACAGAGCAGCAGGTGAGAAACCCCGGGAGCAGGTCAGTGAGCCAGCCCGGGGCTTGGGGTTGGGGAGCAGGGACCGGACGACAAGCAGCGGGCGGGGCAGGGGTGTCTCCTAATGCCAAGGACTTCCATATGTTCAGCGAGGACAGGGATTTGTCTGTTTGTCCGCTCCTCTCTCAGTGTTTAGAACAGTGCCTGGCCACAGTCATTGCTTGATAAATATTTGTTGATAAATCAATGACGTCTCTAAGGGCTTACGTATGCGCCGAAGAATTCGTCTATGAAACGGCCTGGCTGTACATGCTGGGCCTGGGCCCTATGCCCTTTTGACAAATGGGAAAACTGAGGCTCTGAGAAAGGAGCTGCTGCTCCAAGGCGGCAGCGAGGGAAGAGGAGGAGGAAGAGGAGGAGGGAGGGACTTGGCTACACCCCCTGCCCTTTCCCTCCTGGTGATATTTGACCACCCACAGAGGGTCCGGGACCCCCAGAACCTCCCCTGTACAACACTGGGCCTGTCCACAGATACTCAGAGATGCCTTCCCCAGCCAAGACAGGGGACACAGGAATACGGAAAGCTAGGGATACCAGTCTTGCTGTCTTCCTCCGGGGGTTCCTCGCCCGCATCAGGTGCGTAGTTGTGGATGAAGGTGGCAAAGGAGCCGCTGCGCTGCAGGAGGGCTGAGTAGGTGCCCACCTCGGACACCTGTCCGTCAGCCAACACTATGATGAAGTCCATCTGGGGCAGGAAGCTGATGCTGTGCGTCACCAGCACCCGTGTCTGGGGAGAAGGCAGCACGCTGTCACCCCCACCGCCCTCAGCACACACCCCCTTAACAGGCACAGGGCCACGGAGCAAGTGGGAGGAGCCTGTGTGCCAGGCTGCATGGATGGGCACATCAGGGACGCGCCCCGTGCTCGCCGCAGATAGCTCAGTGCATTTGGGCTGTGACTTCCACATGGGTTTCCCTAGCCACCCATCCCCTCCCTCCTCTTCTCAGATTCCCACACCTCCAGGTCTCACCCAAACCCCTTGGCCTCCCACCAGTTCTCTCCCGGGGCCCTAGATCTCGCTTTAGCCCCTTAGCCTCCTGGAGGCCTCACCTTTCTTGCCAGCACACCTTCTGGTCCAATGACTTGGTCAAAGATATGCTTGGCCACGTGGGAGTCCACAGCTGACAGTGGGTCATCCAGCAAGAAAACGTCGGCATCACTGTAAACAGCTCGGGCCAGACTGACTCGCTGCCGCTGGCCCCCAGACAAGTTAATGCCCTGGACGGAGGAGAGAGGTGGGAAGTAGGTACTGGGTAGAAGGGGGTCGGACAGGCTCAAGGGGGGCAAAGGCCCCGCCCACTGTCATTCAGCACGACAGGCCTCTGAATTCACATTTCATGTGCCTGGCCTTGTCTCTGTGAAGCTGTAAGGCCATGGAGAACGGCTGGTGGCTCTTGGAGTCCGCCTGGGACACATGAGGACATCCCGCTCCCTTTGCTCCATCACCCGGCCCAACTGGCCCCCCTGCCTGCCACCTTCATCCTCTGGGAGGATGAAGGAGGTCCTTAACTGACCTTTGAATCGTCCATCACCCGCACGGTTTGCAGATGACGTTCCCAGCAGTTACCCCATTTGGTCCTCATGTCCATCCTCCCAGAGAGGTACCATTAGCCCCACTTTCTAGATCACGAAACTAAAGCCCAAGACATTGATGACTTTGTCCATGGTCCTGAACTACTAAGTTCCAAAGTGAGGACAGAACCCCAGCATCAACCCCCGAATTCATCAACTCTGAGATCGTTCAGGTGCCAGAGGGGAGGGAAGATCTCTCCTTAAACCCTTGACGGGGAAACTGATGCAGACAGCAGCAGGGCTGGCCCAGAGGGGTAGCCTGCCCTCCTCCCACCAGCTTTCTTCATTCCTCTGGAACAGAGCCCGCTCTTTGGGGTGCCCTGAGAAGCTGACCCCTGGGGAGGGCAAATGTGGGATGGGGCGGGAGCTGCTGGCGAGAATCAGGTGTAGCGACTGAGGCATGTGGGCATGCCTGTATTCGACCAACCCATCTCCCCTGAGTGCCTACTGTGTGCTGGGCACTTCATTGGGTTTGTGTGTGTGAGAGGTCAGCATGTGTCCGAGAGAGGAGAAGTCATGTCATACATGGGGAGGTCTTCCCGGGGTTCCTACAACCTTGGACTCCTACTCCCCCTGTGCCCTCTGCTCAGGCCGCCATCATCCCCCAAACCACCACGAGAGCCTCCTCACTGGGGGCCTGTGCCTTCGGGACCCCTCAACACTGTAGCCAGAGCAGCTCTACAGCTGCCCCTGCTCAGCACTGACAGATTGAACATCAAGATAAATAATGATGGTACAGGATTATAACGCATGGGATCAAATAAGAATCCATGAGCCCATGCGACATAAAGAAATTAATGAATCAGTAAAAAAGGGGAAGGAGGAGAAAGCTCTTTCTTAGAGTAAAATGCCAACTAATAACTATGGAATGAACGGAGGCAGAAAATTACCACTTGGCAAACATCATAGCAGACACTGACTCAGGCGAGACTCATCAATGAAAGTCATGACATAAAACGATCAATGACAGATACCACCTCAATCAAGTGGTCAAAGTTCACATTGTTAACAAGGCACAAAGAGACCTCACCTGCCTCCAGAGAGCGTGCACCAAGGACACAACATTACTTCAATGGTATTTCCAAAAAAAAAAAACATAATCTGAATCTAACTATGTTCAAAATGAGAGACATTCTACAAAGTATTTTTCAAAAGTGTCGCCGAGGTCCTAAAAGACAAAGATTGAGGAATCATTCAGATTGACAGAGAGTAAAGGGATATGACAAGTAAACGCAACTCATGATCCTGGATTAGATCCTAGCCCAGGAAAGAAAATAGCTAAAAAAAGACATTACTGAAACAAATGATGACATTTGAGCACAGACTGTGACTTAGATAGTAATATTGTACCAACGTTCAGTTTCTGGATTTTGACAATTCATCTGTGGTTATGTAAGAGGATGTCATTGTTTTGAGGGAATGTACACGGAAATCTTCGGTATGGAAAACAAAAGTGCTAAAACTCCTAGAAGAAAGCAGAGAGGAAAAGTTTCATGACCCTGGCAATGACATGAAACTTTTGGCATTGTTTGGCAATGACACCGAAAGCACAGACAACAAAAGTAAAAATAGATAAGTGGGATCACATAAAATTTAAAACCTCTGTGCATCAAAGGGCACAACTGAGTGAAAAGGCAACCTACAGACTGGGCGAAAATGTTTGCAACACGTATATCCGATAAAGGGGTTCAAGTCCAGCGCAGTAAGTCCTCGCTTCCTGCAAGTCATTGTGACTCAAGCTAAATGATGGATAATGGAACCAATGGATATAACTGATATAAATAAGAGTTAGGTTCCTACAGCATGTCACCACGTTATAATGCACTGACATTGAATGAAACGACGTAATTTGAGGACCTGCTGTATATATAAAGAACTCCTCCAACTCAATGAGGAAAATGCTGCACTCAATCACAAAATGGGCAGAGGACTCAATGGACTTTTATCCGAAGAAGATGTTCTTTATCCAAAGAACACACCAATGGACAATGAGCACATGAAAAGATGCCCGACCTCTGATCACTGGGGAAATGCAAACCCAAACCTCAATGAGATGCCACCTCGCACCCATCAGCATGGCTGCTGTCAGAAACATGAACACCGTCCCACTCCCAAAATCCCCCAAGTGCTGGCCAGGGTGTGTAGAAGTTGGAACCCTTGTGCACTGCTGGTGGGCATGTAAAATGGTGCAGCCATCGCAGAAAACAGGACGGCAGTTCCTCAGAAAATAAAAAAGAAAACAAACAAACCTAGCATCACCGTATTATCTAGCAATTCCACTTCCAGGCAGGCACCCAGAAGAACTGAAGGCAGGGTCTTATTTGCACACCCGTCTCCACAGCTGCCCTCTTCACAGCAGCTCAAAGATGGAAGCAGCCCAAGTGCCCACTGACAAGTGGATAAACAAAGCGTGGTCTACACAGACAATGGAACGTTATTTAACCTTAAGAAGGAAAGAACTTTTCACTCATGCTATGACATGAATGAACCTGGAGGATATTATATTAAGCGAAATAAGCCAGTCACCAAAAAAAGATACTACAATATGTGATTCCATTTATATGACGCGCCTGGAGGAGTCAAGTGCGTAGAGACAGGAAGTAGAAAGGTGGTTGCCAAGAGCTGGGGAGGGAGGAGGATGGGAAGCTACTGCTGAAGACACACACGGGTTTAGCTCTGCAAGCTGAGCAGAGTTATGGAGGGCTGTACAGCAACGTGAATGTATTCAGCACCACTGACCTGCACGCTTAAAAATGGTGACAACTGTAAATTCTGTTATGCACATGTCACAACAATTAAAAACAAATAAGTAAACTAAAAAACAAAAACTTTCACTGATATCTCATGGTTTTTAGGGTACATGCCAAAACCTTAACCAAGGTCTTCCAGGCTCTGCCTTGCCCTGTACCCTCCTGTCCCTTCCTAACTAGTCTACCCACCATCCTCAGCTCACACCTTCGAAGACTTTCCATCCCTCTTGGTATAAAGCCAGTCCCTCCAGTGGCCTGCAAGGCAGCCTGGGAAATGGCTGCCTGGACACCTCGCCGGCCTCGGCTCTTCCCCTTCCCCCGGCTCACTGCGCCCCAGCCATACTGGTCTCCCTACTGGTCCTTAAATGCCTCAATCACTCGTCTGCCTCGGGGGCTTTGCACTTACTGCTCTCTCTGCCTCATGGGGCCTTTCTCCCGGGCGAGGCTCCGTGTCCCCAGAAGTGGCCCGCTGCCTCCTTTCCAACCTTCAGTGAGGCTTTCCCAAGGCACCCGAACAATACAGCCCTGAGCACAGCCCTATGTCCCCTCTCTGTTCCATTCTTTCCCCCTTAGCATTTATCTCATATATATTACACATTTATTTATCTTGCTTATCATCCCCCCCCACTAGAATGTAAGCTATCTGAAGGCAGAGCTTTTAAAGATTTTTATTTACATATTGTTTTTAAGAGGAGAGGAAAGAAGGAAGAAAGAAAGAGAAGGAGAGAGAAACACTGATGTGAGGAGAGAAACAGCAATTGTTTGTCTCTCCTAAGTGCCCCACCCAGGGACCACACCCACAACGCAGGCATGTGCCCTGCCCAGAAATCGAAACCAGGACCTTTCCCTTTGTGGAGCGATGCTCAACCAACTGAGCCAGGCTGGTCAGGGCATTTTCTTTTTAAGATTTTATTTATTACTTTCAGAGACAGGAAAAGGAAGGGAGAAAGAGAGGGAGAGGAAAAGGCCGAGTTTTAAGACTCGCGTACTCACTACTGTATAGCATTGTCTGGGATGTGGGTGTGTAGTAAAATCTGAGGAATGAATGAATGGATGAATGACAAGCCCTTCTTCCTCAGCTGTTACAATGCAGTTCCAAAGTGACGCTTTTCCGTATGTAGACTTCCCCCGCCTGCACTGCCCTCCCTGTCCCTGCACAGGCCTTCAGCCTGACCTGCAGACATTTTTCAGCCTCTGCCTGCTCACGGATTGGCTCCCCCACCCCCGACAACAGATCCGTTTCCCCAGGGCCTAGCGCAGAGCTGGGCATGGTATTACATGAATGTGTGAATGAGTGAATGAGTGCATGTATAGACCCGGGCTGGGTTACGGTGGGCAGCTGTGTATGCCGACTCCCCAGAGGATGGGAGGGGACCATGTACCTTCTCTCCAATCTCTGTCTTGTCCCTTCCAGGCAGCACCTCCAGGTCGGCCAGCAGCGCACAGGCCTCCAGGGCCCGTTGGTAGCGATTGGGGTCCAGGGTTCTGCCAAATAGCACATTTTCCTGAAGAGTGCAGTTCTGGATCCAGGCCTGCTGGGGCACATAGGCCACGGAGCCCTGGCCATAGGAGAAGCCTAGAGTTACCTTGGGGTTCGCCAAGCTTCCCTTCCCAGGAGTCCCCACCCTTCTCACCTTCACAAACACCTTGCCTTCCAGCTTCTCCATCTCTCCCAGAAGGGCAGACACCAGGGAGGACTTTCCACAGCCCACAGGCCCCACCACGGCCACCAGTGCCCCCTTTGGCACCTGGATGTCTAAGCTGGGAGACCAGGAGCCCAGTCAAAGACAGAGATCAGGATTTTGATTTCCAACCTCCCACCTGGAGACCCAAGCCCTTTTCCCTCCCAGATACCACCCTGGCAATTGAGGCTCTCTCTTCCTGCTTTCCAGGCCAGAGACTTGGGAGTAAGGGTTAGGGGCAGGTTTTGCTATTGATCTGAACTTCAACCCACTTTAGGCAGCTAGGAAGGCACGGGAGAAGCTGGTACCTGTGCAGGGCTGGGGGCAGGTCCTGGGCCCAGGTGAAGGTGCCATTCTCTATGATGACAGCATGGTCTGGAAGGGTCAGGGTATACAGGGTCAGTAGGGCCAGGATCCTGGGGGAGGTTAGGAGGGAGAGGGGTGGGAAGCCCTAGGGAAGGGGTCAAGGGGAGAAGGCAGGGAAGCTGGGCGCACCAGGAAAAGGGGCGGGAAGGCCTGGGACAGGGGCATGGGGAGGCCGAGGGAAGGAAGGAGAGCGGGGGGAGGGATGAAGGAGCGGGCAGCAGAGAGCCAGAGAGGACAAAGGCAGGCACAGAATTAAAGGTATGAAAGAGGAAGAACAAAAGGGGTCACAAGAGGAAAGTTAAAAGCTTGGAACAAGGATTTTCTGGAGCAGGGGCCGCTGCAAGAGCAGCCCAGGTAGCGGTGTCTGGACCTGGGGTGATGGTCTTTCTTTCTACACACTGGGAGTCAAGTTCATCTTGGCTCAGGAAATGCTGGATCCGTTTCAGGGACACGCTGGTCTGCAGGAGGGTGTGAGTCAGCCCTGGAAGCCGTGCATTGTCTATCCCCCTCCGTTCCCTCTTACACTTGATGTCCCCCAACTTCCTGGGTGTGGCGGAGCCTCCTGAAGGCCCAGACACTGGTTTGGGGGCCCCTCGTAGGACTAAGTCTTCCTTGGATTCACAGCCAGAGACAGTCCAGGTTGGTAAGAGGAGGTTGCCTCCAGAACTCAGGTTTTCAGGGACCCCACCTGACCTCCTCTGACCCCAAATGACCCCTGATTCTAATGACTTCATTCAACTTTGAATGATTCTTCTTAATGCCAGATGGCCCTCTCCTGGTTCCAGTGACTCTCCTTGATTATCTCCTGACCCTGAGCAACCCCAGCAACCTGCCCTCCTCCAGCAGAACCCCCAGCCCCACCTGCGCTTACCTGAGTCAGACCGCTGATTAAATTGGGCAATGAGCTGAGGGGGTTCTTCAAGATATTGAACAGGGACACAGACACAAAGGCCTTCTCGGCGTCCAGCACGTTGTTTGGGTCCACGGACACGTACACCCCGAGGGTGATGAGGGTCACCTGCGCAGCGGTGGGAGTGTCAGGGTGAAGTATGCTGGGCCCAGAGGCCCGGGCTGCCCAGGTGGGAGGCAGGAGGTGGGAGGCCAGCCCCGGCAGGAGAGCCTCACCAGGAAGGGGGTGCAGTTCCAGGTGAAGACGGATATGGCGTGGAGGTAGGCAGCCCGGCGCAGCAGCCGGAGCTCACTCTGCCGGATGCCCTCCACCTGCTGCTGGAGGCTGGGCTCCCAGGCATACAGCTTCAGCACCTTGATGCCACCCAGGATCTCACTCATCAGCTTGATGCGCGAGTCCTTGAACTTCATTTGTTTCGCCTGCAGAGAGAGTGGCCGTGGCACGCTCCGCTCCCCTCCTCAGGCCTCCACCCTTGGGGGCTCGTACCTTCCACGCAGGGGCACACACTGCAGCCGCCGGGGCTGCTCACCACTCCTCCCCGCCGGGCCTGTGCCACGCCTCCGCCGGAAGGCCCAGCTCAGCCTCCCCGTGTCCTCCAAAATCTAGCTCCAACCTCAGCACCAGGGTTATGGTCCCTCCCAGGCAGCATCCTCTGTCCCCTTCCCTGGGTCTCTAAGGCACAATGTGCTTCCCCAGTTAGGCCGCCAGCCTCCTGACCCTAATCCAGGACACAGCATGCCAAATGAATTTATTCATTCAACCCCTGTTTATGGAGTGCCTACTGTGTGCCAGGCCACGTGCCAGGTGTGGGGCAGATAGCCGTGACCAACTTAAATAAAGCTCCGGTCATCATGAAGCTGACAGTCTGATGGGTAGGCAGGTAGGAAGTGAACGATTACTTAAATAAACACTGAATAAATCAGCGTGCGTATCCTGAGGGAAACCATAGCATTCTGTGAGAGTCTAGGAAATCAGAGTTTATGTTGGGAGGTGGGACAAGGGAAGGAGTTGGGCAGGTAAGGAAGGGAAGGGCATTCTAGGGAAGTGTGGGTGGTGGCCCAGAGGTAGGCAGAGCTCAGTGCTTTGCAGATAAGTAAGAAGGCCAGATTGGCTGAAATTTGGCCAGACTGCAAGGGCAGGGCTTGCGAGGTGAGCCTGGTGTATGGACCTAAGGACTTGGTCATTCATTCTGCATGCAGTGGGAAGCTACTGAAGGCTTTAATAAATGTTTGCAAAAAAATAAGGACTGGGTGACTGGCTATTCACACTCAGCACAGTGTGGCAGAAGAAACTGCATCAAGAAGATGCAGGGTCCAGTCCCAGGTCTGCCTGATTCTGGACTGCCATATCTCTCTCTGGGCGTTGGTTCCTCAGATGCAAAATAAGAATGTTTCTAAAACACTCTTAGCGTTGTTGTGAGGATACAGTGAGCTAGTGTTTGTGAAAGTGGCTTGTAGCCACCCATCATTAGTAAACAAAATAACCGAGGGGCCCCAGGGTAGCGAATGCCCTTCCCAGGCACCTGGCCAGGTGCTCCAGGCAGACACGGTACACCGGTGACAGCACCCACCTGGAAAGCACGCATCTTCATGGCCACAACTGCATTGAGTGGGATCTGCAAGACCAGGAAAGCGACTCCCGCCAGAATGGAGGGACCCAGGTTCTGAGGAGGCACAGGTGGTCAGAAAGGACACATTAAACCAGTGTGTATGTAGATGGAACCCCACAGACAGAGGCTTATCGATCTTAAACACAGAGATGGACGGGAAGCAATCGATAATGATCAGCCAGATAAGCAGCGAAAAGGAGACACAGAGAGAAAGCCAAAATGACCAAAACATCTGCAGAGGCCGCCGGCCATCCGACAGTGACGGCAAACAGGCACAAACAGGCAGGCGAGGAGGGGTGTCCAGATACACATGAGGGCAAATACAGACACAGGGACGGGCAGTTACACACACCCTGCCTCTCAGTCCCTCTTTCCTCCCCTGGGACCTTGGCGAAGGGCAGTTCCCCAGGCTGGGACAACTTGGTTGCACACGCCAGCATCAGCACCCCTGAAGTCCCGACTCCCACCCCAGCATCTAGGGAAGGAAGTTCTTGTGTCCACGATGCCACACCTCTGCTGACCAGTAGTAACCCTCTCTTGCCCTTCCTCAGCAAGGTCAAGGTCAGAGGAAGGGGCCGGAGAGTCACCTGCCAGAGGAAGTAGATGGCCAGGATGATCTGCAGCGGGCCTGACCACAGCAGGTTGAGGAAGGGGGTGAGGTCCATGAAGTGCTGGGCATCCACTGACATGAGGTTGACAATTTCCCCCACGGTGGACTCACGCCTGACTGAATTGCTGATGATGAGAGCCTGCAGGTAGACAGCAGGTGATGAACTGGGCCAGTGACACTCGCCAAAGCTCCCCAGGGCCAGCCTCCCTGGCCCCGCCAAGCCCTGCTCCAGCTGACCTTCCTGTAGATGACGCCTATGATCCCCGTACGAAGCCTCAACCCCATCACAAAGATGTAACGGTTAGCCTGGTGCAAGAACAGCGTCTGCATCACGGAGCACACGAACATCAGCCCGGCGACCAGGAAGCCCCACCAGTTGGGGGCCATGGGGTTTGAAATAAATCTGATCAGGACGCTGCAAGGGCAGGAGAGAGGCATGAAGGTGTGAGGGGGGGGGCTCCCCAGGCTGCTCCCTCTCCTGCTTCCCTCCCCTTTCACCCCCGGCCTCCACTCTGCCCCCTCCCCTGAAACCTCTGGGGTGGCGGCTGCTAACCCTCCTCCCTGCCCCCAGCCAGGGGGACCCAGCCCAGTGTTGCCTCAAGACCGTGACCCTCCCTCCTCGCTCCCTTCTGCATTCACCTCCTTTTCTGTCTGCCACGCCCCCGGCTACACCTCCCTTCTGGCTCTCTCACCACCAGCCTCATCTGCCTGCCTTTCTTGCCTGCTTAGACCACACGGCAGGAAGTGATGCTACATGTTTCTTGATTAGAATTTCCTGTGCCTTCTCCCGGGCTGCTGAGGGCTGAGTGTCCTGCATGACCACACAGGCTCTCAACCCTCAAACCCATCCTCTCCAACATCAGCCGGCGCCAGTGCTAGCTGGTGACCTGCCCCTGGGCCCTACCTCACCTCCTCTTCCACCACCGGCTTTACCGCTCTTCTCTTACCTTCTGAGCGGCTGCCCATTGAGTCCTCCCACTTAACTCACCTGTTACAAACCCCCCACCAACCACACACTTTCCTTCCAACACTTGCCTTCTTCCCTCTGCTGCCTCAGGAGAGAGGGAGCAGCTCTCCTAGCCTGCCCCTGCCCCGCTAAGCTCTGCATCCCATCCACCTCCTCAGGAACACGCTCCATCATCGCCCTCCTTCCTCCTGGTCTTCAATACCTTCATCTCTGCTGGCAGCTCTGTACCTTTCCCTTTGACATGACCAATTCTCTTCCACGTTGGGACACACCTCCCCTTGACCATGGGGATCTACCTCTACAGCCACAGCCAGGCCTCTCCTTCTGAGGGTTGGACGTGTCTCCCAAAACCATATATTCAAGTCCTAACCCCTGGTACCTGTGAGTGTGATCTTATTTGAAAAGAAGGTCTGTGCAGACATAATCAAGTTAAGATGAGATCACGAGGGTGGGCCCTAATCCAATGGCTACTGTCCTTATAAGGAGAGACTTGCACAGAAACACAGATACACTCATGAAAGGGCTGTGAGGAGAAGGCAGGGACAGGAGTGCTGCGTCTACAAACTGATGAACGCCAAGGAGTGCCAGCAACCCCCAGAAGCTAGGGGGCAAGAGACAGATTCTCACTCAGAACTTCTAGAAGGAACCGACCCCACCGACACCTTGATTTCAGCCTTCTGGCCTCCAGAGCTGGGAGAGAATAAACTGCTGTTGTTTCAGGCCACCCATTGTATGGTAATTTGTTGCCACAGCCACAGGAAATGAATGCATCTTTCTACACAAGAAGTTTCTAGACCTCTACGGCTCCTGTCTCCCCTGTAGACCCCCTGCTCTCAGGGCCTTTCCCTCTGTCCCAGTCTCTGTTCTTGGCAAAGTCACGAACCAACTCCACGTGGCCTTGCTCAGGCTCCATTTTCTGGCCGCCTTGCAAGCGCTCTGCTCCTCCATCTCTGCTCCTCCCCGCCAGGCTTCCGCTTACCCCCTACCCGTCAGAATTCCCCAGGGCTCTGTCTGGGGCCTCTGCACGGCAAAACTGAGCCACAGGGTGCGACCCTGGGCTTCCACTGATGGCTCTGAAATGTGACCTTCGGCTGGCTGGCAGTCTCACCTGGGGGGGCCCAGCTGAACTACACAACCATGTAGCCACAACTCAACTCACTACCTTGTCTGTTACCCAGCCCCCTCCTCCCACTGAGTTCATCATCTCAGCAAAAGATCCTTCATCCTCCAGTCACCCTGGACCCCTCCCTCTCCTGGCACACCCCTCATCTCCAGAGTAGCTTCTGAATCCTATCTCACTCCTGGCCTGGGCTCCCATCCGCCCTGGATGGCCCACTTTCATCTGGCCACCTATTCTATTGTCCCCTGACCTACTGGCAGGGGATCCTTCCAAAATACAGACCAGCTGCCCCACCTGGCTGCAAATCTCTCAAGGATTTCCTTCGCTCTCCCCCTCCCTTTGTCTTTCTGCCCTTCCCTCTGACCATGCTTCCCTCCAGCATCCCGGCCGCCATCGGGAATGCCTGGATCGCCCGGATCCTGCTGTCTCAGGCCTTTGTGACTCTGGCTCCGCTGCACCTTTCCCTCCTTCCTCCCCTGGTTAACTAACCCCTGCTTGTGCTTCCAATTTTTATACCCTCCCTGGCTGGCAAACATACCTGCTCTTTCCCAAGCTGGCTTCTGTACCCCTCCTGGGGTCCAGACACCTGAGTGCACCTCTGCCCGCACTGCGCCTTAATGGACTCACCCCCACAAGACAGTAAGACCATAGCTCTTTGGTCCCCTGAAGCTCAACAGCCACTGAATAAACAAATGCATGAATGGAGGGGCACGGAGCTGGTGGCTCAGCGGCTAGGCAGCGCTCTTTCTACCCCCTCTGTTGAGGGCTCAAGCTACTCCTATGACAGATTCTTAGAGCCTGCCTGTCATCTGGGAAGAGCGCTGCACGTGGCTGAGTTCAGAGCCCTGGACTCCAATCCATCTTTACCGGCTGTGTGCCCTTGGGCAAGTCACTTCACCTTTCCAAGCTGCTGCTCCCTCACTTGTTTTTATTTTTATTTTTTAATTTAGTTTTTCTGCTCCCTTGTTTGTAAAATGGGAGTAGGGGCACTTCTCTGTGGGATTTAAAGAAAGAATGTTTGTGCTCTGGCTGGTGTAGCTCAGTGGATTGAGCGTGGGCTTGTGAACCAAAAGGTCACTAGTTCGATTCCCAGTCAGGGCACATGCCTGAGTTTCGGGCTAGGTCCCCAGTGGAGGGCATGCAAGAGGAAACCACGCATTGATGTTTCTCTCCCTCTCCATCTCCCTCACCTCCCCTCTCTCTACAAATAAATAAATTAATTAAAAAAAAAGAAAAATGTTTAACACATCCACAGGGAGCCTGGCACATAGTATGGTAAAGACAAGTTGGATGTGAATGGGGAAGCTGAGGTGCAGAGCCATTGCCACTGCCAGAGGGCACACAGAGAGTGGAGAGAGTCCCTTCGGCTCCTGGTCCGGGGCTCTCTCCACTCTGGTCATCCCCTCCCCTGGGCTCAGCCCTCAGGGACAGCCAGCCACCACCCGCCCAGGGAAGGGCTGCAGCGAGAGGGAGCGTGCGGAGACCTGAGCAGCTGGGGATTGACGAAGGACAGCAGGTCCTGGGCCAGCATGAAGCACGTGCTGATGAGGAAACCCGGGCCGAAGGTGACCAGCAGGGCCTTCAGGAAGGAGGGCTCCCGGGGCCTGGGCCGGCTCCCCAGCAGCCCCTCATCCTCACCGGAGACTGTCTTCCCAGGTGCCCCTGCGACCCTGTGTCTGGTCGGGGAGGAAGGAGCAGTAGGTAATGGGCCCCGTGCAGCCAAGTGCCTGGGATGGGTGGGGAGGAGAGGGGCGCTGCTTTCTGGGCTCTCAGGACTGGGGGCCGGGGCAGGGGGATGGACAACATGACTTTCCAGGTAAATGCCTCAAGAGATTCTGTCCTCAGATGCCAGAGGGTATCCTTACGCCAGAGGGTAAGCGGTGTCAACTGACATCTGAGGACTATAACCCAGCAACGCCCCACCTGTGGCTTGCCCCGGCCTGCCCAGGGAGGATGTGGTGAGGAAAGGGACACACGGGCAGGCAAGGCTAGTGGCCTCGTCACGGGGAGCTGCGCAGGGAGGGGGTAGAGGCGATGCGGAGGGCCAGAGAAGGGGTGCCCAGGCAGACTGGGGAGCCACGGGGCTTCCCAGAGGCTCCACGTTATAGAAGCGAAGACGCTGCTGACCAAGCCCAAGTGCCAGGCTCCTCTGAAAGCTGGCTGGTGTCAGGGACTCCTGACTGAAAAAGCACCGGAGTCCCGGGCCCGGGGTTGGTGGGGGGCTCAGCCCCAGGGTCAGAGGTGGAGGAGAGGAGGACTCAGAGCCCCGTCTCTTGTGGCTGGCAGTGAGCCGGAGATGGGGTCCCTGATGGGGGGCTTCCTGGGGGAAGGCCCCTCAGCTGGAGGGTTGTCTTCTCCAGCTGCTGCCTTCAGACAGGACGAGGCAGGACTGGAGGCCCTGTTCCTCCCGAGGGGCGTCCCTGGAATCTACCTCCATGCTGGGCAAGGTGGTGCAGGGTAAGAGCAGGGGAGCCAGACAACTGGGTGTGAATTCCAGCTGTGCCACCCCCAACTGGGGGACTTTGGGTGCACCACTGAATGTCTATGTCCCCTTCTGCCACAACAAGGGGACAGCAGAGTATACACTGTAGGGGGAGACCGAGTTCACTCTGTGCTCAGGGCCACGCCATGGGTGGAGTAAGCGCTGCAAAAGCAGCAGCCGTCCTCCGGCCTCAGGACAGCTGGAGAGAGCTGGCCTCACCCAGGCCTGAGCCTCCCACTTCAGGACCCCCTGCACCTGCTCTTCTCCCTACCCCCAGCCCTGGAGCTCCCCCCAGTCAGCAGCCTCCCCTGCAGGAGACCTGGGTGCATGAAGGGGCTGGGTGGAGAGGCGTGGGCACCGGGGGGCCCTCACCGTGCTGCCTGCTTTTGCTGCTTCTTCCAGGCCTCCAGCAGCCTCTGCACCACCACCTCGGAGGAGTCTTCCTTGTTCAGGGACCAGAGGTCTCGCTCTTCCAGAGGACGCCGGTAGCCGAGAATGGCCAACCTGGGGCAGGCAGATGGCCCCAAATGGGAGTCAGAGTTTAGCGGCCTGGAGCTGGAACAAGGGTCTCCAGAAAGGAGGGTCTCCCTAGGGTGCTGTGGCCAAGGGAGGTGTCTCCTTTATTTGCCACGTGAGAACAGGCTGAAGGCCACTGCCTCCCACCCCAAGTTCCCATCTCAGGCCCCTTCTTTCCCTCTTCCCCTGATGCCCCACTGACCCCTGGGCCCTGGCAATGAAATTCACACGGGCTGGGGCCCTCTTCAGTGTGTGCAGCACAGTTACTGAGCTGTCACCCAGGTCAGACACACAATTATCCTGCCTAAGCCTTTCTGACAGGTGGCCAAGGAGGTGACAGAAGAGTGTAGAACTAATTACAGGTTTCTTCTAGCCCCTGGGCCTCTCCGCACCACCTGCTAGACGCAGGGCTGGACTAGGGTCAGGGCTGGGCCTCGCCCAGCCCTTGCACTCAGCCTCCAGCCTAAGTCTCTCCATCCTCTCTCACCCCATGGCCACTGGGGCTGGGGTTTGCAGCAGAGGGGCCAGCCAGGCCCAGCTCCTCAGGCCCCCGAACTTCCAGCCTGCTTCCCTTCCTCCCCTTACCCCCACCTCCCGGACCCCTCCCTCTGGCCCAGGCTGGAGGAAGAGCCAACTCACTTTGTGAACCACCAGAAGGTCAGGCGGGAGAAGAAGCCGGCATCAGCCTCTGGGCAGGGGTTCTAGAAGGTGAGAGTAGAAAGGGAGAAATCAGGAATGCCCACCCCCTCTCAAGGCAGAGTAGAGGGAGGAGGCCCTCTTGCCTTCCAGCTGCGAGCCCCAGGGGGCACGCTATGGAGATGACCTGGGAATGGAAGGTTCCGGAAGGGATGGGGAATGCAGGTGAGGGCCAGCCGAGGGGCGGGCGTGGAGCCTCCGTTCCCACCGGCCTCTGTGGGAAACTCACTGAGTCCGCGTTCTTCGGGGAGAACAGCGGCGGCCTCTCCCTGAAGCAGGACAGGACGAAGGCAAGGAGCACCAGGGCGGAGTAGACGTAGAAGGTGGTGAAGCGGAAGGGGTCCTCGATCTCGCCCTGCGGGGACCACAGGGAAGAGTGTCAGAACCTCAGGCTCCTCGGAGAGGGGTGGGCTGTAAGGGGGCCACTGTTCTGGGGGGACTTGCCCTGCATCGGGCACTGTGCCAAGGGCTTGCCTTCGTTGCCTGGTCTGACCCTCCTTGTCCCCCCTGCGAGGTAGGAAATCTCTGACGCCCAGTTTGCACCTGAGGACATGAGGCTCCAGAAGACTAAGGAATTTGCCCAGGATCACACAGAATAAGTGGACTATTCCAAGCCTGCGCTCTCATGAGTATATTTGACTACCTCCCCTTGAGATGGAGAAATGGGGAGACGCTGGATTGACCCCCAGTGTTCCCACCACCCACCATCAGCCTCACCACAGATCAAAAGGAAGGCTAGGAACCGAGGAAGGTGAGAAGAAAGGGCAAAACGACATCATGGAAAGTCCAGGTGAGCCAGACCTACCCATGCATGTCTGCAAACACATGTTCCCTACAGAGCTTGGGCAACCCCGTCAGACCCTGCAGTTGGGGGTGGCTACAGAAAGCCCCCTGCACTCCTGCAAACATCCAACAATGGCCCCATTCTCCGGAACTACACTGGTGCTCAGCCTGAGCACTCCCCCCACCCCCGCCCCACTCTGCTTCCCGGCAGAGATACAGCCAGGAGAGAACACCACGAAAAGGACTGAACCTCGGGAGGGGCAGAGTGGGGGAGCCTGGGACCCAGCAGTGACCTCGAACCCTGAGGTTACCCCCTGCACGAGGCTGGACTGGGCAGGTGCCCCTTTCCCCTTACCGTTGCCATAACCGAAAGGATCTTGGAGCGGAAGGGGATGATGGCACAGAGCACGCACAGGAACCAGAAGATGATGAGGATCCCCGAGGACTGCACCCCCTGCAGCCGCTCACACTGGACCAGCAGGGCGGCCAGCAGCTGTGCAGGGAGGGCGGGGGAAGCTGGGCCAGCGCACGCACCTCTGGACGTGCCCCCGTTCCTCCCCATCCCACTCGGCCGGATGTCTGTGGGGTCACCCCCATCTCCTTCCCATTGCTGAGGTGCCCAGTCTCCTCCTCCGAGCCCATGGGTCCCCCATCACCATCCCACACCCATGGGAGACCCTCCCCCACTCAGCTTCCCGGGTCCCACACTGACCATGGTGACCCCCACCACCAAGGGGGTGACAAAGTAGATGGGGGCAGGGGCCCGGCCGTGGACCAGGCCATGCAGGGAGTAGAAGAGGTCGGCCCAGGAGACGCACCACAGCAGGACGCCCACGGCCTACAGACAAGGTGCATGTTGGAGGGTCTGTCCCCAGAGGAAGGGACAGTCCCTTCCTGCTCCCGAGGCTGCCAGACCTGCCTGAGCCTGGCCCTGAGAGCTGGGCTGGGCACTGGCGGGAAGCTTCTCAAGGGTGGGAGAACCGTGATGGAAAATTTGCTTGCACCTCCCCAAGAAGGGAATGCTTCAGTTGGCTGCAAACCCAGCTGGCAAGCTGCCATGGCCCCAGGGCCGGCTGGTAAGGCTCAGGAACCTTGTCCAGCAGCTGAGGGTTTGGGAAGGGACTCATTAAGAAAAGCACCCCCACCCCACCCCCACCTTTCAGTCCCAGCCCTGCCCGAAGGCGAGCCCTGGGCCCCTGACCGTCTTGAGCCTGGAGAGGTGGGAGAGGACGATGTAGCCTCGGTGGCGGCGCCGAAGGTAGAGCAGGTAGCAGGGCAGGGTGGCCCACAGGTAGATGCAGGGGGTCCAGGCCAGCACGGAGTTCTGGAAGCACGGAGTGAGGTCTGGGTTGTTTGTGTACACCGACAGATTGGAGTCCTGGGGACAGAGGGCACAATTCAGTGCTGTGGCCGCCTTCTGCAGAACCGGGCTCTCCCTCAAGGGAAGTGGCTAGGCCAGAGAGACACTCCACACGCCGCAGGGTCAGAGGGTAAGTGGGCAAACGAGCAGGTGTGGTTCTAGGTGTGAGCTCTCCTCGGAGGACGTGGCTGTCCCCATCTCCCCATATTCTCTCTCTCTCTCAACTGCAGTGTGATTTAAGCACAACGAACTGCACCCATTTAAAGCGCACAATCCAATGGGGTGACGGTTGCACACGCCTGAGAAACCACCAGCATGGAAAGGGGCCGAGTGTGTCCATCATTCCCGGAGCTCCCCGTGCCCTGCACAGCCCATGCTGCCTGAGCAGCCACCAGTCTGCTTTCTGTCATTCTAGATTTCTACTCTTTTTTTTTTTGTAAAGTAATTTCTTATTTTATCAAAACAATATGTGCACGTGGGTGAAGAGGCCACTTCCTCTCTACGCCTCTTCCAGGAAGGGACAGAAAGCTTCCCTGCGATTTCGTGCCTCTGTTTGAAAACGGGGCAGGTCATCCCCCACCCCACCCACCTCACTGGGGGGTGTAAGCTCCGAGGCGCAATGGGATGGGGAGAGAGCTCTGTAAGTCCCCGAGCCTGGGGCGCCAGCCGCCTCAGTCTGTGTGCAGCTGTCCTGGTCCTGCACCAAAAGCCTGGCGTCCTGGGGACCCCGAGAGTCCAGACAAGCCACCCCCTGCCTTGTCTTTGACTATACCTCTACCTAAGAACTTTTTTGGAAAAGATGGGGGAATACATTCAAACACATATTTTACTAAGATTGTTTCCTCCAAGACCCGCAATCAACTAATCTTTCTTCCCTTTTTTGCAAAGAATTAGATGTTCTTTACAGAAAGCTCGGAAAATATAAACAACTGTGAGCCAACTGATCAATGTTTCTCTTCCTCCCTTCTCCTCTCTAAACAGAAATAAATAAAATCTTTAAAAAAATTAAGAGATGGGGGTGTGAGGACTCGGGTGGCCGCTTTGACCTGCTGGGAAGTCCAGCTCCAGCCTCTTTCCTTCGGACACGCACGTCTCCACTGGGCCGAGCCCTCCGACGAAGGCAGCGGGCACCAGCCATGCCCGCGTCCCCAGACTACTTATTCTAGAGCTAGGACGCCCATGGGACAGGACCTGCACGGCAAGCCCAGCACAGAACGCCCGCCCACCCCCTCCTCTCCTCTCTAGCCTGCCCGCCTTGATGGATGGCGACTCTCTCCTTCTCCCAGGCCAGAATCCTTGGAGTCATCCTTAATTCTCCTCTGTCTCTCACATGCCACATCCAACCCTCCCTCCAACCCCAATCACTCTGCCTTCTCATGAGCAGGCGGAGCTAGACGAGAGTGCTACATTCAACCGTTCTTATCTACAAAAAGGCAACCTCAGCTCGTTCTCCTTGATGGACGCAGCATCCTACCACTTCTCCGTGCCCCGTTCTCCCACCTGTACTTCCCTGCCCCGGTCTTCCTGCCGCCACGCCTGCCACTTGCCCTGGCAATCTTTTCCCAGCGCGGCAGCGAGAGGCAGATCTTAATGAAATCTAAACCAAACCACGCTCCCTTGTTCCTGCACTGGTTCAAAGCTCATTCAGTGAAAGCCGAAGTCCCCACGTGGCCCGCGACACCCTCATTACCTGCCTCCCCACACCTCTCTGACCTCATTTCCCCCACTCTTCTCCCTCACCCGCACAGCTCCCACAGCTGTCACCCACACAGCTCCCACAGCAACAACAGCTTCCTGAATAATGGGATTAAACAGCTGGATGGATCCGGTAAGTTCTAGTGCCCCCAAAGGACCTCAAGCCATGAAGGCTGAAATCCCTGCAGACCCACACAAAGGCAGGTGGGAGTGAGGGCCCGAGGTCCCTTTGCCCCAGCGAGGCCTCGGCTCTGTCAGTGACCTCCCAGCTTCCCAGCCACCCCAGACTTGTTGACAGAAGAGTAATGACTTCCTCAATTCTTCGGGGTGGGGAGAAGGGATCAATTGACATGCTCGTTTATTTCAGCGGAAATGGAGGTGCAGAAGGGGCAAGGCCCCGCTCCCACTCACTGACCTAGCGGGGCTGAGGGGCTGAAACAGCGGCCTTTGGAAGGAAGGGCCTGTGGGCCGGCCGGGGGTGGGGGTGGGGGCCAGCCTGGAGCTCACAGGCCTTCTGAAAGGGGCGGGGCCAGACCACAACTTCGGTTATTTCAGCACTGCATTGTTCCAGGATTATCTTTTTTTTTTTTTCCTTCACCCGAGGATCAATTTTTAGAGGGAGAGGAAGGGAGAGAGAAACACGGACATGAGAGAAACATTGATCGGTTACTCCCATACGCGCCCCGACTGGGGGATCAAACATGCAGCCTAGGCGTGTGCCCTGACCAGTGGTCAAACCCCCAAACTTTTGGCGATTGGGACGATGCTCCGCCCAGCTGAGCCTCCCAGCCAGGGCCCAGGATTATCACTTAATGTTCATGACAGCTGAAACCCATGGCTGGAAAATGACTGGCCCCAGCCCACGAGTGGGCCGATGTGAGGACTCGAACCCCAGGCGGTCCGGCTCCAGAGTGCCCACTCCAAACCAGAGTTCTATGGTCTTTTCCCTATGCCCTGCAGGGCTCCAGCAGGACACCCCACCTTGGGGATGGGACATACGTGTCCAGGTCACCAGAAACATGAAAAATCTCCTTTCAGCCTTGCAGCCCACCCGCCCACAAGCACCTCCTTGCTTAGGCTCTTCTCACAGAGCTGAGGCAGAGGGGCTGCCATGCCGCCCCAGAGTAGCAGCGGCTGAGGTTCTGGGAACCCTTGGACTAATCACTTAGGAGGAGAAATCCATTTGAGGAGTAAGCCCCCATCAGTCCCCTCCCCTAGCACCAAGCCCTGTGGGAACGAGCCCCAGTCAAAGAGGGAGAGGCCCCGCCGCCCAGCAGTGGCACACCCAGGTCTCAGCCTTTTCCAGGGATCCGACTCTGCCTGTTGCTTCTGGGACGGTCCCAGCAGGGCAGGGTGGGTACAGCCCAGGCACTCCGGCCCTGCCTCTGGGGTGGGTGAGCTGGCAGTCCCCGCTAGGAGCCAACGGATGGGCTTGGCAAAGTTCCCTCACTTCCTTCTGTGAGCGTGAGAGCAGAGAGCAGCGGGGTGGGAAGAAGCCAGCCCAGGAGGACAGGGGCCAGATCCTCCCGCCAGGAGCCAGGAGCTCAGAGGTTAAAGGCATCCAGCACCAACTTCACTGTCCCCAGATGGGCCGGAGGAAGGAGGTTCTAAGGGCCCTGGCCTGGCAGGAAGGACTGGTTCCTGATGGAGGAGCCTGGGTGCCCACTGGCTACCTCAGGGGCCTGCCACTGCCAGCTTCCCATAGCTTCAGGTGTCACCGTGTTTATTCCAGAGCCAATGTGCCATGTTGAAATTGATAGGGGACTCAAGAGTTGGGAAATTAGAGTTTAAGGTAAATAGTTATAAGCCTAGTAAGTAATGCATTTGTTAAAGCTTTTGTTTCAGAAACTACAGATAAGCCCCCCCCCCGCCCAGCGCCCCTCCTGGGCAAACAGCCGACCTCCTGGGGCACTGCTGAAGATTGCTGCCTGGGGACAAGTGGGGGGCATCTGGGCCTTTGTGTTCCATGGAGCGAGAGAGGACCACCCACCCCTGGGAACAGCTAACTGCCCAGGGCAACATTCTGCAGTTATTAATCTAATTGTCCCTGAATTTCAAAACCCCTCACCACACTTTGTTCCTGTCATAAAAACGCTGGCTTGGAAAGAAAATGTAAGATGGGTCCATTAGGGCACAGGTGGCAAACACAAGGCCCGAGGGCCCACCTTGTTTCCACCCAGCGGTAGTGCGAGCTCTTGCTCAACTGTGAAGGAGCAGTTACATGTATACAGTCCTGAAATTACATGTGGCCCTTTGCAGGCAACTGCCAGGCTGATATGGCCCCCCGTGAAAATGAGTTTGACACCCCTGCATTCAGGTATGAACCTGCCGTCTTCTCAGATCGCTGGCCATCTGAGAATAAAGGGCCCATAAAGATTCAATCCCTGTCTCTGCCCATTGGGTTTGGCACGTGACAGGCGGTGTCTTTTCCGGTTTCAACATCAGAGTCTTATCCATTACTCATGAGTTTCCAGTGGTTACCTACTCAGGCTAGGAAGCAAGCCAGGAGGAAGAGCCTGGGAAGGCGGTGATACCCAGGAGCCAGAGAGTTCAGAAGGCCCTGATCGCGGCTTTGCCAGCCCCCCTCCCCAAGCCTGAGGCCCAGGCTCCCAAACGGGGCAACTAGACCTGAACCGGGCTCCAGAGCCTACCTAAATTCAGCTGGAGCCCAGAGACAGAGATTTGCTCCAAGTCACATGGCTAGTGAGTGACAGAACGGGGCAGGTTGGAGCAGAGCAGGAGACGCGGGGAGCTGAGCCTCTGAGGGACTAGGGCTCAGCCCCAACCCAGGGTGGGTAAGCAGTCCAGGGAGCAGTGGAGGTGCTGGCACCTGAGCAGTGAGAGACCCACAGGCTTCTACTAAGAGCTACCACTAGGTAAATTCCAAGTCTAAAGTGAGGAGAGCGCCAGGGGAAGGGAAGTCTGGAAAATCAGAGGAGGGCCCAGCCAACCTCGCACTGGCCACACCTTCCCTCTCCCTAGGTGGCCATGGAACTTCAGAGTGGGACCCCCAACTCCTTCCTTCATTTGAATCATCTCTCCACGATCACCACCAAGTAAGTAGTCACTAACCATGTGCTTGCATACCCCCAGTGATGGGGGAGATCACTACTCATCAGGCAATCACTGCCACTTCCAGACAGCTGTCTAGAGCAGGACCTTCTGATTTCTGAGCCATCACCAGCCTCCCAGGAGCTTCCTGGGGCCCTTAGATCAAGGCTGATTCTGCAACAGGTCAGGACGTCCTGAGGGTAGCAGCCCTGGGCCCTTCTCTATACACTGTCTTCACCACCTGGGTGCTGCTCAGAACAGAGAGCAACCCTCCAGGCAAGGGACAACAGGGTGCAGCAAAGGGACACCCCATCTCCTTGGTTCTAGAGGTATCCCTAGCTTTATGCGCCCTGGGCAGTTTGGTCATAGTTTATTCTTTTGGAATTTATTTCTACTCCCAAGTCTGGCTCAAAGATGTTGGTAATCTGACCCAGACTAGGTAGAGATGAGAGAAAGATTAAAAAAATTTAGCTAAATCATTCATCTGGTACACAGTGTGTGCGTACACATGTCCAGGGGTCAAGGGTCCCCTCAAGCCTGCTACCCCCAGGTTCATCTGGGGTTGAAGTTACAAAATCCCCAGCAAGCAGCTGAAAAGGGAGCCCCTGACCCAACGGCCCAGCCAGCCCCTTTCTCGTAGGTCTTGCCAGATTTGACATCCCTTTCTAACCTTGTTTCTCTTTCTCTTCACTCCTCTTCCCAGGAACAGCTTGACCGTCAGCCATAATTTTTCGGCTGTCAGTATCGTTTCACATTCTCTGTCTCCTTTGATCTCTGCAAGAATCTTGTGAGGCGGCTGGGAAGTGGCTTATTCCCCCATTTCCCAGGTGGAGAAACTGCGGCTGTGAGACTAAGCTCGTGAAAAGACTTGGCAGCCAAGTGGCTCAGAGGGGCCTAAACCACGCCTCTCCACCCCGCCCCCCCCGCCCCCCAACACTTCACCTCATCCCGTTTTTTCACTCCAGGCTCAGGAACTTCCTGGCTGCCCTAAACTACTTCCCACAAGATAGGTCAACCACAAGCTCCTAAGATAAAAGATTCAGGGGCAGGTATACCTGAATCATATACAATGCGAATGAAACACAAATTTGCACACCACTAAAAGAATAGCCCCAGAGTTCCAGGCCTTCTGGAGAACTGAGCTAGAACTGAGGCTCTAGCTCCAGCCTGTAGGCCCCAGGTCCTCCCTCGTCTCAGCTGTGCAAACCTCCCGGGATGAACTGGGAGCCTTCCTGCTTTCTAACTACCCCACCCCGAGTTACAGGCCACACTGGGTGCAGCCTGGAACAACTCTCAAGAGCCAAGAAGATAATTGGAAGATGGAGGGTGTGTAGAGACTGGGGTGAGGAAGAGGAGCAGTCACCTCCCTGGCCCCTTGAGTTATCCAAGCAGACACCCTACGTGGACTACATCCCTGAGACCTAATATAGATGCGTCGACTCCCACGGACTCTGAGGTCCTCAGAGGAGGTAACAGTTCATGAGCCACACGAAGTTCAGGGACAAGGGTGCCCAGAAGCCCGATGGTGCACAGTCAGGCAATAGCAAAGTTGGAACCACATCTCAGGCGTCCCGCTTTCCAGGCCAGCACCCTGCACCTGACTGTTGTGCGACCTTGACAGGCCCGTTCCCTCCCTGGCCCTTAGTTTCCCCAGGTCCACCATGAGGAGTTGGGCTAACTCCTCCAAGTTCCCAAGCTCTGACATTCTTGAGTTCTCTGATATCATGAAGAGTGGAGCCAAAAGAAATCTCAGTTTGGAACAAGAAGGGGACCCTGAGTATCCCGACTCCAAGTTCCTCAAAGCCTGTCTCTGTACAGTCCTAAGCTCTCAGGGTCAACTGTCCATCCAGGAAGAAAGGGCCCTTGCACTTGGACACATCTGCCCCCTTGATGCACAAGCCCTCTGCTTGGTCTCCCAGACATCATGGCCATGCCATAGCCACACCAGCCAGGCTCAAGTGGACAGTGAAAGAAAATACAGTTGACCCTTGAATAATGTGGGTTTGAACTTCATGGGTCCACTGATAGATTATTTTCACTTGACCCACTCAATTCAATTGAATGGTACAGTTCAAACCCACGTTGTCTGAGGATCACCTGGCGGTTGGAAATTCATGTATTTGGAAGACCAACTTAAGTTATGCACAGATTTTCAACCGCATGGGCGGTGGGTACCACTGACCCCCACATTGTTCACGGGCCAACTGTATACTCATGAGCAAAAGGTGCAACCTCCAGATTCTGGTGGCCAGTAACCAGTCCAGGCTGGATGATGGATGGTGTTGACGCGGGGCTGGGCAAGAGAGCAGCTTCAAAAACCTTACACAATCTGATTAACCCTTTAGTGACCCAGAGAAAAAGAGAAATTCCCCAAAGATACTTTTTTACAGCTGCTCCATTGCCCTGGGTTTCAAAAATCCGTGTAACCCTCACAGCCCATTCCAAACACGGCCCATGAGCAGGGTATCTGACTGCTTAAACACTGGTGTGCATACACACATGTACACACCTGTGGGTAACACATTGTGGGCACACACACGCTAAGCACATAGGTACAAATACTCGAGGCCCTGGATTCGGGACCAGCCTATGGGGGAGGACCACAGACAAGCCTTTTAAGTCTGAGCCTATCTGTGAAATGGAGACACTACCACTTGCCTCCCCGGGCTGCCATGGAATCAAGGCAGCTGCTGGGAGGAGGTTCTGAAAACTGCAGGAAGGCTCTGGGGCTGTCCACAGTCAGTGCACCTGAGCTGCGCCGGGGGCTGGAGTGGGCAGCCTGGAAAGCACCCTGATGTCTGAGAAAGGGGGTTGGTGTATCAGTCCGTAAGAAACATTCAAACCTGCAGAGAATTTTTTGGGTGAGTTTATTGGAACCAAACTAACAACAATCGCCAGGAAGCAGCATCTCAATGGACTGAGAAATGCTCAGCGGAATGGCAGTTTAGCAACTTACTTTATACATTAGAATCAAAGGAGAAGCCACAAGGGGGTTACATGAAGTCCACTGGTGACAGATTAGGGAGGTGGGAGAAAGCAAAGGTGGGGGGGTACCTCTGGGATTGGATAAAAGGTAAAATGATGGACACATACTTCTTTTACATAGGTGGGTAAAGGATAGTTAACAATCAACAATTAACATAACAATAACAATGAGGGGGATTTGTGGTCTCAGCTTGTGCCCAAGGGGTTTGGGGGGAAAGAGGGAAGTTACATAGCTTTTATAAACATAGCTATTTTTTAAAACATAGCTTTTATTCCAAAGCTATGTTACCATAGATGTGAAAAGACAACAGACAGGCTTAGTTAAAGGTTGACCTTTGTTAGGGAAAAATACCGGTGCAGGACGTGACTATCCGCCATGAACTGCTTTTAGTTAATCAGTTTTAATTTTAGACCATTGTGGTCACTTTAAGTCTCAGAGTTTGTAAGGCTGCCTTGCAGGCCTCCCCTAAGCTTGTCAGGTTAATATGTGGCCCCTCTTCTTCCACACCAGGGAATTCTGGGATCCTTGTACCCGTAGGGGCCTGCCTCCAGAGTGAGGTCTGCCTCTCCCTCCTAAGGCCAGGGCAGTGAGGGCCGCCTGCTCTCCTGCTGCCTTTGTTCCCAGAAAACAAGGTGGCAGGGACCCTTTCAAAAGACGGCAGAGCCCAGCGGAGCAAACCTCCAAAGAGTACCTGGTTGAACAACTCCGGGTGCCCTGGACCACAGGGGAGCTGTAGGAGTGCTTAACTGAGCCTTAGTACCGGGTCGTCAGGACTGTAGTTAATGGGGAAACGCCCCTTCTGCACCCTGCGGTCAGCCTCAGAGAGGGACCGGAGCCAGGCAGCAAGTGGGAGCATCTTCCGATTCCGGGGATGCCACTGGCTGTGTCGGGAGGACCTAGTGCCTCGCTTTTCCCAGCTCCTTCACGCTACGGAGGAAGGGCAGGACAGGTCGGTTCCCGCCTGCCTCTAGCCACCCGGCTCTGGGCGCAAGATGACCCCCTCACGGTATCGCATGGCCCCCTCCCCGGTGCCTTTTCAGGGGCTCACTGGTGCGTGACCTCGGTCCTGGGACTCCTCCTTACCCAGAACTTGGAGCCGAGCTCCCCGGAGCCGCACAAGGAGTCCATCCCGCCAATGCTCAGCTGCGGCGGCGAGGAAGACCTGAGCAGTCAATCGCAGGGCATCCTGGGATACAGTGGGCGGGCCAGACGCTTCCCCCGCCCCTCACTCCGCCCCCTCCCCTTATCCCCGCCCCGCCAAGCCCTACCCTCAGGCCCTTGGGTCTAATTCTCCTGTCCCAGCGAATGCTACAGAGCTCCGCTGAACCTGCAGCTCTGGGAGGCACTTTAGGCGAGGTGGGTGGGGAAAAGTCATTGACACAGTGGCCACTGTGCCCACTGTGTCCCGGAGTGGCCACTGAGCCACATGGAAGAGATGCCGCTCCAAGTACTGAGATGGATAGGACCGGAACAGGGTCTGTTTTCAAGGGGCTCACACCCACTCCCACCATGCACAGCTCTGTGGGGGCTGATGAGTCACTGAGACCTGAGAGGGACCTAGCAAGACTCTCCGGGAATAGATCCTTGGAAAGGCCACGTGCATCTCTGGAGCTCAGTCTCCTTATCTGTAAAATGGGAAGACTTGTGTTCCCAGACAGTCCTCTCCACACAGGTTTCTGGAGAGCCAGCAGACACCCCGGCATAGCGTGCGCGTGTGTGCACATGTACCTGAGGGGAAGGGGACAGGCTGGGGTTCTGGCATCATCCAGGCGGTGGCTTTCTGATTCTCTTAAATTGTTGCTTTCCTGCGGTCCTGTGGCTCCCTGATCTTGTGTGTATGGCTTTAGCATCACTCTGTGCCTCCATGTTCACTTCTGAAAAATGGACAGAGGACCTACCTCCTAGGGTTACTTTGACGATTAAACAGGAAAGGTACATAAAACGTCAAGCACATTGCAGGAACGCTTAGTAGGCACCCAGCATGGGTTAATTTCCTCCACCTCAGCCTGGTCAGGGTGGAGGATGGGCAGGTGAGGCCCCAGGAAGAGACCACGCTGGCACACTGGCACCCTCTTCCTAAGGATGAGTCTCCACGTTCCCATCTGGAAAATGGGTTTGGGGTCAGTAGCCTCTTTCTGCTTGCCCCCGCTTGGCCATGCTGGGGTCCATCCCTCCCTTCATTTCTCGTTCCCCCAGTCACCCTCTCTTTCCTAACAGGATCCCAGAAAGCCAATTCATCATCCCTTCTCAGGGCTGCAAAGGAATCGCTGCCTCCTCTCCACAGCTCTTTCTCCAGGTCCCTCTCTCCCCTGCCCTCACTTCCCCAACCTTGTTCCTGTCCATGGCATCTGCCCAGGTTTACCCCTGGTGATTCTTTCATTGGCTCTTATTCTTTTTTTTTAAGATTTTATTTATTTTATTTTCAGAGCAAGGGGAAGGGAGGGAGAGAGGGAGAGAAACATCAATGTGTGATTGCCACTCATGTGTGCCCCTTACTGGGGACCTGGCCTGCAACCCAGACATGTGCCCTCACTGGGAATCAAACAGGTGACCCTTTGGTATGCAGACCGGCACTCCTTCCACTGAGTCACACCAGCCAGGGCGGCACTTGTTCTCAAGAGAAAGTATTTTCTTCCTTGGAGTGATCAGCAAGATATTGCAGCAGCAGCCAGCCACTCACTACTTGTTCTTCTGGACAGGCAGGAAGTCACCAGAAAGAAGTGTCTGAGGCCATGGGCTATCAGAACAGAGATCTGAGCTGGGGCATGCCAGCAGGGTGGACAAAGCTCCCCCTTCCCAGCCAGTGGGACGGGGGCCTTTTCCCTCCACTGGGCAAGTCTTCTCAGCTCCTTGTCTGCCCTCTTCTCCCTTCCAGTCATCCCATCACACCCCTTACTCTGAATCAGAGACTTCACAGAGGTTTCACACTCTTGTCCCGATGTGCCTTGGATTATATTTGTTGTGAAGAGCCTGTCTTCCCTGCCAGTCTGAGAGGCACCCAAGGGCAGGGATGGACTGAGTTACCCACAATCCCCCTCTATGCCTTGGGCAGTGCCTTTTGCATGCCATGTGACCTCAACAAATCCCTTGATGCTTCTTGGATTCAGTTTCTTCAGCAAGTTGAACCAGATGCCATCTAAGGTCTCTCCTAGCTCAAGTGATCCAGGCTTCTATGGTCTGAGCAACTAGCAGCCAACCTTCAACCCTTCCCCTCACCCTGATCTTGGCTTCACCAGCACCTGCTACCCTTGTGTTTTCATCTCGGTCTACCCATCAGCCTCCCCTGCCTCCCTCTCTCTTCTCCTGTTTCTTCTCTAAAGCACCAGAGGAACCATGAGGCTGGCTGGGGGCTCAGGGTCATTCAGAAGGTGAGTCCCCCAAGCTGTCCTCCTTCCTGAAATGGGGAACACAGGATGGGCCCACTCAATTAACTAGCACCAGAGCTGGCCAGGCTGTCCGCTGGTTAGAGCTGTGGTGTGGGGCCAGGCCCTTGGGTTCTGTCTTCAGCCTTGAGGCTGCAGCACCATCTCCTTTGGCCCAGCCTTCTCGTGTTGCCGTTGGAGAGCCCTTCTCCAGCTGCTAACCTCCGAGATCATGGCGGGAGCCCTGGGCCATCCTCACCTTCTCCCGACTCCCTTGACTCATTGAGGGTTTGCCCTTCCTGGCCCCTCACGACATGTGGTTCTTGCCATACAGCCCTTGAATAATAACCACAGTATTCCTAAGACATCATGGTTTAGGTTGTTCTCACGAGAGCAAGAAAATGGAGGCCTCGGGACGTCTGGTGGTGGCAGAGGCCGGATGTGCTCCACATCTCCTGAGTGCCGGCTCCTTGCATGCAGTCCCCTTGGCAGATGCACTTCCTGTGTCTGTAGCCCTGGCACTCATGCCCCCAGCCCGCCTTCAGGCTTACTTGGGCTACTTGGGCTACGCTGCCCCCTAGGCCTCACCTCCCTTTGTGCACCTCGAAAACTCTATTCATCCCTGAAGATTTCACTCAAGCCCCGCTCCCTAAAGCCTTCCTTAAACCTCCCTCACCCCAATCCTGGGCTAAGGGACCCTTCCTCTGCACAGCCCTTCCTCCCTGTGTAGTATTTGCGGATTGTCTCACTTACTCTTCCAGAGATGGTGGCCAGCTTAAGGATAAGAGCCAAGTCTTGTTTATCGCCGTATCAGCACCCAGCACAAGGCTGGGCAAAGTCTGTCCTCAGGAAATGTTTGTTGACTGACTAAACAGTGATATAGTAGGTGATTAGACAGATATGAGCAGAATAGAAACGATAGGCCAGGCCAGGTAGAGAAGGTCAGAAAGCCCTGGGTACCTAGCAGCAGGCAAAACTGGGAAAACAAGTATTTTAGGACCTTGCCCCCAAGGTGACCTTTCCTCCCCCAGCATATCACTGGCCGTTCGCTTCAGACCCTCCCCTGACCTTTCCTCCCCTAGTGTGTCCCTCCTCACGCAGCAGACTCCCTTAGAGCAGGAACAAGGACACCGGGGAATAGCCTCAGAAGACTGCCATACAAGCCCTGCACGACCACTCCCTTAGGCATTAAGTGTGCAAGTCGGTGAGGTTCTGCCCCGCATCAGATAATCTTAGAAACAAGGCCTGGGGGCTGTTGACCACAGAGACAGAGTTTCGGTGGAACTGGAGGTAATCTCCAGCCCCAGAAAAGCAGCAAAGCCAGGGCTGGCATCTGGACCAGCTGTGAAGACTAATGAAGATCCTCCTGCCCTGGCCCCAGCCCATCAGTGGAGACCAAGACCCTGTGGAGACACCCCTGGGAAGTTAATGAATCGTCTGTTGAGATCCTCCCCTGAGACCTCCAGATAAAAGTCCTTAAGACAAGGATCCAGCCCTGGCTGGTGGGTCAAGTTGGTTGGGCATTGTCTCACAAAGAGAAAGGTCAAAGTTTGATTCCCACTCGGGGTACAAGCCTGGATTTCGGGTTCCATCCCCAGTTGGGGCTCCTATGGTAGGGAACCAATCAATGTTTAGCTCCCTCTCTTTCTTCCTCGTCTTCCTTCTCTCTAAAAACAAATAAATAAAATCTTTTTTTAATAGATTTATTTATTTTTAGAGAGAGACGGAGGGAGGGAGAAAGAAAGGGAGAGAAACATCAATGTGTGGTTGTGTCTCGCATGCACCCTACTGGGGACCTGGCCTGCAACGCAGGCATGTGCCTGACTGGGAATCAAACCAACAACGTTTTGGTTTCCATGCCAGCATGCAATCCACTGATCCACACCAGCCAGGGCAAATAAATAAAATCTTTAAAAAAATAAATAAAGTCAATAAATATGCCCTGGGGTGAGGATTAAAGAAAAAAAAAGACAGTAACCCAGCTCCTTCTCTCTCTGGAGTGCGCCCGTGCCTTTCCCTGTCTGCTCCTCCCAGGAGCATTTTCTTGGCCTTTCTTTCCCCGAAACTCCAAGCTCCCCTCTTTCGCCTCTGGAACTTGTTTTCTGAGCCCGTGCAACCCCGCTGGCTCACTTCTTCTACCTCTGTGACTTTCTCAATAAACTTTCGCTTGTATTTGAGCCTTGGCCCTGAGTTCTTAACCAAACCCAAGGACCAAGGTCTAATGTCTGGTGCTGTTCACCATTAACATAAGTATCTCATACCCTAAGAAGAAGTCATAGGTGAGACCTATGACTGCTGTGACACTGCTGTGGCATTAGGCACAGTCCCAGGGGTGGGCACTGCCCACTCTGTTTTTGAGTTTTCAGAACCAAGCTGTTCCCAGCTGGAGACACTGAAGGAGGCAATAGAGACCTTGTGGGTTGGGCTGCAGCAGAAAGAGGGAGGGGACCTACCCCGGCTGATGTGCCCCAGCTTCCCTTCCCCCTCCCTGGCTGCCTGCAGCTCCAGGCAGAACAGAGTGTGTTGCTGTACCTCCCCTGCCCGAGAGCCTCCCAGGGGAACCCAGCACTGGGGATTTCCTGGCAGGGAGATGGAGAGATAAAATGATTGCAAGGTACAGCTCTGAGCAGGAATGACAGCAGAGAGGAGAAAGCAGAGCAAGGCAGGGACAGGGAGACCCAGGGACAGGAAATGCTACAAAGGAGAGGCAGGTGCGAACTACGAAGCGGGGAGGGAGGGGCGATGGCCAAGGCACGTTGCTAGCTCTCCCCTACAATCATTGCCTGATTCCTTTTAACCCCTAGTGTCTGCTTGAAGGCCTGGAG